ATAGAATTAGTTTAAGAATAACTTCTTTTTCTCGCTATATCTCTTTAAGTTTATTCCTTTTTATAACGATCCTCTTTATAGTCCCTTCTAAAAGTTTCATTTTAACTATTATAGACTCTACTAGCTAATGAATATATATATCCTCTTTATGTTCGTACTCTTAATCCTAGTACTATTTTATACTTATTTTTTTAAGTAATAACTATAGTAATCTAAAAGAGTTATAAATTATATAACGTGGGTGCATAGCGAGTCACGCAGCATAGCGAGTCGCGCACTTTCCGCGCTATATATTACCTTTAACTTATTTCTTTAAGTACTCCACCAAAATAAATGGAATCGACTTAGAAAGAAGCTAGAATACTTCTTACCCTTTAAGCTCTTAAATAAGATCCTAAACAGAGCGTACGATCTATTACTAAAGTCTATAATATCCCTAAAGTAACCCTTCGTAATCGAAGAAAGGGTCGACCTTTCTAACGCGACTAACTAGCGAATTCTCGAAATTTAATCGACCTTAAAGAATCAGTCCTCGTACGAGAGGTCCTTAACCTATATACGCGAGGATTTCCTCCCTAACTTAGTAGTGTGGGAGATATGGCTAATAAACTACGTACGACGCGTAGCGCGTTACGCGTCGGACCTCACTAGGTATCGAACTTTGTTAAACGACATCAAGAGCTACGAATGCGATTTATACGCAGATACGACTACTAGAGAGCCTAATACGAAGATCTAGTAATTATTTAAGTCTAGTTTAACCTCGTACGGAATGTAATAGCTAAGTATAAGATCTATAAAGATAACACTTAGAACTTTAACGAGACTAGGTTTATGATAGGCCTAATCTCGTCCGCAATAGTTATAACGAGTTCTGAAGAGTATAGAAAGGTTAAGATAGTATAGCCTAGTAATCAAGAATAGGCTATAGTGATCTAGGGTGTCAATTTGTACGGCTAGGCTATACCGCCTTTTATCGTAGTCGCTAGTAAGTATCACCTCGTATTATAGTACCGAGACAGTCCCCTTCCGTCCGACTAGGTTATCGCACTTAGCGATAATAGATAGATAACGAATAAGATTAGTCTTAATTAGGTCAAACACTTTAATAAATATAGTTATAGTTATACGAAGGGTACGTTTCGTCTATTAATCCTAGACAGCTATAAAAGTCATCACTTAGTGGATTTTGAGGCCTACTATAAGGAGAATAATATTATTACACTCTATATACCTATACATTTATCGCATCTACTTTAACTACTTAACGTTAGGTATTTTAGTCCCTTAAAGCGATCGTACGGTAAAGAAATTAAGAACTTAATCCGGATATATATAACCTATATTACTAAGGTCAAGTTCTTTACCGCATTTAAGAACGCTTTTTTTACTTCCTTCGGCGAAGATAACGTACGAGGAGGTTTCTAAGGGGTAGGGCTTATCCCTTTTAATCTAGATACGGTCCTTTTAAAGCTAGATATAAAGCTTCGGACGCTAACACTACTAACACTCCCCTCGCTAATAACTACCCCTTAGGTCTCTAAGACGCCATAGACTACGTACGAAGAGTAACTTCATAGTCTGATTTTATTAAGGGGAAAGTCGCTTAACATTAAGATAGCTCTCTAACAGCGATTTATGAGGCGATAGACCAGATAGTGAAAGGTACGACTACTATAATACATCAAATAGTATTAATAAAGGATCGTATCCGGGAGCTTAAAGAGGTAAATCGTACGCTAAGTAAGCGTCGTAGAGAGAAAAGGACACGGATCTAATAAGGAGGATCACTTACTATACGAGATGCGTAGGATGTGATTGACCAGAGGGATGTGGATAAGTAGGTGGAGTAAGAAAAGCGTATAAGTAGTAGTCGTACGAGAGGGGGTGAGCTAACTCAACAACGATGTAGTACCTACGGAAAGCCTAGGCATAATGCACGTACGTATCAAGAGGATAAAGAAATATCCAATATATCTAGTTCTGAGTAGATTAAGTGAATTTATCTTAGGTTAGTGGTGTAATTGAATTAGATTGTCGTACGGTGGTGGTTAGGTGCGCGACTCGCTATGCTGCGCGACTCGCTATGCACCCACGTTATTAGTATAGTATATTAAGGCGGTACTTTATCTCGTAGTTATCTACTTTCTAGAAGTTAGTGATGATCTTAACATTATACTTATTACTTTCTAGTACTACGTACTATTAGTATATAGTATCTTTCCCTATTATAAGGTTCTTATCTAGTTCTTAGATAATAAGACTATTATTTACGTAACTATTATAAAGTATATATATTAGTTAGTAACCTATAAGTAGGTCGATATCGTTATATAACTCTCTAATATTAGTCTACGCTTCCCTAATATACGTGACTACCTAGTAATCCTAGTATCTTTCGTAGATATAGACTAACTATACTATTCTAGTGCCTTCTAGTGCTATTATTATATTAAGGCTTTATTCCTATAACGATACGATCAGTATCGTAAACGCTTTATCCCCTTTTCCCATATACGAATACATCCCTAGAACGATATATCCTATCTCCGTAGCCTAATAGATTTCTATTATAACTAAAATTAGTTCATTAGCTAGCTATCCTAAGTTAAATATAGAGTGAAAATATTCCACTTTTAGTCCGTAATTATCTCTATATTAGTATTTTAGTAATCTCTAATAGAGTATAATTATTATTATTTCCTTATCGTTATATTTAATTACGATAAATATAGTAGATTCTTCTAGTTCTAGTATATACATTATCTAGAATCCTTACTCGTTATTAGTATCCTTATTATTAGTCTTAAATACTTCCTAACGCTTTAACTTATTAGCTTTTCTTACTACTCTTCTCTATTATTTTAAAAACTATCTACTTCCTATTTTTTCCGAGTAATAGGTTATATATTTATCGTTATAGTACGCCGTCTATAATAAGAGCTAATACTATAATTCTTTTTATCGTTCCTATTCTTCTAAGGTAGCTTCTTCCTTAGGTTTTATATCTTTTTTAGATCTACCTATCTCCTCGTAAGATTCCGTACCTAGGTAGTCCCTCTATACTAAGTCGCTCTAGTTATTAGCTACTATTTAGACTCCCTATAAAGTATTAGTCTTTATTTCTTCATAACCGACTATACCGTCGTCTATTATATATAGCGTTAGACCGTTTTTATAATCTTTTATATAGTATCCGGATTTTCCGTATCTATAGTATAGATTATTCTTCTTACGTTTCTCTCGCTCTAACTATAGTAATCTACGAGACTTATCCTTCTTAGCCTTAGGTTATCCTCCTCGCACTTTCTAGTGAGTGGAACTACCGCGTTAGATTATATCTAAGTCTATTAGTTCTCTATAGTATTATCTACTCTTATAAGTCGTTCCCCCTATAAAAGTCCCTTTTCTTTCTATCTAACGCTTATATAATTAGTTATTAGTCTTAATAGAGAGTTTAATAAGTGACTTATACTCGTTAGGACGATCTATCCCTATCCTATCTTTAATCGAATCCTTTAGCCCCTAATAATAGACTAAGGTAAAAGCTTTATCTTCCTAATCTAACTTTAAAGTATAGCGTTAGAATATAGCGTAATACCGTATAGCGGATCCTATTTATTTAAGTTAATAGATTCTCTAGGCCGCCGACTATTCCTCTCCTAATATTCTAAAGATCTACTTAATCCTCTCCTTAAAGACTAAGAAGTTCCTAAAGATCTTATTCGTCTCTAGGTTTCTTTACGCTAGTATAGACCTAAGGTAATCCCCTATAATAGGTTTAAACTACTCAAATACTAACCTACGAAGCTAAAGTCCCGTAAATAAAACCTTCTCTATATAGGTAGAGTATTTAGTACGTTATAAGATAAACACTATCTTTAACTATATAAGATATATATTGAGTTTACTTCTATCTCTATAGTACTATTTAACCTTAAGGTCGTCTTTTATCTTCCCGGCCTCTATATTATTAATAGTTAAGGTAGTAATACTTATAGTAGAGGTATTAGGTTACTAAGTAAGCCTTAGCTTAGGTAACTTAGGGTTAGAGCTACTAGACATTATTATTATATCTACTACTATCTAAGAGGGTAGTTAATATATTACGAGCTACTATCTAATATGTAAGGTATCTATAGGTAAACCCGAGGTAGTTTACTTAGTAATATAGTAGGGAGGGATAATGTAGCTAAGATAGGAAACTAAGAGTATAGTATATAGACCTATACGTATAGTAGATGATCGTGAGGAACTCGATTCTATATAACTATTATTAACTACGAGGAGAACTATATAACTAAGTACGGCTATATAGTACTTGAGAAATATATTTATTATGTTGCTCTATTAAATATGTTAAACATGTCAATATGTTCCTGAGCCTATTTAGGTATTGCTCTGTTGCCCCGCCTGGTCTTGCTAACATGTTTGCTAAGACGCTGGCGTCCGGCATGTTCCCCTCGGTTATCCTTCCTCCTTGTCTTCTCCTTTGGCCTCCCATATGGTCGGTTCGTAACATAGTAGTCTATTTTATAGGCTAAAGACTTCTACGTATAAAAAGTATTTAGGCTTCGATCTAATCGTTAATATCTTCCTCTTCCTTAGTCTCTTTTAGGTCTTCTTTAGTTAGAGGGTATTAGGATAGTATATTAGCGACTATATTCTTACTACTAGGTATATATTATACCTTAAAATCGAATTTTTAGATCTATACTAACTACTAATTTACTACCGCCCCTAGGAGATCTATAGATTATTAGTTAAGCTATACTCATCGCTTCTATCTTTACTATAAAGTAGACGGCGTATAACTATCGTTTAAACTTCTTTAAGGACTTTAGAAGTTCGAGACCCCGGATTCAAATACCTAGGGGATAACTATGTAAAACTCTTGAAGCCACTTAGATTCCCTGTCTCAAATTACTCCATTGCTTGACCAGACACAGCAATCTCGACATCGTTTCAGTCCGAGCATTTCGCCTCAGGTTGCAGCCAAAATGATTTTCGATTACATCGGCATGTTCAAGGCTGGTCGGCCGACGCAGCTTGCAATCACTTATACATGTCTTACTGCATTCGTACTGTGAGTCTAAAGTCAAACCTCCATCGCCAGGCCAGTACTTGACTAAACGACTCGATACAGCTTTGATTACGACCAAGGAGTCTTTGGTGGCCTTCTCACGAATCCCGATTTGCTGACTATCATGGGCAATCCGAATTCTGGGAAGCTTGGTATCATCGTTGCCTGCTATAATCTCGCCGGTGCCTTTGGCTGCTTGTTGAACTTTTGGGTTGGCCCGAAGTACGGAAAGAAAGTTGTTATAGCGCTCGCGATGACCCTTGTTACCATAGGGGCTGTATTGCAATGCACAACCTATGGTGTAAGTTTCTCTCTTGTCTGTGTTGAAGCAAAGGCGGACATCTGATGGCTCTGGACACATATCAGGTCCCTCAGCTGGTTGTTGGTCGAGTTATTACAGGCTTGGGTGTTGGTATTGACGTTGCGACAGTTCCCACCTAGTAAGTTGCGTCGCTTTTCCAACCATGCAAGACTGGCTAAATCTGGAACAGCCAGTCGGAGCTCTCTAAACGCGGAAACCGTGGCAGATTGGTGATGACCGAGGTAAGAGTTCTCGAGGGCGCGTTCTGGAGTATTCGTCTGACGCTCTGGTCTCACAGATTGTGTTCGTGACAGTGGGGGTCGTTGTCGCCTATTTCTTCGACGTGGGCATGAGCTACGTCGACGGGCCGGTGGCCTGGAGGCTCCCGATTGCTTGTCAATGTCTCCTCGCCTTGATCGTTCTTGGGCTTATCGGAGGTCTGCCAGAAACACCTCGGTATCTCATCCAAAGAGGTCTCATCTCAGACGCAGAGGCAGTCCTGGCAAAGGTATGGAACGTGCCGACCTCGGATCCGGCCGTGCAACAAGAGAAGGACGAGATCATAAGAGCCAACGACCTGGAGAGATCCAATCCCTTCAAGTGGACCGCAGCATGGAGCAAAGACGCTGTACGAACACGCTGGCGACTCTTCCTCGCTGTCTTTGTACTATTCACTAATCAAGTACGTACATACCCAGTTCTCTTCCCCCAATAGTGGGGAGCTGCTCAGAGCTTGCTGATCTTGTGTGAAACAGTGGACCGGGGCTAATGCGATTGTCTTCTACGCTCCCACCATCATGGAACAGAACGTTGGTCTCTCTCATACCTCCGCCCTCATTGCCGGTGGCTGCATAAACATGGGTAATATGATGGGAGCATTTTTCAGCTGCCTGATTTCGGATAGGATTGGCCGGAAGAAGCCACTTCTCATCGGATTGATCGGACAGTCTATCTTCATGATGTTGTTTGGTGTTATGATCAAATATAGCCATGTCGGGCCTGCCACGGGTAAAGCTGCAATTGCGTTCTTGTTATGGGTAAGTTCCCGCTTCAACGAGTTGGCCTTTCATGTGCTGCTAATGTCTCCCCTGACCAGTATGAGATATGCTTTGGGGCTAGCAGCTCGTCCATTCCCTGGCTATACAGCGCCGAAATCCTTCCTATACGAGTCCGGGCTCAGGGCACCTCGCTCGCGGTTTTCACCAACTGGATGTGGGTGAGTTTGAGGCAACCAAAAACAGGTTGGAAAATAGACCGCTAACAAATTTTAGCAATTCACCATTGTCATGGCCACACCGACAATGATCAGCAATCTAGGTTGGGAAACTTACATGATTTTCATGTCTTTCGTGTGTAGCTTGCACCCCGAAGTTGATCCGTTGGAAATGCTAATTTGTTGGAAAGTATGCAGGGCTTCGCATTCGTGCCCATGGTCTACTTCTGGGTTGTCGAAACCAAAAACCTTGGTCTCGAGGAAATCGATTATCTTTTCCTCAGCGAGCGCGCTCCACAGGGCGAGCATCCAGCCGACGTGAGCCTCGGCGGTATCGAGACTGGAGAAATAAAGGAGAAAGTAGCTTATGAGGAATCGCCAGTAAGCAAAGCTTGATACCGCTCTATTAGGCAAGTGGATTAGATGTGTCGATACCCATGTAGGTAGAGTATGTAGGAGGTCATTAGGAGGAAAACACAAAAACACAATGAATGACCTCTTCGAATGAAAACAAGTTCTTCACCCGCCCAAGCATTTTAATGGTCCTTGCTGATACAGGTAAACTTTAGCGCAGAGACAAAGGCCTATTGAGTGTTGCGGAGCGGAGATGAATGCAAGTCCAGATCAGCCTTGGTCAGTAATTTCCAAGCCTTTGTAGCAAGTAAGTCGGTGGGAGAAAATTTGCCGACGCACCGCTTTAACGAGCTTCCTTCCAGTCTATGGGAATTACCTTCAAAGTATGCATCCTCCACCCTGCTTCATGATTACCTTACATTGAAGCGAGCAGCTAACTGGCCCCTGCCCGTAGAGTTCAACCACCTCCAGCAGTAGCTAGCGCTTCCCCTTCATCACTCACGGTGCTATTGCTCTGGCTTGCACGTCCGCCCCCAGCATTTGCATCAAACCCTTTGCCCTCGCCCTCATCCAGGAGTTCTATGCCCCAGTGATTTCCATCAAACCAACCCATCCTCGCCATGACCTCGGGCTCGTCCCCCTTCCCAAGTCCCCAGTCCTCCAAGTGCTTGTGCTCATCCACCCACTTCAGCAACTTAGGGCTCGCATACACGAAGCCGAGAACGCTGGCGATGCTGTCCACGTCGCGAGGGAGCGCCTTGAAGTACTGCCGGTGCCGCGTGTAGATCCAGCACGTTATGGCGAGAAGAATGGCGAGGATACTCAGGGATTGGCAAACCGCCACAGGTGGCATGTGCAATTGCTGAATATCGACGTGGATGGTCGCGTTAACGCTGTTACTGAAATGTGACGTGGCGTTTTGGTCTTGGTAGACAGTCGTGGATGTCGAGTCCTCGTTGAAAATCAGAGGGAGGTCCCACGGAAGTGTCGCGCCGACGGCCTGGAATCCGTAGCTGCCCTGCTCCATTGAGATATTGTTGGACACGAAGTGCTGGAAAAAGGTTGCAAACACTTTGTTTGATGTCGAGTATAGGACGTCGGGGTCTAGGAGGGCTTCGATGTCGTTGTTTTGAAGCGCTAGTGAGGCGTACGACATGAAATCTGTATTCAGTCCTGTCTGCCGAAAATTGAATGTCTTGTCGAATGGATTTTGGTAGGACACTACTCCTTCAAACGAATTACTGTCGGCGAGCCCAGCAGTGTCTGCGGCTGAGAGAAGAGATTCTAGGAACAGCCAACCGTAGCTGGATCGTAAGTATTAGCTACATACATATTGTTGGTGGACTTCCGGAGAAACTTACGAAACTGTTACATTCACTGTCGGTACATGACTTTCGTCAGACCCCAACTCTATCAAGGTTTGATTTCCGTGAACGAGCCAAGGATCACTCCAGGCAGTGCTGTCATTCAATGGTCTCGTCGTCAGATGATACTGTTGTACGGTAGCGCTGGCAACGTCGACAGTAACGACAGCGCTTGCGGTCTCGAAGATCGGCATACAATTGAGTGCTGTCATCTTTGGAATCTTTTTCCAAACAAAGAATCCGAACTGCTGGGAGTAGGACGACGTTAATTGTGGCATGGCCAACTGACCGTAGGGTTTGCCCACGATCCACTTGACAGTAAAGTTACCAGCTGTGTAGCCTTTTCGATCAGTGTTCACGGACCAATAGCTACAACAGTCAGCAGGTCGAGCCCCTCCTGGTTATGATCGGGTAGAGTATGCTGCGAACCACTTACCCTATCGCTGCCTGACCTGGTTCGCCATTTGTCATGTTCGCGCAACAGACTAGTGTATAGTCATCGGCAAAGAAAGTGGTCAAGTTCCCACTCCAGACCTCATGGTATGGGCCCAAATCGATGGGGAAATATGCATCCTGCGAGGCACTAAGTGAATATCCGACGGAGAGACCAGGAATCAGGGTGGATGTGTCCCAATTGACAGAGTCTGTGAAATTGAGGGTTGTAATCCAGGCAGAGGTATTTGAGAGGTCAAGCTCTGTGCATTCAATCCTTGCGCGCATACTAGGTGTGTCCAATGTAATATTCGCGCTCGGGCTTGACTGGGAGCTCGTGAGAGTACTAAAATTCGAGCCAACATTTTGTATCGTCGGGATGGAGAGTTGGGTGGTGTCCACAGGAGCAAATGACCAATGGTCCTCAGTAGTCCAGGCAGGTCGAGAGCCGTTGTACGCCAAATCAACAAGGCCTGCATAGAGCCAGCTGTTAAGTACACTGCCATATATTTGGATGAGAATACTTCTCAGGACGACATCACCTAGGTGCTCGGCTGCGGTGAGATCAGTGTTTGGCTCTGCAGTAAATATCGACGGCAACGAGCGAAGTTCCAATTGCCGCGGGATAGTCCTGTTGAGTGCTAACACCCCAGCTTGTCGGCTCCAGATAGCAGACATAGTAACTGTGACTATGGACTGTGTCAGTGTGCACAAAGGCAAGAGCCACGGGTTCGTTTAAACACCTACAGACTTCAATAAGGAAAGCTCCAGTCGTAATTGATCCCAGCAGCCAATGCTTGTTCTTCGCGGCTTTCCACGACGCCCACAAAAGTACGGAATCTGCGTAAGAAAGGGTGACTCCCTGGGCAGCCTTGGTTGGTTGTCTTGCCATCTGCACATACGGCTGCAATCTTTTGAAGGTGCCTTCCAAACCACCCCACCAAAGTTTCAGAACGATGGCTAAAAGCGTAGGTATTATCGAGTAAGGTGCAATGTTTGCCTTGATTCCTTTTCCAATCGAGTAGGTCTTCTGGTAGACAAAGAATGTTTCGTGAAGAGCTGATGCCTTTGACATAGCGTACAGGACGGAGATTGCTATTATCAATGTGGTCATGAATAATAAGGCCATTGCACCACTCCACCCGCGCAGAACGGCAGGACGCCAGTCAGACCTCGTTTGGGACCTAGAAGCCTCTGGAAGGACAAAATTAGAACTCTTTTGAGGAGATAGGAGGCAAAAGCGAGGAACGAGGGCATACTCTTCTGTTTGTCAAATGTCGTAGTGCTGCTCGTTGTCGAAAGTTCTTCCGCCCGTAGTCTCCATGACTTGCTCCCCAAGAGCCGGTTCAATTCTGTATTGGAAACCCTATCTGTGCCATGAAACTCAAAACGGCTGTCATGGCCCACGATAAGAGCTGCAATGGCTGCAGCTGACGCAGGATCCCTCGAAAGACCAAGTGGTCGTCTCTCCAGTCTTGAATACCACAAGACTAGCGTGAACATCGCAGCTGAGAGGAGAAATAGGACACCTAAACTTATACCAACAGCAAAATTGACTGCAACCCTTGACTCGAGAAAAATTACCTGGCCGGAAAAGCTGGCCGTGCTCTTCTGAGCGCCGATTGACTCAAACTTGTTTTGTAATGCTTCTCCGAAGAAGCGTTGTTTGGTAGCTTTCGCCTGTTGCACAACACTAGCATTGTTCATCAGAGACTCTATGTCGAAATTATGGAGCGCAGCAATCGTGAGCAACGGACCACCTATGGATGGGCCCCCGGTGTTGTTCCCCATCGGAGGCGTCGGAGGCTGAAACTTGGTTGCCCACTCTGTTCCGTGAAACAGTGCTTCGAAAGAGGTTTTGTCGAAAGAGGTTCCCATTGGACGCCTCAGGTCTTCGTAAAGCTTCTTGTCAAAAGACACGGAAGATTGCGAGGTTGATGTAGTCACTGTGGTTTCCAAATCGCCTTCATAATATTCGGAGGAACAAAGCTGCCCGGCTGCACGGGTCGAGTTGTTACGAAACGGCGTCGTGACAAAAAACACATCACGGTGGTCGCATTCTGTGCTGTTGGCGACAACAATATTTGGAGATTGATTGCTGTCTGCTCCCATTTGACCGTAGCTCTGGCTAGTTGTATCCGACCACCACCCTCCTCCGACTAGAAACAGATCAGAGATAGAGTCGTTCCATATTGCAAATTCGTAGATACACCCATCTGCAGACGTCAATTGGAGAGATATGTACGCTGGAACATCAGTCGGCGGTTGTGGTGTGTATGACGCAGGGTATAGTTCCTTCGCCGGTTGGTACCCTACCTGGCTCAACCACATCAATTGACAGTCCATAGTGACTTGAAAGACGGTCGTGGTGCCTACCCAGGTTTGAGGTGAGGTAGCGAGCGAGGACCCGAGAGGAATTCGTGCCATAGAAGCAGGCCAGAAAGGAAGAACAGCATACTCGTCGCTTAGCCATGCCGACGTCGTAAGTCCGAGCGTGGAGCTAGCAATGGACCGCACATATGTCGCATCGTCAGCAGTGGCAACCAAGGGCGTCTCATGAAAGGCCGCGACGCGATTGAATTCGGTGGGGGTTGCAATTTGCATGTCTTCGATTGATAGCAAGCCTGCAGAAAGCGGTGATATAACCAGAGTTCCGATGATGTTGGCAAGGGATGCCCAGAACAGTCCCCAACTTCTCCATCCTCCATCCTTCTGCTTCCTCAGAGCTTCGCTAGGATCATTCCACCAGGAATCCACGCCATGAAGAATGCTATCCCGGGCCGAGGAGGTGCTGTTGCGGACCAGCCTTGCAAACACCTCTGTTCTTCGGACGTCGACCAGTAGCATTGTTTCAAGGAGCACATAAGCTACTGCCAGCAGTGTGGGTGAGAATCTCCAGCCGAATAGTAATGCGATCGAATTCGAATTTCTAGCGAGTCCGTTATTGGCCATCGAATACCCAGTGAGGATGCCCACCACTGCTGCAAGCCCAAGCGAGAGAAGGATCAACGAGTGTAGATAGGGCCATTGAAGAGTATAGGGCATCCATTTGAGCTGGGCTTTGTAGACACCGGTGCGTTTTGCGCTGATCGTCGAGTCGGAGACCAAACCATCTGCTTCACTTTCCACGCCTCCTGCACAATCCTGGGCTGGTCGTTGGTGCCTCCCACCAAGACTGGGGAGGTCGCTCGAGGGAATGTGTTGAGGCGCAGTGCCAGATCGCTGGGCACTGAGAGCGTCGACGTCGTTTGAATGAAGCTGAGGTGACGCCGAAGTTTGCCGTACAGGTGTCTTGACTATCCTAGTCCCGGGTCCATCGTATCGGCAATGTGGCACAGGCTTTCGTGGAATTGAAAGACGCCGCGAGTCTCGCGGTCGAACAGACATGTTGGTGCATGGATTGACAGAGAAGATTATGGCAGGCTGGTCTCATGTGCGTCGGATGAGAGTGTGCCAGCAGCCGTCCTCATCATTAATGAGATACCATGCCAGGCTATTGTCGCAGGATCGTGGTTATTTATAGAAGCTTGGGTCAATTGAAGCATCTCGCTTATGGCCCCTGCGTGAAAACCGATCATTTTGAACCGCGTTGGACTCCTTGAATATGGTGAAGACAGCCCAACGCCCCGAATGTATCAGAGTCTCATTCAGCCTTCTACCAGGGCGTTTTTGGACCTTCCCGTTTCGGCTTCAGATGTAACCATGTTCACCAGTCAAAACAGCTCGCCCCCAAGGTTAGTACAATGCAGGGCGCTGTAGCCTGAAACAGTGACTGCGCAGACATATAGACAGGGGCTGGACGGCGGCTACGCTGATAAGCCAACCCAGATCTGTTGACCGAAGAGATCACCATAGGAAAACACCTTAGCAAGGGCGCGTGCACCGATGCCTCGTAGCAGTCTGCTCATTTCATCGAAGCCGACTTTCTCGTGGACGTGGATGTTTGTGCTTTCGCCGAGTCGTCGACAGAAGACATGTGGTCAACGGTAAAGATTTTGAGACTTCATCTTGTTTTGATACTTGTACTTGCAGCTCTCGGCTCGGCCCAGTACGCGCCTTGGCCAATACAGACGTCGCCTCTGTCGCACAACGGTAGCCCAGGCACTGCCGCAAGAGCAATCCAGATAGAGCTTCGCGAACGCGACCTTGTTCAGACTGCCAGTGGATCCATTTGTAGTTATGTGACCAGTGATGAGCTTGCGTTGTTCGATCACTGCAAATGAGCAAGCCTCCTCTCGACTGACGATGCGATAGATCATCCCATAGCTTGCAACGAAGGGCAGTATTGCGACAGAGGAGCCAATGGTGCCTTCCAGTGCTGTGATACTACTTCCGTGTCGACGAGTGGGTTATTGAGTTGGACCATGGTTGCCAATTGCACGCAGAACTGGGCAAATGCTTGCTATGATCAAAGTCATACCGCTCAATGCACAGGCAGCTGCACCTCGACGGCAATGGTTTGGTCTGTAGCCCCGATTGTGGTCTCGGTCACCAACTGACGGACTGATCGCAGCACCGACCCCAATTACCCAGCCTGTGCAACGCTCATCTTTACGGACGGCACAACCTTCACCACGATGGGGTCAGTCCACTTCGAGTCACTGTTGACCGTTGCGTCCTGCGATGTCTCATCATATGTGCTCCCGATTTATTACAGCTATCAGTCGTATGTCACGGCAGCCATCACCTCGGTACCTGCCGGCTTGACCTTCACTTTCGCTCCACCGACGGCGACGGCGACGAATGTGGCCACCGCCACATCCATCGCACAATCCACATCAACCAGCGCGGCCCTCGCACCTTCATACTGCTACCAATGGTGCTTCAGTCAATGGAGACGGCATCTACAGTTATATATATCTAGGCTGTTGCCCTAACCCTATGCGGTAGGTTGGCCGGTTAATTTTCACGCCTTCTATCTTAACGTATATTAGTGATGCCCTACTTTAGTAGATACGAACGTAGCTGTAGTAACTGAACCTTAGCTGAAAAAACTTAGGCCCCTAAATTCACTATTTATAATGTTCGCCTACTTTAGCGCCGTACTAATAACTACGCGTATATTACATCATAATTTTCCTAGATTATATCGCTTACCGATATTAACTACCTTAGCTAGCCTTCTCGATCTCTTTAGCCATAGAACTATATTTATATAGCTAAGAGGGGTCTAGACTCTTTCTTAGCTACCGGTTAAGTAGACAATAGTCTAAGACGATAATATATTAAGTGCTATAGCTCTAGCTTACTATAGCTCTAGTGTTCGGTTATAGACGTATATTCGTTGACATTATTAGCGTATAAATCTTATTTCGTAAATAAAGATTTATATTGAAGGTTAAGTTCTTATAACTATATATATTATATCATCCCCGAACTATCTTCTATCCATGACCAATTTCGTTCAGGAAAAGGAGCGAGGCCGCTTTAATGAGGTACGTGACGGAGCATCGAGGACGCTCGGTCGAGCCCGGGAGCGCGTCGCGGGAGCCACGATAGAGCAAGGGGGAGTGTGCCCGAGCACTGGGCGAGCTACCGGGAGCGCTCTCTGATGCCCATTCGCAGAAGCCAGTTCGGGCTCAGGGGTTACCTTCTGGCCCCCTCCTGATCGGCTATACTTGCCTCTTGGCTAGGCATCAGTTTTAGACGAGCGTCAGAAACCTGGCAAATTCCCTACCGCTGCGATGCTGCCTAAATTTCCTTGTGAGAAGTGGCGCATGTGTGTGGGCTGTGCTAATCTGACAGGGCGAATCAAGATCCTACGCAGCTCATTGGAACTTAGAGGGGTCCAAAGTACATACTTGTAGATCCTCGTCAACCGGATACTAGGATTGAGATGAGTTGCCTTTCCGCTTCTACTATACTATATACCGTCTCTTACTGACTCAGTAGATCATAAGGGTCTTAGGGACTGTCAGACCATATATCCTTCGAAGCTGGACGATGACCACCATGTACCACCGGAAAAGTAACCTATGGGCAACGGACAAGGTTGTAGATGGGTAGCATTGACTCTGCTCCTCTTCTGCGCCTGTATTCTAGATACTTACGTAGACAGTTGCAGCCTGTACTTGGCAAGCCTGCTTAGGCTAACACAGCCAGGCCAGCCACCAACTCCAAGACCGTCGACCAACGCGAGGAAGATTCCCATTTGGAATGACTGAACAGCCATAGTTGACTTCGCATGATAAACCTCATGTTGCCATTCCAAGCATGACAACCTGTGAGGATGAGATTGACCTACAAATCCAATCAAGGGAGTAAACCACTCTGATCAGTCAAGTTTTGTGTGGCTAAACTGCAGCTTGCGGTGACAGTTTCCGCTGATCTGGCCAAAGCATTCCGAGCCAGGAGATAGCGCAGGCAGAAAGGGGAGACGATCGAAGGCCAATTGAGTCAATTTGAAAATTGAGACTGGAAAAGGCATTGCAAGTTGCAGAATTGGTGCGACGATACTTGCGGGTCTGTTTCATACACGCGCGCGGTAAGGGACTAGGCTCCGCCCCGCCCCGCCAACCGTCCCGAAAGGCAAACGGGGCAGACCGAAGCTGGCAGATCTTCTGCTGAGGGCCCAGCATTTCTGTTGATAAGTAAATAGTCGACTCTACTTCTCCTGCAACCATTACTGGGATTGCCGCAGTGCGTTCTTGCAAATTGATCAATATTCACGCGCGGACAACGTGTCTTTTGGGAATATACCTCCCCATCGTTGGATATAAATGAACGCAACGACTAAATTGACTCACGGCTGGGTTAACTCGCCAGACGGACGAGGTACGATCGACATTATATGGAGCTGTGTTGCCACCATATTCTTGTGCAGCTGGGCGGTCTTATTCCTAAATGTTCCTCGCAAACCTGGACAGAGGCACTTCCTTGTGACAAAGCTTTCGTGGGTCGCTTTCACCATTTTTCTGCCTGAGGTTTCGGCAGCATTCGCGTAACAGCAATGGATCTCAGCCTCTCAATCAGTCTCGGACTTCTCGCAGGCCGGCTACTCGCAATGGTCACTCAGACATGCCTTTTTCGCGGACATGGGTGGCTTCATGCTAGAATGCCCTGACTACGTGCCATTCCCTGTCGACGCCCATCAAATATATTATCTGGTTACCAACGGCTTCATGGTGTTCCCTGAAATCGAAAAGAAAGCTATTTGGGATAAGAACAAGGCAGATGGCTTTGCCCGCCTCCTCACCTCGATACAGGTGTGTGGGTTTGCCCTTCAGTGCCTGGGGCGCGCTATGCAGCGTCTACCAATCTCAACTTTGGAACTTTCTACCATGACGTTCGTTTTCTGCACCTTGCCCACATTCTTCTGGTGGCGTCATAAGCCTCTCGACGTTGCCACGACAATTCCTATCTGTCTGAAGGATCAAGTCAAAATCAAAGACGTACTCCAATCTGCGGACGCCCGTGCAAGCAGACCCTTCAGATCCACTCCTCTCGACTTTGTTAACCCACGACCCTCTCGATTCGACTTCGTGGGACCCGTTGTATGGGGTATCGATCTGCTTTTTGGTCTGGGTGGAGCTCGCAAGTATGGTCCGATCACGTCATTCCGAAATAGCACACGAAACCCTCCAAGAGATGCGCGAGTACTGGATTGGGTAGTTATCTCAACCATCTCCCTAACGTATATGGGCCTCTATTTTATCGGGTGGAACTGGGCGTTTTCCACAGTCCTTGAACAACAACTTTGGCGCGCCGCAACTTTGACTCTCTTGGCATCCTTTTTGTCCTACGGGATATTATTCATCATCATAGCGTGGTGATTGCCAGCGGCCTGTCATCTTTTCGGCGTTTCTGGGGCCAATACTGTCCTTGAGCTTTTGTTCCTTTTACCGTTGTGGCTACAGTACTCGATAGCAGTAATCTGGATCGGGTCATATGGGCTGGCACGACTATATATTATCGTGGAAGCGTTCATCGGCCTCCGCGCTTTGCCACCGGCCACATACAACACTGTGAACTGGTCCAACTTCCTGCCTCATATATAAGATTGTGGCGTGCACAATATTTTCAACAAATCCCATCAAGCAATAACGTCGGCTCGAGGATAACGCGAAAATGCAATCAGTGTGTTGGTTTGACAAGAGAGGCATTAGCAGTCTCTTCTGATAGCCCGAGAACTAGAGCGTGATCGGGGGTTTGGGGACTAGAATCCGGCACCGGTATATGCAGCGCATCTGTATGCACCCCCCGACGCTGGTGTGAAGGAAGGTTCCCTCCATCCAGCACCGATTGGGGGTGATTTCCATACGATAACGATTCCGCGCGAAGTCATGCCGCAGACAAACCGAAGTGCGTGGGTTCCCCTGTCGGCGATGGATGGATGCTACGTGTTCCTCTCTAGAGACGCCAGGCATTATGTATAGGTGTATATGTGTATATACATACGTTGTCGCCATGTCCCCCAAGCCGTTCCCCGTTCCCTCTCGTCCGCGGCTCGACAAAGCAAACGGAAAACAGCCCACACATTGCTCACCACCACCACCACCACCACCACCACCACCACCACCACCACCATGTCACCTACCCAGGACGACCTGGTCCAGCGCCTCGCCGACGAAGCCAGCATCCGCGACCTGGTCGCCCGCTTTGCCAACGCGTGCAGCCCGCCGGACCCGAGGGCGTTCGCGCAGCTTTGGATGCCCGATGCGCACGGTGCTCCCGCTGCGACGCCCGAGTGGACGCTGAGCGCGCCGTTCGCCATGTCCGCGACGGGCGTGCCGCGCATCGTCGCCATGCTGGAGAAGCTGCTCGCGCCGTGGGCGTTCTTCGTGCAGCTGGTGCATTCCGGCGTGGTTGAGGTCGAGGTCCAGCCCGACGGCACCACTGCAACTGCCACGGCTACGGGCCGCTTCATCGTGCGCGAGGTCGCCAAGGGCCCCGACGACACGTACTACAACAACTTCGCCGTGTACGAGGACCGGTACGCCAAGGTGGGCGGGCGGTGGTTCTTCGCCCGCCGCGACTACAAGTACATGTTCCTCGACTCGGGCCCGTTCGGCGGCGACGTCTGCCCGCCCGTCGCGGGCTGGTTCGGGGGGGAAGGGTCACGGACTGCGAACTAGACACCAGACCTCAGGCTGGGGCGTTGGAGATAGTGCGTCTCGAGGTGTCAAATGGTTCATTGTGCAAGTGGACAGCACAGGACAGGAGCGGGTAGAAGATAACGGAGGGGAGCTTTCTCACAAGCGAAGAATCCAATTATTCATTTTGCCCTTGTGGTCTGGAAATTCCGAATCCGCTGTACCGAGTATATCTACTGTGTTTCCCAAGTCTGCATGTGTAACAGGGCGATCGATGGCTCGCTAATACCCCGTCGAGGTGGGCGAATGGACATTCTTGCCCGCCTCGATGACCTTGACGTCCCTCCCGACGCTGAAGACGATGTTGTCGACGTCAATGAATCGCAACTCGTCCGGGCGGATCTGCTCCAGGTAGAAGGGGTCCTTGTAGAACGCCTCCATGTCTTCGTAGCTACGGCGAGCAAGCGCTCCGGTGTCAGCCCAATGTGGTTTTCCCTTTTGTAGACTCCCTCCCTAGAAGCGGTTTCCGCGAGCGAAGATCCAGAGTTAGACAAATGCGACGAAAAGGAACGTACCGGTCGAACGTGAAGTCGGCGATGCCGTCGTACTGGGGCGGGATGCCGATCGCCTCGTCGCGGTGCGGGATTCGATGGAACTGTGTGTATCATCCCACGGGTCAGGGTCAGGGTCATCACCCCGTCACGTATACAGTATGATTTTCTAGCCCGAGGACATGGCAAATAAAACCCTCGCCCGCTCGAACTGGCCCAGGAGAGAGGTTCAATACCTGTGTGTAGTCCGACACGCCGTATTTGATCAGCCTACCCCCTTTCGCGTCAGTCGATCGATACATACCCAGCACAGCCACACCAAGACGCTTTCTGCATATACGGTGGGCAGGATCTCTTGGGGGCCGTAGAGGTGCGGGTTGGCTCCTACTCACAATTCGGTCACCAGCGGGCCGTGCACGTTGGCCCAGTGGCTGTGGAAGACGGCGGCGCTCATGCCTTTCTTGCGCGGGATCAACAGGCACATGCGGACCTTGCTCGAGAAGGACGAGGTGGTAGTGGTCGACATCTCTTCTTTTGCTTTTAGTTTCTGGTCCCAGACACTGGAGTATACAAGGTTTGTTCGCAGGATGCGAGGAATGAATGGATTGGTTTCGAGCAGAATGAGAGATTCCAACAGAAGCAGCAGCAGCCGACGTCAAGCATGCGGCATGCCAGATTGGATTTTCTTCCGTATGTATAAGGATCCGCAAAGACATGTTCACCTCAGCCATTCCCCCATCGCCTCTCAGCAATGTTCCTCTGTGATCAGGACCCCCATGGAACTGTGGTGCTTACGAAGGACGACAAGGAAAGAGAGAGCAACAGCCCGAAATCCGCCCAGAGTTGGCCCGCCAAATAGATATCAGGTAGAGCCCAGACGCCCTCCAAGACAGATCCGGAGTTCTAGGTGCGAGTAGAAAGCATCCAAGCCTCGGGTCTCGTTATTTGTCTCCAATCGCCGCAGAAGTTGCCGCGTCCAGATGTGCGCGGAAATGGACCGATTACAAATGAGGGCGGCCCATCACGACGGCCTTGTAAACCCATGGAAGTATCGTCGCCGAGCAACACCCCTTACGGATTCTGAGATCTAATCACCCTACAAGTCGCACCTAAAACCGTCTCAGCGCGAAGGACTTTTGCTTTCAGTATCCATGGCGGACGAGAAGAAACGGATTGTCTTCTACACGGCGTTTTCGCCCAATGGGCACAAGGTCGCTATCACGCTCGAGGAGCTCGGGCTCGACTACGAGATGGTCCACGTGAATCTGCCGGCGATCCAACACAAGGAGCCGTGGTTCCTGGACATCAATCCCAACGGGCGCATCCCCGCCCTGACCGACACGTTGGAGGACGGCACGTCGATCAAGCTGTTTGAGTCGGGCAGCATCCAGCAGTACCTGGTGGACCGGTACGACACGGCACACAAGATCTCCTACCCGCGGGGCACCAAGGAGTTCTACCAGACCAACAACTGGGTATGCCTTCTCGCTTTTGCAGTTCCTGTTGGTCTCCGGAAAATACTTACCTGCAACCACCGCGCAGCTCTTCTTCCAGAACGCGGGCATCGGCCCCATGCAGGGCCAGGCCAACCACTTCCTGCGATACAACCTGTCCGATCTGCCCGAGCAGTACTCCAAGGACCGATACATCAACGAGACCCGCCGCCTGTATCGCACGCTCGACAAGCACTTCCAAGACTCGGCGTCCCCGTACCTGGTCGGCGACAGGCCCACCATTGCCGACATCGCCATCTCTTCCTGGGCCAACATTCTCGGTGCGTGTCTTGTTTCCCTGCGATCTCTCTGTGGTACCAACAGTAATGCTAATCCAAGGGCTCCAAACACAGGGTTCGCTGGCGTGGAGATCGACGAGTTCCCGCACGTCCGAGAGTGGCAGCAGCGCATGGCCCAGCGGCCGGCCGTGCAGAAGGGGTATAATTCGCCCAAAAAGGTCGACTTGGACACCTTGTCCAAGGATAAGCAGGCCTTCAACGCCTATCTGAAAACGAACGAGGCCTGGATCAGACACGGAATGGAGGCCGACGCGAAGAAGTAGGACATAAGGTATCGATGGCGATTCTAGGCGGACTAAACAGCAATTTCAATCGTCACTCCTTTTTGGAATCACTCGTCTAGGTGCTCCTTGCCGATCTCCCAGTAATCATGCTCGTTCTCCGTAAAGAGGGCGAAATCCCAATGGTGGTGGGAGGGTAAGAACATGATTGGTCGTATAGGCCACCTGAAGAGGCCGACGGTCGATCAAACGAAGGAGCGTCTTAGAACCGTCACGCATTGCCTCGTAACAACTCAAACAGGGCTGTTCAGTCGACCCGTAGTGTGGTAGAGACAGTCCCCATTTCACGCACTGTTTCTCCTCTCGTTTTTCGCATTTCGCTCTCATGGCAAATACGAGCCCGAGAACATCTCGTCGAGGTAGCTAGAGAAATCCATGTTCATGTCCCGGTCCACTGCAAACGGCATGGCGTCCAGACACGTCGGCGAGAACGCGGCAACGGGAACATCGGTACTTGGGAATGAAGGCACTCCCTCCGCTCCAGCACCCGCATCCAATGTGGTCATGCTGATGCTGAGATTGGGCTCATGATGCGGAGGGTGTCCTACCAGGGGTGGCGGCGCCGCCAGCCGGTACAAGTGGCGTGACGTCGACAAGAACGGCGCGTGTGGCTGGTGCTGGTACTGCGGTGGCGACAAGGTGGAAAACGTTGCGTTATGATAAATGCTTGAAGATGTCTCCGTCAGGCCATCTCTCATCCCACCGTCACTTGTAGAGCACCCCGAGTTATCATTGACACCATTGCGATCGACTGCGGTGTTTGATGTCGCTTCAGCGTGCATTGTTGCTTGCGGACCCCGCGACTTTCCGATGATGCCCTCGAGCCCGCTGTCGAGCATTTCCCAATTATGTAACGGCACTCGTGGCATATTCCAGAAATCCACCGTTTTCTCGTATGTCAGACGCACCAGCTCGAAATTGGAGGTGACTAGATCCCGGTCCGGGTCGTCATCTGACAGTCGGCTACGACGCAGCAGCTGGACAGCTCCAGCGAGCCATGCAGTGCTGGCGAGGAACGGATTGACATGTTTGTAGTGATCCTCTGCAGAGTCTCGGATCATGCTGACCACATTATCTGCTGCCTCGAAATATTGCAACAGATGTTGTGGTTCGAAGTCGGCGGCAGGGTGGTCCGGCGTTTTGTGAAGAGTCCAGTTGATCCCCGAGCGGAAGACGTGGAACTTCAGAATCATGAGTTTTGTCAGTTGAGTCATGAAATAAATGCTGTAGATGAAGTTGTGCGCAAGCCGCTGTGCCACGGCGCCCGGCCGCTGGAGATCCACGCCACCAAAATTGAGATGTTGACCGTGGTACTTGTGTTCTTCGGGAAGTGCCATGACTGCGCAATACAGAGCATTGGAGATGATACTCAGGCGCTTTGTGGCCGCCGCTTTCTTCTGGAGGATTAGCCTCTGGTGCTCGTCAATCACACCGTCACCTGCTTCTTGCGACAATGCAGGATCTGACAGGTGAGGTTTGTCAATGCCGGTTGGACTGGAGATGTTTTGGGCGTCTTTCATGAGCGAATTGAGAAGGATGAACCACGCGCAAGGCGATCGGTTTTTGGTGGCGGCCAGCGCCTTCCATCGAGTGGTGACGTTGACGTCCAAGCAACAACTCTGCTGTGGTTCACCACGATACCATCTCTCATCTTCGGCCGGTAGGAAAGTCTCGTTCTGGGTCCAGTCAATTCCGGCCGGGCAGCGACGAATAACACTGGCGAATACGTCCATCTCCCAAATCGCCCACCAGGCACGACGCCATTCTTCTTCGATGCACCATTTCTCTACATTTGCGATATGTTCATGGCTTTGCTTGTCCGCGTCGATGAGGTGAAGGTTCAATTCATAGGCGGTTCGGATACAAGTCCCTAGATACCTCCACGCTTTTCCTCTGACATTTTGGACGAGCAGGCAATGTGTATTCAAGATCATTGCTTGCAAGAGAGGAAGGGACAACGGTTCGTCGCCGAGTTCTGCAATGGCCTGTTCCACGTATTTGATTCCGAGCGCCCGGAAATAGATGCTTGGTACCTCTGTCGAGTCTGGGAGAATCTGTTCCTGTGCGACGTTTTCCAGGTCTTCTTTATCGAGCCCCTTGAGCCCGAACGCGAGCATGGCCGCCAAAAGTGCGGTTCTTTGAGTCGCAGTGGGGATCTGTCTTAGTTTCGTCCGGAGGACCGTCAGCCGGAAGAGTTGGAACGATGTGAACGTCTCGAAGTATCGCGGAAGTCTATGCCTTTGTTATTTCCAACTACTCCCAAAGGGCCCAACGGGAATAACAAGCGTTTGAGTCAAGACCGGCTTACAGTGTGTTCAATTGTAGTAAAGTCAAGCCCAAGGATTTGCAGCTCGTCATAAGTGCATCGGTGTAACCACTATCCGTGTCTTCGAAATATTGAGTGGCATCAGTCTGGTCTGGCGAGCAATTGCCAACGGTGGGGTGGAGAACGAACGAAAGGCTCTGCACATTGTCTGGTCGCGAAGCTTTTTGTGACGACTGGGATGGTACCGAGGAAGGGGAGCTATAGTCGTCGATTGTGCTCGTTTGTGTCGTCCTTCGTGGTTCGATCCTCACGTTGCGTCGTTCTTGAGCACTTTTCTCTTGACTCTCTCTTCCAACTAGAATCGTAACGTCAGGATCTTCCAAGCCGCAGAGACGGAAAAGAACTTACGCTGCCGCTTTTGAGCGGTGGCGTGGGTACTGCCTATCTTTGGGCCAGGTCTCATTGGTTTTGTTGGGTAAATACATTCTTGCGAGGTTTCTTTGCATATCATGCAGTGTGGCAGTTCGCGGCCGCACTTGATTTTGCGCTTGCGGCACATGTAGCATGCCAAGGTGGCATGGGGGCGACGCCGGTGCACCTTCTCTGCATAGTCGGACATTGTCCCTAGAGTTCTTCCTACAGACGACGGTAAGGAGCACTCGGGGCCAAGGAGGGGCGGGTATGTTGTCGAAGAGAAGGTGGTTGAGGTCTTCGTCTTCTCAGCCTCGTCACGTGCTGGCTGTCGATATTTCGGAGCTTGGGCGGCACAGCAACGACTAGTTGATTCCAGACAGCTCTGGAATACGCGGCGCTGGACCTCAGGCTTCCCCAGGATCGGCTCTCGTGTCTTTTCGCCTTGTACGCCAAGCGATTCGCAGCATGCCTCGGTCTCGGGCGCTTGAATCTACTTGTAGGGTGGAGGAGGTGGCAATCGTGGAAGATTCCCGTCGACGTACACTGCACCACGCTGGCAACGGCCGAAGATGGTATAACTGGCGGCGGCAATAATCTCTGAGATGTGAATTGGATGCCTTCGTGCGGTGATTCCTTCAAAGACTGGGATGGGAGATCGTCGTCATGGAGAAGAAGACGAGGCCCGCGATCCAACTCCGGGTCGACTCCGGGCCAATTTTGATTGGCTGTTGAAGAGTCGAGGAGTATAGAGGGCGCAGGCAGGCGGGCGCAGCTTGTGGGAAACTACAATGCAGAGTCGAATTTCCGCATAACAAAGGCCGGGGTAGGAGACGAGGAAAGCAGGTCAATCAGCTGACGATGGGGTAAAGCCGACGTCCATCGCAATTGAAGAGGGAGAGCAGGACCCAATGATGGCTCCAGCATATTCAGCCGCGGCCAGATCCCCAGATTCAATTCCAGCTGCTCCTGTAGTGTTTGGGATCCTGCATTTTCTAACCTCTGATCCCTCTATTCGTCCAAAGTCGCCCCGGAGTCCTCCCAGTCCCAGGCTGTGGACGCGGGTTTCTGAGCTTATCCGCATCTTCGATGCCCCTCGGTTGGAGAAGCGGCCAGGGGCTGTCATTGGCATGGATATAAGGACATGCTGGGATTGTCCGGCAGTGGTAGAGGCCAGATTGTCTCACAAGTAACGTCCAAGACCTACAGTCGAGATGGGCTCCATGGAAGGAAAAGTCATTGCACTCACCGGTGCCGCCTCTGGGATCGCCCTCGCCACAGCCAAGTTGCTGGCCAGCAGGGGCGCGAGCCTGTCACTGGCGGACATCAATGCGAAACAACTAGAAGCGGCCGCCAAATCCCTCGAGGCGGACGGAACCAAGGTCATCTACACTGTGGTGGACGTCACGGACCGGTCGCAGGTGCGGGCCTTCGTGGAGAGGACGGTGCAGGAGTTCGGCAAGCTCGATGGCGCCGCCAATCTGGCCGGGGTCATTGGCCGTCACGCGGTGACCCTGGAGCTCCGAGACGAGACCGACGACGAGTGGGACTTCATCATGAACATCAACGCCAAAGGCGTCTTCAACTGCTTGCGCGAGGAGCTCCGGGTCATGAAGTCGGGCGCGTCCATCGTCAACGCGGCCAGCGTGCTCGCCGTGCTCGGCCAAGTAAAGAACAGCATCTACACCGCGAGCAAGCACGCCGTGGCCGGCCTGACGCGAGCTGCCGCCAAGGAGGAAGGCAAGAACAACATCCGAATCAACGGAGTGGCCCCTGGCTTCATCGACACGCCCATGGTGACAGCCGTCGAAGAAGCACAAAAGGTGCAAAAGGCAGACATGAGCGCGCAGGCCTTTCAAAGGAAAGGCAAACCGCAAGAGATCGCCGGCATCATCGCGTTTCTCTTGAGCGACGAGAGCACTTTCGTTACAGGAGCAATCTGGAGTGCTGACGGGGGTTGGAATTGTTGAGAGACCTCAGTTACATATTGAGATCTCGCCCAAGATAGGATTCAGCAGGACGATGAGCCACTTCTCTTCTCCAGAGCGATTCGCATATATTTCCTATGATAGATAATAGCGACTCCTGTTTCACAACATCGCATCAACCCTCCTATGACAGTCCGTGACCATTCACATCAGGATAGCGGCTGGAGGATAGCGGCTGACCGAGGGGGGAGCGAGTCCAGCAACTTTTCCTTGTTCTTTTTCATGTATTCCTCAAATGTCGTGGTCTTGATCCCATATTTCTGCTCCAGCGCCTCGACATCGACACGTCGCGCAACACGATTTGCCAGTTCTTCAAATATTTGAAAGAACGCGGTGTTCTTTGTCTCTTCCACCTCCGCCGGTGTGCGCTTGTGTAGTTTGATGTCAATCCCGCTCACTCGAGCCAGGATATCACGGGCATCCCTCGCAGAGAGGTTATCGCTTGCCATCTCGATTTCATGGCCGCTGAATTTCGCCGGGTCGAGGAGCGCCGTGGTCGCAAACTTGCCGATGTCGTTCTCATCCAAGTACGGCATGGTCCGATCGTCGTTCAACGAGGTCACCAGTGTAGCTGATCGTGGAAGCTCGGGAAATGCGTGACTACTAGCCGAATGCGGGAGCAAATAGTCATAATCCAGGACAGGTGGGCGAAGGATGGTGTAATCCCGGATTCCACTCTCACGGACCGCAGCTTCCACCTCGGCCTTTGACGTATAATAGTTGCCCAACCAGGGGTGCACTGCTGCCGCCAAAGCAGGTTGCGTACTCATTTCCATAGTTCTGGAAGTGGAGGACAAGACGATGCTGGTGAGAGTCTCCCCCGCACCGGCCACACACGCTCGAATGATGGCATCGGCCTGAGCCTTGGCTGCTCCAGGTTCAAAGATGGTGAGGTTGAGGAATACTCCAGTGCAGCCTGCCGCTGCGGTGCGGAACACGGTATCTGGCTCTTCATGGGTGCCTTGAAAGAGGACAACCCCCCTTTCTCGAAGAGCAATCGCTTTCGGCGAGGACTGATCTCGAACCACTGCGTGGACTTCGGCTCCAGCAGCCAGCAAAGAGGTGACCACCGCACCACCTTGGAAGCCTGTTGCTCCAGTGACAAGATACTTAGGCATTATGTGTTTGCCTGATAGAGTGAGTGATGTGTTCTGTGAAGTGATCTGGGAGCTTCATCCAACCCAAGTCGCCCTTTTATATCCTGCGTCGTTGCATCCGGATATTTCGCATGACCCACGCACAAAGGCCATTACTAATTGCAGTGTCCGGTTGACGAGCATTAAATGCGTTATGTCCGGGGGTAATGGACCAATCTGTTCCTTTGCTGATCAGAGCAGTGGTGTTTCCAGTCGAAATACAAATGCATTTCGATGACCTCGATCCAAATTGGCTTAGTAGCGCACAGGTCTGGCGAATGAAACGTCAAAACACGGCCTTAGTCCCACAAATCCTCGTTTACCCTTTTGAGAAGAGTGTGAAAACGTAAATCGGCGGCCTGATACGACTTGTAGCTTGCCACGGTATGGGGCGGTGCACGGCTCAATTGAAATGCCGGTGCCGCCCCTGCCATGCTGCGCACATCGTATAGAGACAATTGACATGTTGGCACTCGCCAGACGTTTCCGGTGGACATATCATTCGCATTGGCCTGACCCTTCTAATTCTAATCCACTTCGAGAACATTGCTCGCTAGAGTCGCATTCATGCCTGATTCACAAGCATTACTGGCAGGGTGTAAAGTCGGCCGCTGGATACTATCGAGTCTGAGCCAATCAACCATGCGCTGCCCTGCTGGAGCGACATCAGTGTACGGGTAGCCACAAGCAGCAGCCGGGAAATCCATGTATTTCCACAACGACTTATCCCCAACCTGCTCAAGGTGTTCATAAATTGCCCAGCAGTCATTCTTGGCTCGCAGGCGTGTCCACCAGCAATCTTTGGCGCAGATAAGAGCAAGCCAGTACGACACAAGCATGAGGGCTCTCGTGTCAAGAGAGTTGAGAAGGACGACGAATTGCGACGACATTCCTTCCACGAACTGCATGTACAGTAGAAGAGCCAGTTCATTTCCAGGATCCACAGGCAGAAGACGCCACAGTCTGCGAAGTAGTTTCAAATAAGGGTGATCGTCGCAGTTGGAAGTCTCGCTGAGATCGAAGACGGTGGCGAATTCTGCTGGAATGCCGCTCACGCCTGGTCTATCATCATAGAGGCCCAGAAGAGCTTCGGCTACTGGTTCAAACACGTCGAGCCACATACTCTGTAAGCTAGGTTTGAATCGAAATAGAGTTAGGAGAGATCCTAGCCCACGTTGACTGCCGACCCAGAAGAAAGGCACTTGACGATTCTTCAAAGGCACTTGAAAATCCTCGACCATGTCAGCAAAGGAGATGGATCCCAGGAACATTGAAGTTGTGATAGCAGCATCAATCTTGTCTACCTGTTGCATTTCGAGATATAGCCTTAGTCCCGAGCAGGCCCGCATTGTATGGTAGGTCTCACTTAAACACCGTCCTCGCGGTGATTTGACGTGATATCGGAAATGGCAACCCGCGGCAGCAAGGACAGAATGCATAGCAAGGGGCTCCTGGCGCATGATAAGTGTCTTCGAAGATCGTGATGTCGTCTGATGAACTTACGTCTAGGGCAATGGAAACAACTTTCTGGGCAGCCGTCGTCCAGCTAGATAGTGGCACCATGGTTTCCATGACCACAGTGATAAAATAGCTGAATAATGTTGAATCGGTGTGGGGGAACCAATCTGTTTGAACTGTCGTCCGAATATCCCGGTCGACTCGAGGCGATAGCGCCACAGTGTAGGAGCAGCGTGCGCCATGCTTGATACAGTTCTGGCATGTTGGCGACTGTTCGTCGCACTTGTAGAATCAGCAACCATGAGTTGCAACTTTGTGAAGTTATCACCTACCTTGATCCGGCGCCTCTTACATATCAGGCATCCCTTCTGCGATTTGCGATGTGGTCTTCGAGACTTGTAATTCTGAAGCCGACTGTCGGAAGTCTGACCTTCGCGAAATGAGAGGATTTGAAATCGTCCTTGACCGGCATGGACCATGTTGGGCGTTCAGTTATGAAACGGGGGGAGGGTCTGCCTCATTGACGGTGTCTGCATATTGACAAGGAAAACGAGGTGGAGGCGCGAGGCCTGTAGTGGAAGATTACTCGTACACCGAGGCGCCTCTCATGGGGTCTCAGAAACCTAGTCGCCAGGTATCTGGGGTTCCTCAAAGCCTGGCCCAGTTGTCGCATGGCTGGCGCAGGTGGGCGTGGTTCAATCTGCGCCGGGCCACTGGGGGAGAGAGCCGGCTTGACCCCGGATCTCTAGGTCGTGTTCTAAATTTCGCTGCATTTCGATTGTGACCCCATCCACTCTCCTGAGACATCTCGACACCATCTTCCAGTCATCTGCTCCCGTCCACAGCAACTACAACTACTTTCGAGCTGTCTCTAGCACCCGTTCCCTTCGCACCTCATACCACTCTTCTTTCCTCCCCACTTTTGGTCTAAGTCTGGTGAGTTTGGCGACAAACCGCTTGGCTTCCGGCGCGCAATCACCCACTCCCTCATCCCTTGCTTCGCCACGCCTCCTACGAGTAACACCTCTTCTTTGTCTCTGAGCCTTTCAACCCTTCTATCTGAACTTGACGAGAGAAGGATACGGATATTGTCGAACAGAAAGATATCATCTGGTAGTCCGCCACCCGGCATCCAGACACGTAACGATTGCTTCCATCACTCTGGCACCTCCCAGGATGTGGTCTACTGCCGCTTCTTGGGCCGCCCTACTTGCGTTGACCGCGGCCCTTACCCGATATTACAATCCGGATTTGTTCAATAAACTCACTGGTCAGGCGTTCACGCGAGCACCACAGCCACCACAAGAGTTGGAGAGACACACTGCCAAACGACAGAAGGCGAAGCGGACACATGCCAGTCGACTAGAGACTAGCAACAGCGGCACGTCTACCCCAACCAGTGCTACTGAAGGAAAGTCCAACAAGAGAAGGAAGCTCGTATCTGCGCCCATTGAGGACAAGGTGGTTGCTCAGACTGCCGGGGGTCAACGAGTAACTCTGCCCCGAGACGAGGAGGACGAATTGAGCAACAAAGAATTCGCTCAGCAGCTCGCCAAAGCGCAGGCTGGGACTACTCTGGAGCCTGCCAAGTCGCAGGGAGCAACCAAGAAAGAGCGACGCGCCGCCGCCAAGTCCTCGCACGGGAAGCAGAATGGCCTGGAAGCTTCAGGACTTTCCACCGAGACCTCGTCCACGACCGGCCGCGACGCAGACGACGATCTCTCTCCGATTGGATCTCCCTCTACCGGTCCTGTGTCGACTGCGCCCACCTCCCGGGCTGGTGACGTGTCGGACATGCTGGAGGCCCCTGCAGCCAAACCTGGAGTTCTGAGATTGACAGATGTCAAGAGTGAGAGCCCAAGGGCAGCAGCGGGCTCCTCGAAAGCTGCTTTCCAACCTGCCTTGACCAAGAAACAGAGACAGAGACAGGCCAAAGCAGCCGAGCAGAAGACCTTAAGAGAGGCGTCGGACCGCATCCACGAGCAAAAGAAACAAGCCCAATTGCGGACTGCCAGAATGGCTGAAGGCAGCTCGAATCAGACCAAAGCAAATTCGTTCACGGCGAAGCAGAATGCCTGGCAGACTGGGAAGCCAGCCTCAGAGAAGTTAGCCCAGACCACAGAAGTTGCGCCTCTCCTCGACACCTTTGAACAGCCACAGCTACCCACTGTCACTGTGAACGAGTCTGTCACTGCCGAACCGCTGTCCCATGTCACCAACACCGTGCCGGAGACAGCAAACGTCACCGAAGTCAAACAAGATGTTGGCAAAGGCAAAACTCAGGCGCTGGGAGCATCAGACCGAGAGAAACTCGTCAGACCCGTGCTAGGGAGCCAGCCAAGCTGGGCTGACGAGGTCAACGAGGAGGAGCAAGACAAGTGGGCAAATGAGCTTGCACAAGAAGAGAAATGGGAATCGGTGACCAACAAGAAGGGGAAGAAGAAGGCCAAGAAGGATATAAATGATACCAGCAGTGAAGCCAGTTCTTCGGTTGCCAGACCGGGGGCAAACAACCACCCCGTCGTCAACGGCAGTCAAACGAATGGGATCAAACCACGCGTGGAGAACCTGAATCGATTCCAGTCCATCGAGCCGGTGACAGACCCGACGTTCAAGGATGCCGAATGGGAGGCTTGACCTTGTCAAACAAATGTGAGAGAAGGCATTCGCTCCGAAGCGTTCCGGGGCGGATGTGGCGCACTTTGTTGCCAATAGTGCATGGTCATTTGAGAGGAAAGGCGCGTTGTTTGTTTGTGTGGGAATTTCTTTTCTTCTACCTTCGTTTCTTTTTTGAATTCAAGACTTACCCGCGTGGAGCATCATTTACGGAGCATTAGCATGGGCACGGATATTCATCAAGGCCCCAAAGCCGAAGGCAAATGCGGAGATCAAGTGATCGAACTCCGAATGGGATCCCACGAGGTCCAAATTTCTCCATACGGAAAAAGGGAGAAAGAGTGTACCAAGAAAAATAATGGAGAGAAAGCTATTGCGCCACCGGGACGATCCCTAAGATAGAAGAACCCTTGGGGACTTGTATACGATATGCAAGTCATCTTGACGCGATTGTGACCGAGCAGTGGCCCTTGTTCTAGAAGACACAATCCGCGGATGACTCGAACTGGACGATGGCGAGAGCTCAGCGCGACCAGCCATATCCGGCATGTGAGAAAAGACGCTGTGGGAAGAACGCGAAAGGGGCAGTTCCTCTACGTCGCAGAGGCAGTAAAGGGGAGGGGATTGTGAAGGGGATTGTGGACTTAGTCAGAACCAAAATCCAGGGGTTGCCGACCATGTGATTGGCTGGGGTCGAGAATAGCACCACCTCCCACCACGGCTAGTAGACAGCGTGTTAAGAATACCAGACGCAGTATTTTGTGCCTCTGCTGTGCCTCCACCGAAACCCAAACCGGGTTGCAGATTGACACACAGTCTTTCACTTGCCACGGGTCAATATAATCTCACTCCCCTGTATGGGAAATTTGGAGCCGTCACTGTACTGAAAAAGACACACGCACCCTTTTCTTGCTATCACACCCGTCCTCGCACTTATCGGCTGCTGCCGCTTTCCTGCTCGTCGACCGGACCAATTTCTGACTGCGATCGAAACCTCCCTCACCTGAGCCCACGAAGCAAGCAACTGCCACCATTTACTTCCTCCCCAGCGTCACCATGGCGCAAATAAGAGGCACCGCAGGCTACAACCTGGGCCTGAACAACCAATTCGGCTCCCAACGGAGCGACAATGCCACCAACGACCCCAGTCCCCTCGACCAGATCCGAGAGCAGACGAGCAAAATTGAAGACTGGTTGAACACAATGGGCGAGCCCCTGAAACCGTGAGAATATGCCCATTTCACCTTCCTTGGGGCTGAAAAAGCTACATGAGCTTTCTTGAAGACAAGGCGGCAGCTTACTCGAAGAGATGATGCACACAGATACCTGCCCGCCATTGGTAGATTTCTCATCGTTGTGACGTTCCTCGAAGACGCGGTCAGGATCGTGACTCAGTGGAGCGACCAGCTCACCTATTTGAGGGACTACAGACACAGTAGGTGGACCACAGGATAAAACCTAGGAACTGCAGTCACTGACCATGTCCACTAGTCCCTTGGGGCATCACCCACCTTTTCCTCATCTTTAACGTCATCACCATGTCAGTCTGCTCAACACTGGTCATCATGCGCCGCTATGGCGAGTATGCAGTGGGCGGCCTGTTGTCAGTCGTGGTTGTCCAAGCTCTCGGCTACGGCCTCATCTTCGACCTCAATTTCTTCCTGCGCAACCTCTCCGTGATCGGAGGTCTGCTCATGGTGCTCGGAGACAGCTTCGTGAAGAAGAGGGTGTTTGCGGGCTTACCTACAATTGACGAGAAGGACAAGAAAATGTACATCCAGCTTGGGGGCCGGGTCCTGCTAATTTTCCTCTTCGTCGGATTCGTCTTTGCTGGTGAGTGGAGTGTCGGGAGAGTCCTGGTCAGCCTGGTTGGATTCGTGGCTTGCGTGATGGTCGTGGTGGGTTTCAAGGCGAAGCTCAGCGCCATCATCCTAGTTGTCCTGCTCAGTGTGTTCAATGTGCTCGTCAACAATTTCTGGACAGTAAGTGGAACCGTGGGCATTTCTGTCAGGCGAGCTGTACTGACGCTTTACACTTGCAGCTTCATAAGAACCACCCACACAAGGACTTTGCCAAGTACGACTTTTTCCAAATCCTGTCGATCATGGGTGGCCTGTTGTTACTGGTCAACATGGGACCTGGCCAACTGAGCGTGGACGAGAAGAAGAAAGTATACTGAGCGCGTCGAGAACTCGACGCAAGGGTCTTCTTCGAGCAAGAGAGAGCACACTATGCTCGAGGCACGCGTCGATGGTATAAGAATGTGGAACGAGACCATGCAGGACCACACCGAGGGTCGCTCAGAGGAAAGAAGACAGCTACGATCCACTACAGGGTGTTTCGGAGACAACTTGTCTCACTAGTCGGCTGTCGTGGTCTTTACCGCGCAGAGAGCAATTCAGCGCGCATCCTCAGGGGCCCAGGGCCGTGATGACGAAAATACGTGTGATATCTAACTTGCATAAGCGGTTGCGTTCTCAGGGATAGAACGTAGGTTGGGACAAGGACTCAGCATGTTTCTGCATTCTGGAGTAAAGATCCAGACTGGACAGATTTCGAAAAGCAATTACCTCCAAGACAAGCAAGCACATTCCCCTTTGATGCATTGCCGTTGGGATTTAGCTAGAGATAATATACTTCGTACAGTCCTCGCGGCGATAGACATGAGTTGGAGTCTGATATGTGAATGCCAAGCTCTTCAATCTGCGTCCTCGCCGAAGCGGCGCTAACCGGACATCCCCGAAAGGGTTGCATCCTCCTCTCTCATTTCATGCCCCGCGAGTGAGAAGACACCACGATCCACAAAACATATCACGGGCTCAGACGAAATCATTTGCTAATACCCACGGCGAGCCATTAGGCCACACGCTCCTTCGACTCCAATTACCTCTCTCTGAACCACAACTTGGCCTGTCCATCTCCTCACTGTCCTCTCTCGTCGGACAAGCCTCGACAATCAATATCAGTGCTTCAGCAACCGCAGATCCTACTAAGGGGATTACGTCCAACGTGAGGCTTTCAAGAACATCATGGCGCCCAAGAATCGCATCATCATTGACACCGATCCAGGCGTCGACGACGTCCTGGCCATCTTGCTCGCCCTTGCTGCCAGCGCCGACGACCTCGAAGTGCTACTCATATCGATTACCTTTGGCAATGTCGATGTTCGCTCCTGCTTACGCAACGTCGTGGCTATCTTCCACATCCTGGAGAAGGAAATTGCATGGCGCGAGCAAAAGGGTAAACCAGTTGGGTTCGAGGGCCTCACCAAATTCAAGCCGATCGTCGCCATTGGCGCAGATGAACCGTTGCAAGATCGCATCGAGAGCGCCGACTACTTTCATGGCACTGATGGACTGGCTGGGACGCACACAAGTCATCCCCATTTCTCACCCGAGGAGAGTTGGAACAGGCTGTTTGAGCAGCCTCCACCAGACAGTTTCATCACCGAGAAGGCCAAGCCTGAAGTCGACCTCGAGGAAGACACCAATGCATTCATCCCTTCTCTCGAGCCTGCACACAAGGAAATCCTCCGGCTGCTACGGGAGAACGAACCGGATACGATCACTCTGATTGCCATCGGTCCGCTCACCAACTTTGCCCTCGCCGCAGCCGAAGATCCAGAGACCTTTTTGAGGTGTAAGGAAGTTGTCACCATGGGTGGCACAGTCGACGGGATCGGCAATGTCACGCCTGTATCGGAATTCAACGTTTACGCAGACCCCTATGCTGCTGCCCGCGTGTATGCGCTATCGTCACCCATCCCAGCGAGCACAATGCCCATCGCCACCGAAGGGGAGCGCAGCTTCCACCTGCCGCAATACCCTGCGCGTTTGTCCAAACAGCTGAAACTCACACTCATGAGCCTGGACATTACGGAATACCACATGCTCAGCCGTGGCGAGTTCAACACCTTTGCCAAGCCTCATCTGGAGGTCGGTTCACCGCTCGCGGCGTGGATGACGGCATTCATGACGCCCATGCTCGATAAGATGGAACGGCTGCACATCGGTCACGAAGGTGAAGGTGCTGCATTGGCTCTGCATGATCCCCTGTGCATCTGGTACGTTCTAACGCATGATGACCCATCCTGGAAAGCGAGCGCGCGGAGTCCGGAGGATATCCGGATTGAGACCGCAGGACAGTGGACCCGAGGCATGACAGTGGGCGACAAACGAGCTCGACGGAGGAGGAATTCGGACGGTGAGGTGCCTCATGACCGAGGCAACTGGTTGGGCAACAGGAGCGGCAACCGGGTGTACAGGATGCTCGAGAGTCCTGGGAGGGAGGAAGCCTCCAAATACCTTATGAAGGCGATTTTTGGGGCTTAGGGTATTTCTCTGTTTGAGACATGGCTAAGCGAAGACGTGCTGTAGTTTCGGATCCACGAGATGAGTGACGATGGTGGCGACAGAAAGAGGCAGTGAGGAGGACGGTGTAGGAGACGTCAGCTTCTCGTCAATCGCAGATGGAGCCCGACTGCAGCGAGCATTGAAAGTTGCGAGAACAATCTGGTCGGCTGTTGATGCTTGATTGAATGCCAGACTACGGGACAATAGAATGAATGGCCCTGGACCAAGTTAGAGACCCGAATGGGGACAGCCAACCTAGTTAGAAGGGAATAGATGTGATCTGAATGAATGGCTTTGGAGTAGAATGATCCCCTGGAGATGCTACTGAGCAGGGAGTTCCTCCACAGTCCCCCTGTGCTTTGCTCTGTGTACACTCGACGCCCGCCTCCCCATACTTCCTTCCCTTTGTTCTGTCTTCCTGTCGTTGCTATGGTATAGTGTACAGCGGTCCTTCCAACACACCCGCGGGCCCCGTGTCATTTTTCCCTCACCTCAGATCCAAGGCGACACCCGATTGCAACCCATTGGCCTTTTCAGGCCTGGCCAGTTTTCACCTCCCTCCAAACTCAGTTCTTCAACTGGGCAACGTCGATCCCCATCTGGCCCAACATCTGCGCGTAAGGCGGGAAAACCTCCGGGCCCTCCGCCGTCAAACCCCGCCTCCAGTCCAAGCCGGGCTCCGCCTTCTCGACCGCGCGCTGGTACGCCTCCCTGGCCGCGATACGCTGCAGATACGCCAGGATGGCCGGATACGCGGAGAGGTCGGTGGGACTCCACTGGCGCCCCGTGGTGAGGGACCAGACGGTCATGATGTCCGCGAGGGTGAGGCGGTCGCCGGCGAGGAAGGCGCCCGTGGCCGCCAGCCTTGCGTCCACGGCGGCGAGGTGCTTGTGCAGCGCCGGGCGGATCGACTGCGCGAAGGTGTTGTCGGGCGCGGGCCGGAGCAGCGTCGCGGTCATGGCGCGGAAGAAGGCGGCGCCCAGCGTGGCGTTCGCGTGGTGGAACCAGAACAGGAAGTCGGCGTAGTTCTCGTGCGTGGGCCCCAGGGACAGCCGCCCGTCCCCAAACACCCCGTCGATGTACGCCGCGATCGCGCCCGACTCGGACATGCTGAACTCGGCGCCCGTCACGCGGTTGGTCGCCGTCATCACCGGCGCGGACTTCTGGGGCGTCAGCGCCGCCAGCGCCGCGGGCGCCAGGATCGGGTCCCGCGTGTACGTCTGGAGCGTGTACGGGATCCCCAGCTCCTCGCACAGCCACACGATCCGCTCCGATTGCGAGATGTGCAGGTGGTGGACTGTCAAGGACATGGCTTTCTATAGACGCGGGGTGGTGACAGGCCTGGGGCGTAATGGGGATGTTGAAGGAGCCGGTGTGTTTGTTCTGTCGTCCTAGATCCTAAGTAGGTAAGTAGGTATATATACCAAAAGCTTGAGGCTTCGTTGAGTCACTTGCCTAGGCTACACAGTCCGGTTCTTTGACCATTACCTAAGCAACAGGTTGTGGTTCCTCATCCGGCAGGACACGTCGACGTCACCGAGAGAGCGATATAAGTTGTACCTGGAGGGCCTTACTGTGCAGGCACCCACTAGGATTGCTCAGGACGACGATCGTATTCGCCAACTCGGGCTGCGCGAGGGCCTACTTAGTCCCAGCTCGAGCCGAGCCTGGTGCTTAACTACAGCCTCGGGATGGGTAACGCTCTATCCATAGCTACCATTCACAGCAGAACTGGCATGGCGACTTGCACGATGGTGTTTCGACCTCGCACTGGGGACAGGATCTAGGAGGAGTGTGACGACTTCGAATTGCAAGACGAAGGCACAACCATCTCGTCTGAGTGAGTCCAGTGCGTATTCTGACAAGATATGGTTCTGGCGATGCGCGGATTCAAAATCGAGGGCCTGAAGCACCAGTGATTGGACGCGCGAATAAGGCTGGCTCTGCCTGGATCTTTTCTGCGACTTGAAGTTGGTGCTCACCACGGTGGTCGAGACGGACACTTGAGCGACAGTTCGGGAGTCTATCGCACATACCGCGCTGCCCTGCTTCTCAGCTCACCACGCCTCTCTTCCTCCAAACCCACTCCAAGTCTCAAATGAGCATCCTTGGTCCCATCAAAAATTTAGGATGAGTTCGCTAGCTTGAACCGTCTCAGGTATAGCTCATAGAAAGCACAATTCGGCATCAAAGCAGCCAGCCCTAACAGTCTCCAGGTATCAACCATGTCAACTAGTACAGTACTCAAACTGCACTAGCAACCTCCTCCTCCACTTCCACCAGCTCCTCCTTTTCAGACTTGGGGCCAGCACCGGGCTTCTCGATCTCACGCTCGGGTCCAGCCTCCCCTTCACCACCCCTGAGACTTCCCAGTATCCGCAACCTCGCCATGTGAACACTCTGCGCCCATGTCTGCGTGCTCATCCCAGGCTGCTTCAGCGCTTGGAACGCTTTCTCCCACGCTCCCCAGCCGACGTATCTCCGGGGGCCCCAGGGGTCGGACTTGCTCTCCTCTTCGTCCTGGGCCATGGTCTTGACGTGCCATCCTCTGATGTCGTCGCAGACCGCCATTTTGGCACTGTTGGTATCACCACTTTCGTCGATCATGTACTCGTCCCACGGCGCTTGGCCGTTTGCGAACAGAATCCATTTCCTCGCCGTTTCTTTGGCTTGTCGCTCGAGCCACCTGTCCCGGTGGCCCGGGTATCGGTCGAGGAGGGTGAGGAAGACGAACAGAATCTCCACGAAATGGTGGCCGGTGACGAAGCTGTGGTCCGATCCCGGGAACGGGTTCGAAAGGCCAAAACAGTAGCGGTAGACCTTGCGTTTTGGGGCGTCGCCGTCCCCAGCGGCTGTGTTCTGGCGAGCCAGACGCGTGACGAGCCGGTGGATGGGGACGGAGAAGAACATGTCGCCGATGAGCTGCGTCAAGTTCCGCCAGAATAGGTTCTGGTCGGCCCCAGAAGCGAGCTCGGGTGACTTGGGGATGCCGTATGCGCATAGCAACCTGGCTGCCTCCTTCTCGGGGAAAATGGATCGTACGCCTCCCACAAACCGCACAGCCGAGGTGGGCCGGAGGAGATCCCGGAAGACATATCCCTCCCAAAAGTCGTCCCCGATGACTACGTCTTCCAGCCAGGGACACGAGGAAACGAGGGATGTCTGCTTCATGGTGGTCGGTCTGCCTCGAGGGAACAATGGCCGCGGAACGCTCACTCCCGGGATATCATCGACGAAGGGCATCACATGGTACCCGGGATATTTCGCCAGCGCCTCCGCAGGTACTTTTCGGAGCTTCTCCAGTCTCTCCGAAGCACTTGAGCCGTTGATCTCAAAATGTTTCAGCAAGCCCTGGTATTCTGCGTCTTTGTCGTCGAGTGAAGTGTGGCCGAAAATGACGCCGGACTGCAAGATGGCTCGATTGAAGAGTCTTTCCGGGCTGCCGCAGATGTGGTAGATCAAGAAGATGCTGCCCGCAGATTCGCCGAACGCAGTCATGTTCTCCGCGTCGCCGCCAAATCCACCAATGAATTTCTGGATCCATGTAAATGCGGCTCTCTGATCTTGGATCGTCAAGTTGAAGGGGCCGTGGGGCGAGGGTGACGGGTCGGCCTTGTACTCCTCGACCATGTCCTGGCAGACAAGGCTGCCGAGCCAGTTGAGGCGGTATCCGATGTTGACCGTGACAATCGGTAGGGCGATCTCTGACGAATAGGCTGTCAGGGGGGCATTAGAATGCAGGCCGTCGACATGTCCGACCCCTTCCTGCGCCCCGCCGCCGTGGACATAGATCATCACCGGCAGCGGCTTGTGGTTGTTGTCGGAAAGGTAGGATTCCGGCACGGACACGCTGAGGGTAAGACAGGTGAACTCGTCAAACTCTATCCCCAGATCATCTTCGAGGGGCCCGCCGTACGCTTCGAACCAGGTCGGCTTCGTCGCGCCCACTTGAGGACATGCGTGCCCAAACTGTGTGAAATCCCGGTGCGGTCTCGCGTCGAACTCGTCGGGGATGCTGTCCAGGGATACGCAAGGCGCAAATCGTTTGGGCACCAGAGCATACGGGATTGAGCGGAACTGAACGGTAGACGTCTCGGGAAAATGGGACGACTTGATGAGACGCCCCGTCAAAGCGCCCAGTTCGGGATGTTGATGGGTGAAGGTTGGACCATTGTAGGGCTTCCGCCCCGAGGTAGAATGCGTCGTCGTGTTAGCCATGTCCGGCCAGAATGCTCACATCACTTGAGGGTAAGTCCCTTGTCGCCCACTGTCGGATTCGGACGGCAAAGATGCTCAAGGCTTAGAAACGCTTCTGGTAGAGACTGCGGGTAAGGAGATGTATAGCTTGAGAAGGCCTGCGAGATTCAGAACCTTCCTGGATACTGCAGTATTTTACGTGTTTTGGGGACATTTGAGACCCCTCCACTGTACTGCCGAGTGTCTTATCACGGACTGACCTGGCGGCTCGGTGCACAATCTCTGCGACCTTTTGCTGGAAGGGGATGAATAGTGCCCTCTGCGGAGTGTCAATGTTCCGCTCGCCGGTGCACGAGGTTCCCTCAACCCTACACACATACCTTATCTGACCCTTCTAATCCGACCCACTATTCAGTCTCAGGAAGGCAATTGATATTGCTGAAGTTGATCAATCGCTGCCCGGCTCCCTGGGAGTCCAGATGTTACTCGACAAGGACGTAATCGCAGAGGTGGGGAAGGAAGCCGAAGATCGCCCAGTCAGTCGGATGAACTTCCTGCCGCTCGCGAGGCTGGCCTGGAACAGGAGATGTTCGAGATTGTTCAGGCGACAGAACCATCCGTGTTGAAGGATGTTAGCTTAGCTTGGAGATGTCGAGGCACTGACGGGCTTTGGGTCTGGGGATGGAATGATGAGTGCAGACGCTGGGACGACGGTGTGTGTCTCGATCTATGAGATGTTGTATGAAGGGATGGACGGCTTCGGGCCTCGGCGCCGGCAATACAAATTATACTTGTATAGAAAAGACAGGCACGAGAACATCGTGTGCTAGATAGTAACTATTAGAAATGATGGAAGTATACTTGAGTAATCTACATCGAAGAGGCATGTAGAGCCTACAACAACAACTGAAATGCGGACGTGGGACTAAGACAAGTCACAAGTTGTCATTTAGATGTGGTGCATGCCTCAAACTATCTCACCATCTGCAGCATCCATCCGAATTCCACTGCAGACATGCATGTTCTCAGTTCATAGCATATAGTCCCATCAGATTCCCCTCTGGGTCGGCGAAGCGAGCAATGAAACCCATGTTAGGACCCATACTGGTCTTGTCAAGGTGTTTATGACCCCCATGCTGCTGCACAAGATCCAATGACTCCGCAATATCCTTGACAGCAAACACCGTGTGGACACCGACACGGTCCTTGTCCGCTGCATCCCTTGTGTCGATGATCTTGGCCTGGTCCATCAGGCAGAAGCAGCCGTTTACGTTGTTCCCTTTGGTGAAGAAGTAGGTCTCCTTGATGCCTGCGATCGGGGAAGGGGCGCCGTTTTCCATGCACGTCCAGCCCAACACCGCGGAGTAGAACTTGCGAGCTCGGGCCGGGTCGGTGACAGGGATCCAGATGCCCACGCGAGAGTAAGCATCGTTGGAACACTTGTGCAGGCCGAAAAGATCGATGTCAGAGACCAATTCATGGCATGAAAACATGAGATGCCCCAGGTTGAGGGAGATAGTTGACGGGCAACTTACCTGATCAGCCATGGTGCGGTCTGTCAAATGCCTCTCGAACTGACAGCAGCTGCCTTTTAGGTCCTTAGGATGGAGAAAGTGCAATCACTTGGCGATACCAATAGGCAGACATGCATTCCTGTGGAGTTTGGAATGATGGGAGAGAACTGAAACGTCGAACTCGTGGCGAGCTCATCGTTAAATGCACTGCTAACCGTGGAGGAGCAAGTACTCCATTCAAACAGAGTATTCGCCGTTTTCCAGGGCGCTGCCAGGGGAAGCTTCCTGAATGCTTGATCGGGCCCCTGCTGCCTGAGTTCTGCCTGGCGGAACTGTCTCAACCACCTGACAGCGCGCAAGTTTCGTGCTTCGCTACCGAACGCGGGAGGACACACAAAACCAGCTTTGACTGCAATGATAGGTAGGGAATTGTCATTGGATAACAATGCCTCCAAGCGAAGCACTATTTGGAGGAAAGAATGCCTTCAGGACGACAACGTCGTCATCAAACTATAAATTTTGTTGACGATTGGATACGAATACGAACCTCCGCCTCCCTTCGAGTTCGAGAATCGTATCCGCGGGGTGGTCACTAGTCAGCTCCCCGCACCCATCGATGTTGTCGAAGGGCGGAGGGTTGTTACTTCTATTTACTAAATAGACATAGGTGAGGCTCCAAATTCACTATTGTTGGTGTTGGGTGGAATCCCGTTACAGGCGTGTAGCAAAATAGCTTGACACCAGATCCTCATCTGTGGAAGCACAATCCAGATGAAACACTTCGTTATTCCTTCATTTTGTCGAGTGACTAAACAACTACTTTTCGATTGAGTTTGTCCTGGGCCGTAACTATGCTGACAGGCGCCTGTTGTGTTATATAGAGATATCTCATAGAAATAAACAGCGAGAAGGAACCCTTCCAGATTAAAGTATGTTGACTACTGGCCAACAACAAGAGACCACTGAGAATCTTACCAATCCTTGGAGCAGCTAGATGGAATACCACGCGAGGGACTGAACGGCATACGAACGATATCACGATTAGTATATACGTGGTCTCCTGCACAGATCTCCGTCGTTTTTCTCCTTTGGCGTTATCTGAACCTGCCGTGCCGGACACTGCAAACTTGCGACTAGGCCTTTTGACACAAATCTAGACCAAGACCTTGATGTTAGACAACGACGCCAGTCACAGCGGGATTGTGCTTACAGCAAAGGGAGCTATCAGTGGAGAAATCAGCCCAGTCCTAAAGGGGAAGGAATACACTAGGCCGGTCTGTATTCTGAGGTGGATACTCCGCAGAACCCCGCCGCATATTCAATCACGTACTCCAGGGAGCATGGAGCACGCGAGGATCTCTCAGTAACCATGAGGTCTTCCTTGAAGAGGCAGGCATAGTCTATCCCGTCTCGTCCGCGTCATGACCAACTCTCCGCTTCGCGTCAAAGTTGAATCAATACAGACGGAAACCTTGTTCATCGCATAGAGCCTGCCTACAAATGCAGCGGGACCCGCCGTTGGAAGTCGCTTCGGTCAGAGGCTGCGATCTTTTTCTTTCACCTTGGACATTTCCTTCGACTCAAAATGTACTTCACATTTCTGTATAGCCTTGCAGTACTGACTGCCTGTGCTCGCGCCATCGCTGTCCCTGTGAGCAACTATCGACAAACTAGTATTGGAAAGACGCCGAAGGACGACGATGATTATGACCTCGAACCTTCTGCAAGCTTCGCTTTCGCCGGCATCACAAGCTTTGCAAAGCTTCCGTCTGTGCAATGTCTGACGGAGACCGGACCGGTGGACGACATTTTGATCTTGGGGTTCCCGTTTGACACGGCAACATCCTACAGGACTGGTACCCGTCTTGGTCCGAATGCTGTGCGCCAGGGTTCTCGAGCAGCGTCTCTTGCGTGCGTTTGACCCTGATAGCCGCAAATTACGCGCTTGAAGTTGACATTTGGATAGTGGCCACTACAACTACCGCCAGTCGATCAATCCTTACAAGCAGAATATCTCGGTGGTTGACTGTGGAGACCTGCCCATCTCTCCTTTCGACAATGGTCTGGCTTTCGCCCAGATGGAAGAATGGTACAAGCGGCTTCTGTGGCGAGAGGTGAAGTCGACGGAGAAAGGGGTCTTGTCTTCCAAGGTATCTCAAACCCTTGACAACAGCATTTCCCGAAGATCATGCTAATGGTATGCTTCAAAGACCGGTAGACACCACCCCCAAATCATAGCGCTGGGCGGCGACCACAGCATTTCTCTGCCGATCCTGCGAGCGTTGAACACCGTCTACGGGAAAGTGTCCGCCATTCACATCGACGCACACATTGACACTTGGTCGCCCAAGGTATTCGCCGGGGCCAAAGCCGGCAGCAGACAAGCTCAGTTCGCCGACGGCACGCCCTATTACTGGGCGGGCATGGAAGGGCTGCTGAGACCCGAGAACGTCCACGCCGGGATCCGCAGCTCGTTGGATTCGGAGAAGGACATGGAGCTCGACGAAGAGGTGGGATTCGTGACTATCCCCGCCGCAGACATGTTGAAGAGAGACGGCGTCTGGGGAGTCATCGACCAGATCCGATCCATCATCGACCACGACGAGCCTGTCTATGTGTCCCTGGATGTCGACTGTCTAGACCCGGCTTTTGTCCCGGGCACCGCTGGTCCAGCCTCCGGGGGGTGGACGCCCAGAGAAGTCATCCAGATCATCATCGATGCGCTGGACGGGTTGAACATTGTCGGGGTTGATGTCGTGGAGATCCTGCCATCCCTGGATCAGGCCGAAATCACAGGCATCGTTGCTGCCGAGTTCACAATCGAGGTATGTTCTTGAAGCCCCAAAGCTGTGTACTTGTGCTGACCTAGGCAAAGCTCATCACTCGATTGGTCAAGAACCGACTCGGTCTTTGAGTCGGGCGATTGTTGGGGGTGGTTGCAACAGTTTCGGGGGTGAGAGGCACAGTGTGACAGCGGCTCTCTCCCGCTTCTGCTTCCTGGAACGTTGGATCTCAATGAAGCTCATTCTGGAACAGGTGTGGTGGAGATATGTTAGAGTAGAGGCGTGACATAGTCACTGAAATCTACGTTAATCTCGTCAGTACCTCGTGTAAGAATCGTCTCTTTGGAGACTTTGATATTCTTGACCGGCTCGCTCTCGATTAGAGAGAGATGCAGCAGATCCTCCTGTACAAGAAAGCAAGACGAGGAATTGCAGGAGACTCCGTCTGGTTCATAAGTGCATATAGCAGGAGAAAAGAATAGACTCCACCATACGTACAGTTCAAGGCGTCTGTACTTGTCGATAATGCCTGTGAAATAGAATTCTTATTCATTCCCGGCCTGTGACAACTTTTTGACTCTGCATATTTCTAGTCCGATGTGGCGTGTAACCTAGATACATCTCTGGCCAGCTGCTTCCATCGTATGCTCAAAATGCAACAAGATTGCAGAACGAGAAGTGCGCCGCTCCCGGTGATGATGCCCGCCCACAAGCCAAAGACACCATACTGCTTGCGAAAGCATAGGAACCACGCAGTCGTCAGGCCCACCCCATAATATGCCACGAAGTTGCACACGCCGGCCAGATGGGTCTTGCCCGCGCCTCGCAGTATCCCGCTGGCGCCACCGTTGGAAAGGTCCAGGACTTGGAATCCGGCCATCAGAGGCAGCACCCGTGCCGTCTTTTCGATCACCGCTTCGTCGCTCGTAAAAATACGGCCGTAGCTGTTTCTGGCAAGGATAATACCGAAGAACTCGATACCTCCGATGATAAAGGAAAGCAGATATGGTGTGGCGACCGCCCTCCTCGCTTCCTTACTCTTGCCGGCACCGAGTAAGCCAGCAATGCGATGGCTAGAAGCAACACTGATCCCAAGTGCTACCGTGGTGAGCAGGAGGTCGGAAGACATCAATATCTGGAACTCATGTCAGCTGAAGTACCTGGCGGAATAAAGAGGCTCGTAGGCTTACACTCTGGGCTCCAATGGAGCTGGGATCCAGCCTTGCAGCCATCATTGCCAGTATCTCAAAGCTGTGGTACGCAACAGGTCAATTTCCATGTAGAAGCCGAGATGGCGGCAGACTCACCTCCACCACTCCGTCGCACACGTAAAAATCCCAGTGACGGCATAAAACGCCAAACGCGAAATCCCCTTCTGAATGCCCACAATCGATCCGCGCCAGGTCTTTCTCACATCGGGCTTCCTGGAAATGATGCACAGCAAGGCGACAACCGTGATGAACTGGTAGATGCAGAAGGCACAAGGAACACCCCACAGTTGCAGGGTCGTGTGTCGAACAAGGACGAAGGTGAGTAGGACACTAAAGCAGCTTGCCACCGCCGTAGACACTCCGACGATGTTGCTTTCGCCCTGGACCTGCAAGAACTTCTTCAGGGACTCAGCCACAATCTGTAAGACGCCGGCCGGCAGCATGAACACCAAAAATTTGCCGGTTGCAAACGCAAAATCTGGCTCCTGACCCAGGGCGATGAAAAGGTGTCCCGAAAACACCCAGATCGGCGCAAACACAAAACTGAAAATCCCGAGCAGGACAAGCAAGCACTGTTGTAAGAGCAGGCCGAGGATTTTGGGATTGTCTGCCACCGAGTGGGACGTAAACGCTTGCCCGCACAAAGTGTCGAGGGCCGTTGCGCCGCCGATCGCCGTCATGGTCCCCGTGCAGGAGAAGAACATGAAGCCAAAAGAGGTGACTCCCAGTTCGAAAGAGCCCAGACTGCCAGCGATCAGGGCGCTGATTGCTTGCACCGCATTTTGCAGCGCGAATGAGAGACAGATGGGAATCGTCCGCCGGATTAGAGCACCCAGATCGTGTAGGATGTCGAAGGTGACATCCTCCTCTTTGGACGCGGCGGATGAAGTCCGGGAAAGCAGCAAGGAGCGCTCATCGACGATATGTTCGCCCATGCTGATAGTCTTTTGTGAGTGTTGGGGAAAGAGACCAGTGCAAAGGCCACCGAGAGCTGCGAGGTAGGTGGAAGATACTTGGCCAAGTACATGCTGATGAATATGTCTGTTTTAACCACAGGACATGTGCTTGTGCCCTGAGCCATAGCCAGGGCATTTCCTCTTCCCCACAAATCTGCTGATGGACATGTCCGGCAGATAGACTGTTCGTTGTTGACCGATATGCTGCGCTTCTCAGACCGCGATATTCTGACGCGGCCCGCCAATCAGGACCCCGTTCTGTTTGTACGGCGCTAAACCCATAAGGGAAAGCTTATCCTATCTATTCCTTTCCGTCCGATAAACTGCATCGTCTTCCGCTCTCTTCCCGTGCATGAAGACCTCTACGGAATGGGCTCCAACTTCGAAAAGGAGCATTGGTTCTTTTGCATTGCCCGATGAGTCTCCTCTTCATCGATTTGGTTAATAGACCAGCTTCTGGTGTCGTGACCATTGGCAGGAACTGGGCGGAGTTTCGCGTTAACAATTCCACCCGGTACCATTCAGACGCTTCAGCGCCCACCACTCGAAACGTCTCCATCGCATCGCCATGGCATTGGCCATTGAGGAGATAGTCTGATACTCCTGCGCATCTCACTCGCAGGCGCATCTTGCAGACGACTATGGCAGAATCCAAGTCTAATGCGGTTCAGCGTCAAAGGCGATCACGCGCGGGATGTGACGAATGTCGCCGGCGGCATTGGAAATGCAACGAGGCGAAACCAGCCTGTTCTTATTGCCAGAGCGTATGCCGCCCCTGTATCTACTCCCAGAAGCTGTCCTGGGGCGGGCGGCCGTTCAAGAAGTCACGTTTCGGCCGTTGTCTGGAATCCGGAGCCAAGGCCATAAGCATTGAAGCCTCGGGCAGTAAGTTTTATACTCGAGTGTGTGAAGTATCATCTGGCTCATTTCTGCAAAGGTCAGTTGTCGATGGGTAAGGACTTCATCTACACGTGCTCGCCTAGAAGAACAAACGATAATCCGAGCCGTGAGCGAAGTACATCCACAAACTATCGCGTACCGTCTCAGCCACTGCAAGATGAAGTCGAAGACTCGACCTTCCACCCTAAAGCGTCTATAACACCTCAGCCACTAACACCGATGCCAGTATTGACAGAAGAGTCTAAACCGCTGTTAGACTACTTCGTCCACAGAGTGACCGTATCAATTTCCTGCCACAAAGGAATTCAAGATGGGATCTGCTCGGTCATTGTACCTATGGCGATGCAAGTCCCCCATCTCCTGTCCGCCACCCTTACTCTAGCTGCTGGCCACCGACGAACATCCGGCCTTTTTGAAGGGGATTGCCAATATGAACTGATGAAGGGGAAGAGTTTAACACAGTTGAGATCTGCCCTAGATCGATTCAGCCCAACAGAAAATGATAAAGTCCTCGCCACCACCCTGCTCTTATGTATGGCCGAAGTCATATCCCCTGCCACGAGCACCTCGTCATGGAGGTCACACCTTTACGGCGCTGCCACCCTGTCTGCTCAACACGGCCGCTCGAACGGCGCCAGCGTATCGTCCATATCAAGGTTTCTGAGGAGAAAATACCGGGCTCTGCAGGCTGTTGCCCTGGCTTGCTGCTCGAAGACGTTCGAGGGGCACATAATAACCGCACATTCTGAGGAAGAGGATGCTTACATTGACGACCTAGCCGGATATTCCACGACTCTTCTGCCAATCTTTGAGGAGATCAATGATCTGGAGCGACTACGGAAAGATTCCGGTTCAGATTTTTCCTGCGACTGTCCACCTGGACCACCACATTTTGACTGCAGCTCACCTTTGGAGCATAAATCCCACTTGTTGTTCGATCGCATCAGAGCATTAATGGCACAAAGGAAGATGGCACGGAGAGAGGGTGATGGAGATCTTCCGTGGCCCATATACCACGACCTTTATCTCGTAGATGAAGCCCACCACCATATGGCGCTACTTCAGGTGTTTCGACGTGGATCCTTGTCCGTTCCTCTTCAAATGATCGAGGACAGCAGACGATCAATCCTGGGTTGTCTTGGTGCCGTCACGTACCGATCCGGCCCATGTCCGGGGGTGGCCGCTTTACCCCCCTTATTCGTGGCGGGCATCCTGTGTACGACCAAGTCAGACAGAGACAAGGTGCGCAGCTTGTTGAAGACCATGTGGATGAACTATGGGATGGGAAATGTGAGGTCTTGTCAGACCGTGCTGCAAAGATGGTGGAAGCAGCAAGATGAGAGGCTGGCTAAATCGGCTTTCTCTGAGAAGCTATACGATCTTCAAGGTAAGGTGGAAGTTCATGTCTATGCTGGGCGTCCGCACTGACTTGGCAGCAGTTGATGATGATGTCCTACCGTATTGAAGGATTGCGCGTTGAGAACCAGCGCTCGGAGAATGCCAACTTCCTTAGGTTGCGCAATGAGACAGTCCAGTCCAGTGTTCAGACGGCCAGGTCTTCTGTGGACCTAGACTGTGGATATTAGTATCTGATCGTAAGGCCGTCGTCGCCCATCAGATTGGATTCAGGCCCATCACAAGCTTCGTCGTATGTGGTTTCGTATATACAAGGATCGCCCGACAAGGCCATGTCTCTGTATTCCATCTTTCCTCTGTCTTGAAGAATCAAGTGCTGAATGCATGATGGATGTGGCACTGGTAGTGAGTGAGTGAGTGGTAAGGAGTAAGGATAAACGATTGACTGTGTATGGCGGCTGAGTAGTCCGCGACGTTTTGTCCGGTCACGTGCTACAACATTACCTCTCACGTGACAACCGTCGCTAAATTACCGGCCCAATCATTTGGGGGTCCTGGGACAGGCGATGCCTAGCCCCAGCGAGGCCGTAAGGTGCTGGAATAGCAGTTCCTGCCGCCGCGAAGATGTCCGGGTATCACCCACGGCCCTCCGTACAGTCCCTATCAAGTATTTCTGGTGCCCCCGGCTTCCCCTGGCGTCCTCCGCTCTCACTAAAGCACCCAAACAAACACCCCTAAAGCCCACCGCCCACAACACGCGTGGACCGCAGAACCAATTTTTTCTCCCGCCTCGCCGCCTTCTTCGCGTGTCAAGTTGTGACTGGGACAATCATGGCGGCCTTGACTCCATCTCTCTATCGTACACAGTCCTTCTCGTCTTCGCTCTTGTCTCCGTTATCGCATCACAGTCCTTTGGCACGCTCATTGTCTGCTGCTCGTTGCTCCCCCGCACGTCTCCTGCATCGGCATTCGCACGTCCAATCGCTCTCGCAATCCCCCACCATCGTTGACAGCACCACCACCAGGAAATTTTTCAAGCTGGCTCCCTCCGGCTCACGTCCCTATTCCCAAGCTACAAGTCGTCTGAGTTTGATCTCACGACATCTGGAACAACACCAGCAGTCTTCGTACCCTCGCATCAACACTCCCTATACGATTGAGCTGGACTCGTTGCCGGCTTCCACAGACGACATTCCCTACGTGCCCCCAGCACCACCTGCGCGTCTCGCCGGAACACCCTCTCAAATTCAGAAACGTCAACTTTCCACCTCAACCACCGCCAGAATGTCCTCGCAGGCTCCTCACGCTTCCCTCCTTATCCCGGGGCCAATTGAGATCACCGATGAGGTCTCACAGGCCATGAGTCACTATGCGCAATCCCATGTCGGACAGCCATTTGTGAACACCTTCGGCGAAACGCTCACACTGTTGAGAGATCTATTCCAGACCACTAACCCGGGATCTCAGCCTTTTGTCCTGGCCGGCAGCGGCACATTGGGCTGGGACCTCGTGGCAGCCAACCTGGTGGAGCCTGGTGAAGACGTCTTGGTATTGCACACTGGCTATTTCGGAGACTCGTTTGCGGATTGCCTCTCGACTTATGGCGCAAAACCTACGCAGCTCAAAGCCCCCATTGGGGACAAACCACAACTGCCCGAGATTGAGGCAGCATTGAAAGAGAAGAAATACAAGGCGCTGACAGTCACGCATGTCGATACCTCTACCGGAGTGCTCTCCCAGATTCAACCTCTCTCCGACGTCATCCGGCGCGTGTCTCCGGAGACGCTTCTCATTGTGGACGGTGTCTGTTCCGTAGGAGGAGAAGAGATCCAGTTCGACAAGATGGGCATCGATGTGTGCTTGACAGCCTCCCAAAAAGCCATCGGCTGCCCTCCCGGTCTGTCGATAGTGATGGCGTCGGAGAAGGCAATGAACGTCTTCAAGTCGCGCAAATCCAACCCGGGAAGCTACTATGCGAGCTTCAAGAACTGGGTACCTATCATGCAGAACTACGAGGCCAAGAAAGCCTCGTATTTTGCAACTCCGCCCACCCAATTAGTCCAGGCGCTCAACACCTCCCTCAAGCAGATCCTCTCACAGCCTCTGGACGCCCGCTTCGCTCAACACCGCAAGGTGAGCGAATACGTCAAGTCGAAAGTTGCAAGTCTGGGTCTCAAGCAATTGGCCACTGACCCAGCCAATGCAGCCAATACCATGACGGCAATATATTTACCCGAAGGGCTGACTCCTCCGGAGATTCTCCCCAAGCTGATGTCGCGAGGAGTAGTATTTGCCGGCGGCCTCCACCGGGAGATCGCGGCGAGATACATTCGTTTCGGTCATATGGGTGTCTCAGCCATGGATGAGTCAAGGGGAGAGATCGACAAGGCGCTCGAGGCGTTGAAGGACGGGTTGGCAGAAGTGGCGAGTGCTAAGAGCAAGTAAACAGCATCTAGTTCTGGACGAAGTGGAGGACGGGGCTGTTTTGGCTGCACTTCGGAAAGCAGACGCATGAGATCTGGGGACAAGCCGATGCAGGCTGGTCTCAGCAGATCCTGGACTCGTTTGACCTTCGGGAGGAGTAGGAAGCAGGAAAAGCATTTTGACGAGGTACAACTGCAGATATTTTGCATACGACTACAGAGCAACGCCCAGTGAGACGGACTCCATCCCCGAGATGGTCCAGGGTTGTGTATTACAAAACCTAGTGGCGAGGGTATGATCACAACCTGACTCTATGTACATATGCCATGCATGTCAGTGGAGCTGCGACGACATCATCTCAAGACACAAGACTTTGGAACACAGCTAGTCACCCAGTGGGAGCACGACTCTTTCGGTGTATGGCTCGTATACGTGATGCTGCAGTCACCTTTGCTTTGGAGTGGTGTGTTCTTCGCCTCCAGGTCAGCGTATTTTGCACTGCGTAAAGTTCCAAGGGGGGAGCCAGCGCAATCCACTCTAGAATTGATCAGAGGAATGCCCTCAGTCAGCCCGGTGATTGACGAGCTTTACCCGAAGACACTGTACCGCCCTTGTCTTCAGCCTCGCCCTCGAAACACATGAACCTGTTCTCCCCGTTGCCCTTCGTGAAAGCAGAACCTTTTCTCTACCAACGACTACAATATTCTCTTCCATTTCCCAACTCTACGCCAGCTACACTCTTTGAAGTCTTGCAGCATACTCCGCTCTCGTTCCGGCGCGGTGCGAGCTGGAAGTGGACAAAACGCGGCACAAGACCCACAAGAAAGGGGGTAGATCCACGGCGATCAACGACGGGCACATGGTCAAACTCATAGGTCTGAAGGTCTAGAGGGTTATTATATTCTGGTTATCCACCGCGGGGGCGAGCACGTTTGGTGGCCCCCTGGTATCAAAATGCGAGCTCCAAGGCTCGTAAAAGGAGGTTTCTTGTATCTTGAACAAAGCATTGTCGACATGAACGAAAAACCCCTCGACGACAAAACGCCTCGCTATGCTGTGCGTATAACATGACCCCAAGAAACCCATGTTCCAACCTCCTTAGCCCCCGCTCTCAACGCTGCAGGACGAGAATCAAGTGAAAATGTATGCGATATCGATCTACGCAGCGTTGTTGAACCGGCTCCTCGAGCGGATCTTCTTGCCGTATCTGTAGAAGAAGAACCTGTAATCGACGACCGTCAGTCCCAGTGTATTCAGAAACAAGGAGCCCGATGTATAAAGAAGGGGGGCGACATGTCAGGGACACTTACGGCATGGGGACACAGGCCAGGGCGAGGAAGCCCAGCAGGGAAGAGGCCCATTGGTAGTCAAGATTTTCGTACACTGCGAGCGGGTACATGTTAGCATTTCTGGAGGTCATGTTTGGAAGAAGGGCATCATATGGAGGGAGAGAGGGAGAGAAGGGCAAAGGGGGACAACTCACTTTGAGTCCCGAAGAGAGGGAATGCCCCGGCAAACAAGAGCCGGACCAGGCAGTTGGCTGCGACTGCGCTGGCGGCGTAGCTGGGGTACTATTTGGGCAGTCAGATGATGAAGTGACAGAAAACCCAGCTGCGGGAAGTAACTTACTGCGTCGACAAGGAAGGTCAAGATGCCGGTAAAGGCAAGGAACAAGCTGTTTCCCCATTCGTCAGCATGTTCCATCCACTAATCTACGCAGGAGGGTGGAATCACATACCCAATGCCGAAGACAGCACTGCCGATGATGGGCACGATCCAGTGGACGCTCGAGTACGTCGTCCAGCCGAACCAGAACAGGCCGACGGGGACAAGGATGCCTCCAAACATGGCGGGCGGCAAGCGATACTCGGGCTCGGGCTTGATGCCGACCTGCCCCGTCTGCTCCTCGAGCTTGCGCACCATCTTGACGTAATTCTTGTGCCAGAACGGGTCCGTCAGCACGCCGATGGCAATGCCGACGAGGAGCCCGATGAAGGTCAAGCCGACCTGGTACAGCGAGAAGCCGTGGTTGGTGCCGAAGACGAGCGGGAAGGCGCCGAAGAACAGGTAGACGATGCCCAGCAGGATGGCCGAGTAGAGGCACAGCAGGAGGCACATGGGCTCGAAGAACAAGAGCTCGAACGGCACGGAGCACGAGTGGACGACGGTCCCGAGGATGCTGCGGTCGAGTTGCTCAATGGGCGCGTACCACTGACTCTCCCCCGTCGCCTTGCGCTTCTGCTGGGCGCGGCGCTTGAGGAGGACTTTGTGGTACGTCTCGGGCACGAAGAAGATGACAAGCACCAGCAGGACGCCGGTCCAGATGAGGAGCGTGTAGAAAGTCCATCGCCTATACAAGCCATTGTCGTTGGTCAGCATTGCCATCCACATGACAATCAAGGTCAAAAGGAGCGTGGTCCATCATACCATGAGGTGAACTGGTTGATCAAGCCGCCAATGACCGGCCCAACCGCAGGACCCATAAAGGGCGAGGCGGTGAAGATCATCATGGGGAACTCGAGGTCCTTGGGCTCAAACAGATCTGCCACGGTGCCCGCCGCCACGGCGAGGAACGCGCTCCCCGCGAAGCCATCGAAGAATCGGCAGACGATCATGGTCTGGATGTTCTGGGCGACCGCGCAGGGGATCAGCCAGATCAGGAAGAAGAACATGGACGCGATGTAGATGGGTCTTCGACCATAGAACTCGGACAGCGGGCCCAGAAGCATCGGGCCGAATGCTAGGCCCAAGACAAACATTGAAAGACCGAGGGTGGCGATCTCTCTGGAGCAGTGGAAGTCCTTCATGAGCTGTTCGTAAGTGGTGGTGTAGACGGACGAGGTAAATGTGCTAGTGAGGCGGTCAATATCTGCTGCAGACGGGATCTTTCGAGGACGTCCACAGGGAGGATTCCACTTACACGCAAAAGGACGCGATCGAAGTGATGAGGACAATGACCCATTTTCGGGCGATGTTGAAATTGCGAGGATTCCCCTCGTCGCCTGGTCCCTCCCAGCGAACTTCGTAGGGGCTGGTCTTGGTGCGCGCGACGGATGCCTCCTCGCTTTCATCTTCGTCGACGTCGTACACCGAGTACCCATCAGTAGCCACAGATCGCGTCCTGCCAACGGTTTGCGATCGTGTAGCTGCTGCCCCGGTCCCAGAGGTGGGGATTGGGTGAATGGTCTCTGCCTTTTCCAGGTCGACGTCCGACTCGATTCGGGACCCGATCGTGTCGACACTCGTGGAAGACGAGGCGGGATCTTGGGGCCTCTGGAGATCGGCCATATTTATTAGCAATTTGCTCGTATTAGGCTTTCTGTGTCGCTGTAGTGGTGTGAACAGGAAGACCTCGTAGGATAGATCCCAAAGATATTACTCTTGGAATGGATGGTTCTAGGTCGAGGCCGATGGTTGCCAATACACAAAAGCCCACTGCCGCATTCCATCGCTTGGAATATATACATCACCCATTGCCAGAGCTCTGACTAGGGTGATTCGTACGCATCTTTGCCCAATCTAGCATGCTGGCTTTGGGAACTAGGGAATCCTCCAATGACGACCTCGCCCGCGCGGTGCGCGATTTGAAGCCTTTTAGGATCCGGATATCGACATTCTGGTACGACACTTCAGTTAGTAAGCGCCCAACACACCAGCAATGATAGGCGGAGGAGAATCTGCTGGGCTAGGGCTTGAGGAACTAGAGCGGGTCGAGTCTACCTCCTCGGCGATTAGCTCCTCGCGGATGAGGGTGTCGGGTTTGATGGGTTTGATGGGTTTCAGTCCTTGGGTTTGTCCTCAACACACGCTTTGGTTTGTTGCCAGCCGTTGCCAGCCTCGAGTACGAGGGATTCTGTCGCAGGTGGTGCTTGTGGTTCGGGAAATGGCAGTCCAGCGACCACTATACAGAAGAGACTCACTCGGCTTTAGCTTGCGGTTCACCAGCGAGTTATGCAAACGTCCAGGTATCCTGGGAGACTCACCTCTATCCTCGAGGCTGGCTTTCTTAGGCGTGTATGTAATCCCCAGAAGTCGATTAGTAGTGCAGGCTCCTTCGCTCACAGCATCCTTGAGGCCTCGCGATCTGCAAAGGATCCATCCTAGCGGAGATAAACCCTGGACACAGAAGATGGCTGTTGCTGACCCAAGCACGGCGACGTAGTATCGTTTTGCCATGGCTGTACTGGTTGGCCCCCTAAGATGAACCACCAGCGACTTGATTGCACAGCGACGTCATCTTGGGCGGAACTGGCTGCTGGGTCTTGTACGATGTGATGTACAGTGGTCGTAGGCTCAAGCCAAACGCCGTCAGCGCGGATACTGCCTGCTTGACCTTAGCCTTGGTGTTGTGGTCCGTACCAGTCCTGATGGGTTTCTCCAGGCGTCTCTTCTCGACCCTAGATCTGCCCCTTCCCTTCAGAATAGTCGGCTATCGAGCGTACCAAGCTAAGTACTCGGATAAGACACCGGGCGCCCACCCACGCCTCTGACGATGCAAAGGTGTTGAGCTGCTTATCCAATAACTCCTAGCCTCCTGGGTACGCTCTCCCTCTCCCCCCTCCAGCTCTGCGGTGTTCGTCCAGTCTCCCTCCCTGAAGCTGCGCTTATGGCCGTCAAAAGTCCGTTTACTCGCCCATAAGAATCAACAATATCGCTCGTTACTTAAGACCGAAGCCTGGAGTGCTGTTACATCGGATCGCACCGGCGCGTGCAAGACACCATCCGATATCTCCCGTGTTTTTTCAACTGTTGTAAACAGAGATGGGCCAACAATGGCTGCGTTTCAGGAAGATGAAAAGTTCTGAGCGAAAAAAGACCAACACCAGATCAAATCCCAATCTTGTCCGGGAAGTAGACCCTGTCCTTGAATTATAGAGCTGCTTCTTCACTTCAGCAACGCCTGCCTGACTATCCTTCCTAGACCAGCTAATCGATCTTGCGGCTCATTCGAGAAAACAATCCGTATATATTGCGCCTCTTCGTTGGAACCCCAACCGACCATTGGGGTCACGCAGGCTCCTTGTTCCAGAAGTGCTCCTGCAGCGGCATCGGCTCTCCAACCCAACGTGTCGACGCGCAGTAACAGTGACCATCCACCACTCGGCTTGCCAACGGGCAGACCACTGAGCTCTTTCAGGCACAGATCCCTCCGAAGCTGTAGTTCACGGACATAGTCGACAATGGTTGTCTTGGACATCTGAAGCGCCTCCTTTGCCGCTCTCTGCGCAATACCCACAGGGACAACCACGTTGGCCATCGATACTAAGCCGATGTCCTGCATAATGTGCTCAGGACCAACGATCCAGCCTACGCGCCATCCGATCATGCGCAACTCTTTCGAAGCCGAGCCCACGGTGATGGTCCGATTCGCCATGCCAGGGAAGGATGCTGGGTGAATGACCGGCAGGTCGTCGAACAGCAGACGCTCCATGGCTGCGTCATATACCAACAGCAGATCATGCTTGACACAGAGCGCTGCGATGAGCGTCCAATCTTCGCGGTCCAGGTAAGCCCCGGTTGGCATGCTAGGGGACATCAGGAGCATCGCCGTTATCCTGTTGTCGGGCGATTCCACGACTTCGCGCAGTTTCTCCCTGTCCAGGCACCATGGTTCTCCCGGGTTAAATTGCAAAGGCACCAAATGGGGGATGCCACCGGCAAGCCGGACACGATTGAGCAGCCCCGCGTACACGGGTTCGGTCATGAGGACACCATCCCCTTCTTCCACCGTGGCCAGCAGGGTGTTGAGGATGCCGCTCAAGCCCCCAGCCGTAATGATGCAGTTTGCCTCGCCATTGTACCGGATCGCACCCGTGGTCATGGAGCTTACATGCTCAGCAACAGCATTCCTGAGGTCGATCTGACCGAGGAAGGGGAGGTAGCTGTTGTCGTCATCGTTTGTGGCAGCATCCGAGGTCAGGGTCTGCACAATGCTGTCGGGAGGGATGTCGACGTCCAAATTCTCCAGGCGTAGCAGCTTGTCGGCGAGAGGACCACCCTGTGACGTTTTGGTCTTGACCTTGTCCGCAATATTGCCCATCTTGTCAACCCCTATTCCATGAAGTGCCTGGAGCCTTTTTGGTCTGTTGCGATTCATTTTCAACCAAGTCTTCGAGATACAGATACACCTGGGCCGCGATATTGAGGTGTTTGGAACACACTGATTTCAGGGCTTGAAGATCTGGGTGAGTTTAACGCGATTGTAGTTGGTTGGGGCGTTTGCAAGTACGCCCTGTGACATAACGAACGGCTTCTATCACAGGCGAGCTTTATGAGCTTCTGGCCTTCTAGAGGTCTTGATATATTTAAGCAAGGCACGTTCGCCAATCAACTTTTCGTTTTCTATTCAATGGAGGGAACAAGACTAGAAATGAAGGCGGTGCTGGATAAGGTCGTCCTTGTCGATGCTGCGTGATGACGCGGGATAGATGGCAAGTGGAATCTCCACATAGCGACCTGGTTCTAGATGGTCACCGAGAAGCGGCCGCCTAGCTAGTTGTTTGGGGGTAAGAGGTTATAGGTATCCGACTCCCTAACACTCGAGCCGAGTGAGCTCAATGGCGCCTAAGACCCAGCGTTCCGTGTCCATTCGCGCCCAGACTCTCGGGGGCTAGGGGCTAATTTGTCCACATACTGTACATGTCTCGCTTTAGTGCTGTCTGCATGGTCACTACCCATCCGAGTCTTCATCATAACATCGTCAAGACCCCCTGCTGATGGACACTTGTCATTCGCAGTCGCAATCTGTAAACCCAGCCAGATGTAGATCCCCGGCACGAACGGTGAGTGTCAAAAGAGATAAGCGAATTTGCAGGCTCAATCAGAAGCCTAGCCTTCGCGCACGAACTGTTGCACAGGGAATTTTGCCATCTCTCAGCCCTCTTGCGTGATGGCCAGACCAGATTTGCCCATAGAGAACGCCCGTTCCACTACCACACAACGTTCCCTCTTTCCCTTCATGATGCAGCTTTCAATAAGATTCAATCCCCCTGGGGACCATGATATGACCAGAGCGTCTATTTCGAAGGACAAAGGCCGAACGGGAGATACCTCTCCCAGCGCGAGAAACGGAGACTGCCATCGAGGGTGCACGTGATTGATAGGGTGTTTGAAGGAGAAGCCTGACGGACCCAGCCATGTCCACTGTGTTCGTCGGCAGCAGCAGGCATCGACACCTGGACGATGAGCTGGCCTCAAACGGCTCCTCAATCTCGCTGGACGAGCAGGCTGAAGCCCTCCTCAAGCCGCCGGAGAAGAAGGCCGATTCTGCGAATGCCTCACCGGGTGATGGCCCACCCCTGGGTCTGCCCCATCATGAGAAGAGGTTTTGGTTCCAGAGAGGTGGAGCGTATGATCCTCACGCTATTGCGACTCAGGTATGTGTCGGCCGCCGCCGTGGACAGCTATACCGTCGGCTGATTTCTTTTCCAGCCAAGCGTGTTTGATAATCCAGACACCGCGAAGGAGTATCTGCCCCGACCAGATTGGCAAGTTCACTTGCATCCACTCTCGCGCTGGGATGGCGGCTGACAGCTTTGTCAAGGGAGAACCTCCATCGTTTCGATCCGTCCGCTCGGTGGACCTGGGGCGAAGAGCACAGGCTGATCCGGAAGATCGACGCGCGGATCATGGTCTTTGCCTGTATTATGTTCATGGCCCTTGAACTTGACCGCGCAAATATCACGCAAGCGTTGACCGACGACTTCCTCCAGGATCTCCATTTGACCACCAATGGTGAACATTCCATTGACCCGAAACTCCCAGCATCGGGGCACCGAACAAACTGACCGATTGCTCACAGACTACAATCTTGGTAACACCATCTTCAAGCTTTCTTTCCTCTGCGCCGAGGTCCCGTCTCAGTTGGTGTCCAAATGGGTTGGTCCCGACCGCTGGATCCCCATGCAGATGGTGCTGTGGTCCATGGTTGCCGTGACCCAATTCTGGCTCAAAGGTCGGACGTCATTCCTGGCATGTCGCTGTCTTTTGGGGGTCTTGCAGGGCGGCTTCATTCCCGATGTGAGTGCTCGAGAAAAACTCCCCAAAGCCAAACAAATCTGCCAGGCACTTCTCACCCATCAACCCAGGTCATTCTCTACTTGTCGTATTTCTACAAGCATCACGAGCTCTCCTTGCGTCTGGGCTTCTTCTGGACCGCCATGAGCCTGGCTGATATCATCTCTGGCTTCCTGGCCTATGGAGTTCTCCACATGAGAGGCGTGCAGCGGCAGTCTGGATGGCGGTGGCTGTTCCTGATTGAGGTACGCTGCGTCCTTCTGTTACCAGGTTTCTAGGTGCTGAGGCAAGATATGCTAGGGACTCTTGACCATGTTTATCGGCCTGTTAGCGTTTGGCCTGATGCCTGCATCTCCGACGCAGACTGCAAGCTGGCTTCGGGGCAGGAAAGGGTGGTTTACAGAAAGGTAGAGAGACGTCCCAGCTGTCAGATGGTATTGGCTCACCTTGCTTGATTCGATCCAGGGAGGAGATCATCATGGTCAACAGAGCGATTCGAGACGACCCCAGCAAGGGCGGGATGCACAATCGGCAGGCGATCACCCCCAGTCTGCTGTGGCAGAGCTTGAAAGATTTCGACCTCTGGTGAGTCCGTGTGGCCATGACCAGCGGTGTCCGAACCTGCCCACGCTAACCGCCTTGTCCTGCTTAGGCCACTGTATATATTGGGTCTCACGTTCCAGATCCCCATGACGCCTCCGCAGCAATACCTCACTCTATCACTGCGCGGCCTCGGCTTCGACACATTCCAGACCAATCTGCTGGCGATTCCCTACACCGTCTTCCACAGTACGTGTCCCATCCCGCCGCTGCGCGAGAAACCAGAGAACCCCCCTCAGGAGATTGGGGCCCAGCTAACCATTTCCGACTACCAGTGATCAACATGATGCTCGTGACCTACGTGGCCGAGATCCTGCAGGAGCTGACGTTGACGGCCGTGACGGGCCAGATCTGGGCCCTGCCATTCCTGATCTTCTTCAACAGCGTCGACACGTCCAAGATGAACAAATGGGCCATGTGGGCCGTCACCACGCTCCTGCTGAGCTATCCCAACGGTACGGAATCACGAATTCCCCATTCAGTAGTACCATGAGTGTAAGAACGGAAAGCTAACGGATCGCAAATATGTCCCAGCCCACCCGATCCAAGTCGGCTGGAACTCGCGTAACTCCAACGCGGTGCACTCGCGCACCGTGTCGGCGGCCATGTACAACATGTTCGTGCAGGCCGGGGGGGTCATATCCTCCAACGTCTACCGAGAAGGTCAGTTTTGTCTCTTCTTTTTGGGCATCTTTCGCCTTGGTCTCGCAGATAGTTGCTACCAAAACACAAAACACAACCCCAATATAAGCCGGTCCCCCTGCGATATCGAAATTGACCAAGTTGAGTCCGAACTAACATCGCCCTCTGTTTCATGTGGATTCTTCAGACGACGCCCCGGCATACAAGCGCGGCAACCGCGCGCTCCTCAGCGTCGCCCTGCTCAACGTCGCCCTGTACCTCTCGACCAAGGCGTACTACGTGCTCCGCAACCGACGCCGAGATCGACAGTGGGACGCCCTGACGGAGCCGCAGCAGCTTCAGTACCTGGCGAAAACGCAGGAGCGGGGGAACAAGCGGTTGGATTTCCGGTTCGCGCACTGAGACAGGATGGTATATACCCGACCGCCCGGTGCCTTTTATCTGGCTTGATTTCGGGCTTCATTCACGCGATTGGGATGGAAAGTCGGGAAGGGGGGGGGGTGTTGCTGCACACGCTTAATGCAGAGATGCCGATATCGAATAAACCAGAAGCACAGCCTGGGAAGAGCGATATACATGGGACTGGGGTCTATAGAGAATAGAGAAGTGAAGAAAAATCCTTCTCAGGGCAATGAGGCCCCCAGTTGGGGGGGTTGCTTCGTCGCTCCAACTCATGGTGACTTGTCTTATGTGACATGCAGGTGGAAAGAGGATCTTGATCTGATCCCAACCAGCTCAATCTAATCAAAATCAAAGCAAATCAAATCAAGTTCTAGTGCAATCGATCAAAGGGAATGGTGGTCCCGTACCATGAAAAGCGCAGCTCCGCAGGTCTCGTTTTTATGCGCGTGATAAAAGTGTAGATACTAGACACTCTCCAATGGAGAGGTTTCGTTCAAGAACAGTTACAATGTTGTGGCGCTTGTTGGCTGGCTTCTGGACAGACTGCACTGCAGCAGAGGACTTGATATGGATTATGACAGGACGGATAATATCATCACCACTTCGTTATGTTGCGAGGTTATATTCCATTCCCAGCTGAACAACTCTTTCAAGTGTTTTCAAGTGGTTTCATGGATATCTATATATATCCTATGTGTGTACTCCGTAGTCCTTCCCCCTCTCACTGCCACGCGAGCATCGACCGACGAACACGCGACGCTCGCCACATCACCATCTATAGGGACCGTCAGTAAGGGGATCGACGTGTACAGACATTCATCGAATGCGATGAGATGTAGGGATGGCGGCGAAGGTGGAAAAAACTTACCCGAAAGCCTCTTCAAAGTACTCGACTCCGCGCTTGCCCTGCTTCAGCGCCCGGTGCACCGCCGCCCTCGCCTCGTCCGCCATGCCGCCCGGGCCGCAGGTCAAGATGGCGATCCTACCGCCGGCGGCAGCGGCGCTGTCCACGTCGTTGACGACCTTCAGGATCGCTGCGGAAATGTCGGGCCGGCCGTACGAGATGGCAAGCCCGTCGCCGATGCTGGTGGTCGGGTCGCTCTTGAGATCGACCTCCTTATCGCCGGCAACGACGGCGTGGTCCTCGTCGGTGGAATCGGGCCCGCTGCTGCTGCTCCGTGGTTCTCGGCAAGAAGTGGCATGCAGATGAATGTGGATGTCCTCGCGCCCAAGCATCGGCTTCAGTTCGTGCGCTACCACGCTGCGGAGCATGGCGGGCTGCTTGGTCGCCCAGACCAGCGTGATGTCCCGCGTGCGGGTAGCCACTTTCCCGCCGGTGCGTGATGCCTGTGCTTCGGTACTTGTCCTTCGTACGTGGTCTTGCAGGTAAGGCATCGCCCCCGAGATCCCGGTCCCACCGACGACGAAGACGACATTTTCATACGTGTGCAAAGGGCTGTGCTCACCGTATGGGCCTTCAATAAATAGATGCGGCGTGACGACCCCGGTGGGAGACTTGAGACATTGGTTTCGAAGACGTTTGGTCCAGCTGCCAAAGGGCCGGATCAGGAAGGTGAGCTTCTGCCGGCCGACCTTGTCTTGGACGAGGGTAAGCTTGTGCTGCGATGGATCGGGCGTCACATCCGAGGAAGTAGGGGAGGATGAGCCGGCGGCGACCACCCCGATATCCTTACCCGCAAGTGCCTCGATGTCGGTACTGTCCTCGGCACCAGCATTGACCATCGCGACACTGGCCGGATCAGACTCCGTGACGGTCTCGTAAGCTCCGAGAGTGAACGGGTGGTTCTCCCAACCCTTCCATGTCATGGGCTGATACAAGAAATAGTGCTGGCCAGGTCCTGGTTTGAGCATCCGAGACCCGGGCACTATCTCAAGTCTGATAAAGTCGCCGTCCTTGTCGTAGGTAGCGGAGGCCGTGGAACGAACAACAGCCTCGGACCACCTGATGTGTAGGTTGCAGTACGCCCACCGAGCCAGACGAGCCGCTCGATCAAAGCTCCAGATTGCCACCAGCGGCCATAGATAGCCGTTGTACTCTCCATCGAATATGGCAGTGTGGCTGGTTTGTGGAGGTTAGCTAGTTAGAGGGTAAGGAGCGAAAGGTCGAGCACGTACTAAAACAAGCCAACAATGGTCACCACAGAGAGGGCGATGTGGATAAGAAGGAAGACCTCATATGATCTGACGCGGAACCACATGAAAGAGAAGAGGACGATTAAGCTCATTGCGATTGTTGCCTGAGACCAATATTAGCGAAACCGTACACATGTGACTGGTGGGAGAGCTTACCATTCCTCCCATGTACCAGTACTGCTCCGTCCACGACTCGCTGAAGTAGCCAACTAGAAAGAGAGTCAGCATGCCTCAAAAGACGAAAGCAATATCCATAGATCATACAGCCACCCTCCAAGACCGACCATCCTACTGAATGGACAATCGCTAGCACCGTAGCGCATCGAGCAATGTGCCTGTGGAAGATGTTGAAAGTTGCAAAACTCCAGCCAGTGAGCCACAAGAAGACGTTGTTTCGTCCAGAGAACATCCATAGCCAGGGCAGCATCGCATAGCAAAGGATGCCAGTGCGATCGGAAATGTAACGCCAGGCCTGTTGAGGCTCGGTATAGCTGAATTCAGTCAGCAATGGTTCTTGTGGGGAAGGAGAGGATGGTATCGAGAACATACTAAAGGTTGGGCCAGAAGATATGGTAGCCGACACAGCACAAGATGAATGTCATAAGCCAGAAGGAGATGACGATTATCGTCTCCATTCGTGTCGGTATGGTAGACCAGAATAAGGGGCGGTTGTGATGGGAGCCGAACGCAGCAGGAACGATGACATTTGACCTCAGCCAGTGATGAACCGAATTGACAGCGGCAACGACTCCCGTTCGAGGCCCTTTCTGAGTAGAGGATGTCTTCCTTCCTTCGACGTCGTCCAGGGCTTTTAGGCGACGAGATTGGGAGAAATGTGTGGTGAGACGGTTGAGGATGCCGATTAACAGTAGGCCACCCCAGAACCCATACATAGCCCACCTAGAACAATAGTTCAACACAAATCCTGGACACTCTTCAATATTTGCAGGGGGAGGAACGCACCCGTATCTTTGATGGAGGACGTATTCAAGGTCGAAAATCACCTTCTCCTCGTCAGTACCAAGCAGTGCGTATGAATAGGACGACAAGTACGTACATAAGTGTCTCTACCAGCCTTGAACAAGGACTTCGAAATCAGGACAGACGTATTAAAGACAGTGAAGTCTTCAATGTCGCTAAACTGGGCCACTGGAAGAGATTTGATGTATTCGTCGGTGAGAATTGGGAGCACTTTGGCATATGGGATGAGTTCGACATTGCCATATTCCTCACAGTATCCTGAAAACTCCTTTTCGCCAGCTGCAATTTCCCGAGGGGTGCAATAAAGCTTTGCAGCAGCCCACATCGAATACACGACAAGCTTGTTGGTACATGAGTTAACATAGTAATCAGGATCAGTCTCATTGAAAGTGAGGTATGAAACGGCCGTTTGGACGCCATCCAGGCAGCCGGTCTCCTTGTCAACGGCGCGAGAGAGGCCGCACAGAAAAAGCAGCAAGCTTAGCGTCTTCATGTCGAAGGCAGGCCAGAAAACCCGTGCGAGAGCGTTGAAGGGGACATCCAGAGCAGTAAAGCGACCATCCTGGCAAGTATGTGGATTTATAGTCCAATCCAGGACTCCTACCTTTGCAGCGAGTTGAGTGGATGGAGAAGTGCACTGGGAGCACCTGACAAGAGTGCAAACCGACACATCGAGTGGACACAGCAAAGTTCCTAGGTCACTCTAGACCTCGAATCCGACAACAGTCAGAGAACTGAATATACCAAAGCATACCGGCGAGGCCAATCGTGAGTGGCTGTGGTGGAGTCGCTTCTCGCCTGTCCGAAAAAGGTTGGACGATTATCAGCGAAAATTTCTGATAATCTTATCAGATAAAAATTCGCATTGGGTTTAGCGACTTCGCCGTCGTCGAGCGAGACAAGTCGACTCTCTTCCATCCCACCGAGCCACTTGGTCACTGTCTCCTCTTACTGCCTTGCCCTATGTCAGTCAAAGTTTTCAAGGAAAGTCTCAGGACCTTAGAGCCCAAGCCTTTCCGGTCCAGGGTCAAGTGGGATGCAGACCTGCCTCTCATCCAGAGTCTGGATTGCGACAATGCACGAGGGCCCAATGCTACCTAGGTACAGAGCAGCAGTTGCAATGTGACCGATATCGGCCAGATCTGCTTCTTTAGGGCTTATTCAATGCGTTCGCGCACGCTGGGCTACATAACGAAGGGCGACGTACCATTGTGTATAAGACCATACCACAAGTATTCCCCTTCCTTCTTGTAGACAAAATGCAATCAAGGACGGAGATCATTGCCGCTTGGATAAGACGAGCTGCCAAGGGCGTGTCAAGCCTCATTCTGGTCGAAAGATAGGATTCGATTGTCTGCGCAGTGCAATGGCTGGGCCGACCCTGCCACCACCCTCGTCAGTTGATCGTCGCCATACCACCCGAATTCCAAGCTGGGGTCCCACAAGCGTAACTGGAGCTCTGGCAGAGCCTAGTTGCGCATCGAAACTCTATGGATCCTCCTCTCATGATATCCTGCAGTCGCCACATGGCGGGAATGAAAAGCTGTTCGTGACTCGTGGGAGTTGGGGAAGCGATCTATCTTCTTAGAACCAAGTCACAAGTCAGTGTCCCCTGCACGGTGGGTACCATCATGTAGTGGCAGTGTGACAGCCGGTCCCTCCGCACATGGCAAATCCCATCACGCGTCGGAAGGCCAAGGGCAGACGGTACAAGTCTCTTGTCACCTAGGCGACTTCCTGCAGTTGACAGTTTCTGGGTTGTACAAATGAGGTTGAGGATATTCGGCATGCTAAGGCGGTGCTGCTATCAGAGCATGCATGTCTGTGTAGATCAACGAAACTGAGGCTGAAGTGGAAAGGAGGATGGCTCGCCCGTTCCGGTTGTGTCCGATGAGGGCAGAAAGCGTCGTGCAGGATGAGCTGATTTGTGTAAAGGCGTAGCCATGCCGCAGGGTATGTCAACGAGGCTAAAGCTTTGGCGTCTCTTGGCCGTAACGTCCATCAATTGCCTCACAGGGTAACCTGGATGATCGAACGATTCACGGACCTGAGAGGTCGATATCTTTGTCGTTCTCGGGCTAGTATTGGTCATTGTCGCCTACCATTGAACAAGAGGTGAGAAGCTTTCACTCCCAGTGCCGAGGACGAAGGTACTAGAGTTGCGTGACTTCTCGGTATAGGTCCGATATGGGGCATGGAAAGTTGAGGTGTGAGTTGCCCATTGGAAATTGAGGCGAGCTGTAACAAGCTGGAAATTGGCAGACTATGGGTCAATGCTCGGCAGTATCTGCATAGGTATAGAGACTACGGTGGAGTGAGAAGCACCAGCCACGAAGACTTTCCAGATCGCCCTCAGTATGTGCCATGTGCCTCCTTCTCCCTCGACTTTCTCGACTTCCTCCCTCCCTTCCTCTCGCTACTCACAGCAGCTTTTTCCTATTACTTCCGGCTATTACGAGGCCTTATTCCTCCCAATCTCCTACAGCACAAGCGCCAACGCAGCCCCACCGAATAAGGCAGCCGCACCGACAGCACCAGTCTTCAACGGTGCAGCAGCCAGACCAGTGAAGGTAGCAGTGGCAAGCGTGCTGGTAGCTGTTGCCGTAGCTGAGCCATAGCTTCCATTGTTGGCGGCATTAGAGACCGGCCAGGCGGGCACACCGTCCTCAGTACCATTGACTGGTGGGGTCCAAGAGGCATTAGGATTCAGCACATTATCCACGAAAATGACCACACCTTCAGAAACTGCGAGGTCGACATAGTTGATTCCGGCGTTGTTGATAAAGTAGTCTCCTGCAGGGGTAATAGAGACTGTCAGAGACTGGCCTTGCAACGTGGTCAACTGCGTTCCGTTCTGGAAGTCGTCAAAGTGCCAGACTTTGCCGGTCACCACATGGTATTTGAGCACTTCAGCCAACTGTTCGGTGCTCAGCTCAGAGAGAGCTTGCTCCACAGCTTGGAAACCGTCATTGACAGGTATGATGTACGTCGCATCGTGGAGCAGATCAATTTGTTCGGTTAAGCCAGTTTGATTCAGGGCTGTCACGAAGGAGCTGCCGTTGAAGTCGCCTGAGGTCACGGTTTCGGAGACACTTGGAGGAATCTTCAGTACGCCATTGATGAGATAGATCCATCCTTGAGAGAAAGGAATTGGCGTGGCAGGTCCCTCGGGGTTGTAGTCCAACCCGCCATAGAAGCCAACAACATTTTCGTCATCGTCGTAGTAGATACCAATGTCTTGTCCGCCAGTCACATTTGTATAATTGCTTGAAGTCAATAGGGTCGGAGAGATGTAGTAATCCGTAATATTGTTGTATCCTCCATCAATGACATGGTACAGGAGCAGATTCAGGAGGTAGTCGTCACCAGCATCCTCCAGTGCCTGTCCAGCCGGAGTGTTCAAAAACTCTGCAATGGCAGTATCGTTTGGGGCAAGGAAGGTGAGGTTTGTCTTCCCAGAAATAGCATCCAGAAAGCCGGGGACTTCTGACACCACTTCGCTGATGGTGGAAGCCCCTTTCGTAGAATTGAGGACTGTAACTAGATCTGTCGGAGTTTGGGCAAGGACGGCGGCAGCCAGAGCTGCAAGGACAAGTCCCCTGGTCGCCATGGGGAGAGATGGAGAGAAAGTTTGCGGACGACGTGTGCGAGTAGTTGGGATAGAACGAGAGACGATGCAAAGCTGAAGAGAAAGGAACATCCACGAGGGCAGCAGACAGAGTATATGTGCTCGAACAGCTCACTCCATCACCCTCGGATATCGACTTGCTTCGGGCTCCAGCTGGGTACCTGACCGCTCCATCGCGCATTCAATTGACTAATACAAACACAGAGGAGTGCTGAAAAGCGAGCACGCAGACCGTTGAGGTCAAGGGCGAGAGGATGAAGCCTTACCATAGAAGACTAGACACAAGTATTCTCCAAGCCATAGCTTGCGGGAAAAAAGCTGGTAGACGGATGCATCAAGCAAAACGAACAGGAAAAGGCAGTTTATTGCCCACTTCCCGCCTGTACCCAACCGACATGGCCGACAACATCACAGCTAACGGGATGTACCTTTTGATCGCGTCAACCTTCCCTATATTCGACGCAAAACTCGGCGGTGGCCTGCAGAAAAACCTGTTTCCTCGGACCTATTCTGGCTTCGTCGATGGCGACATGAGCTTAGAATCGTCAAGCTCTTCAGGGCCGACACCGGCGGGATCAGATGAGGAGGTTGTAGAGAGCCAGAGAGGCTGGAAGATGAGGATGATGATGTGAAGAAAAAAACCGAGACCCATTTGGCGCCTTGGCCCTGAATCTTATCAGATAATTATTATCAGATAAGATGAAAAATTCCCATCCATGTGGAGAAGGGCGCGACGGTTATGCTTCTAGATCAAGGCATTCAGGCCTGAGGCCTGAGGCCGGATGCCAGATGCCAGATGCCAGGGCAGTGGTCTACGACAATGGTGGCTTCCGCCATCTCCGGTCTCTGTCGAGGTATCATCTCTAGGCGATGGATGCCCGGAATCAATGGCCCCCATTCCTGTCACTCTCCACTCTCAGCCACAGTTGACCGTTGTAATGGAAAAGCAGCATGGTAGCGAGTATATCACGAGACTTTCCCACTATCAACAATCGCCCATTGCGGGTATTCCGCTCAGATTGTCACCGCAAACTTGCGAAATCTTTCCTCCAACTCCTCCAGCTCGCAGATGATATCTTGGTGGAAGGCTTCCTGCAGCTTAGTCTTCCCCAGATCAGATCCATGCCCGAAATCACATTGGATACATTTCCTGACCACTTCCGCGTATCGAGGACCCAACATACTGGCAGCGTCATGTCGTGCGCGATCCGCCGTGTAGTAGTCCGTGTTCTGAGCCTCATGGGCATCTACGTCGGCGGGCTTCTGAAGAGCCTTCAAGGGCGCCTGGTACACCAACTCCAGGAGCATAATCCCAAGACTGAAAAGGATCCGGTTCCGGATGAGAGTCCTGCCAGGGAACGTGGTACGTTTGGCCAAGGGCCCATGTGGTCCTTTGATCGAAACACTTACATATGGCGCATTTGCAAGCGTTTGCATGTGTAGAGAATGCTCGTCGACTCCAAGGAGAAAGACGTCCTCACTGGCGATTGAATTGGTGAGCCAGGGCGTCGCGTGGAATTGGAGCACAGCAAGTGCAAGCTGCTTGGCTAGCGTGATCCGCTCGTGCCGCGGAATACCAGTGCCCAACCTATTTACATCTCGGAGTGCGGTATAGACGTCGCGGAGAGGCTTCAACGCTAGACCTTTGCTAGCCGTTATAGTTTGTACTTCAGAGTTGATGTATACAAGATGCTTCGACTTCCCCGAACATTCAAGATAGCCGACACAAGGTTGGGGGCTTCGCAATGGCTGTCCGACAAGTCTTTTTAGACGATTGCAAAGGTTGCTGTGGGCGCAGAAGTTCAGGATTTCCGATTCTGGAGGACTGGGCGGTGTAGCAATCATGGTTGGAGGCGCTGTTGGGCCTGTGCTTGGATGAAATTTGACTGACTTCACCAACTTCTTCGGCTTCCTGACAGCCTCAGACGGAGATGAGGATTGTCGTGGTCGCTTATGTCGCGAGGCAACTTCTGCTAGCAAATTGCCAGTTTCCGCGCTGTGAATGGTGCCCGTAACTAGAGACTCAATCGTCAACCACGTTGGATGGTTCAATTCGCTGCTCTGACTGTCGCAGCTGGCTGACTGAAGTGTGGTCCTTCTGAAGGCTATGGTAAAGCGTACATGTGAAGAATCTCCATGTGCGGGACCAAGACTTAAATGGGCATGGTGTGTCGTGTGCTTTGTACACGCTTGCCCCAGTGCCTCATACAGGCTGTCCGCAGCATCTTTGACAGCCGCGAGTTTGGCTACCCTGTTGCGTGTTGCCCAGCTTGGCTTCGAAACAGCGTCTCTGGCTCGCGGAAGGGTCGTCTGTTCGATCAGAGTGCGGAAATCCTTAGTGTACCGCCTGATGTTGGTGATAGTTTCTTGTATCTGAGCATTCGACAGAGCAAAATGCAATTTCTCTCCAAAGCCCGGACGGCTGCCGTTCTCGGCCTGGTCGAAATTCAATACCTTGAGCTGGGCGTCAAGCAAGCGAATCGAGGTTTTCAGCGCCTCACTCGAGTCGGCCATGCGCTCTGCGAAGTATGTGTCGATCTCTTCATCTTGCCATCGTGGGTGATCTGCGTTTTTGAGCATCTCCGACGCCAACTCGTCTCCAAAACCGATATCGTATGCCAGGAGCCGTTCGACCGTCTTTCGGTATATTGTGCGTTGGATGCCCACCACCGATACCAACTCTTCTTGTCCCTCTTTATATCTGCAATATCTCTTGATGCATCTCGCAGCGGCTGAGTAATGTTCGGCAGCAGATATGATAAGGGGTGCGATCGCAAGCGCAAGGCCAATGGCCTCGGCCATTGCCACAGGAGGAACCGCGTGGAGGGACTCGACGTTGCCTGTACTTTAATGAGATCCGTTGATAGACCTGTGCACACGTAGGAGACATGAATGGCAGTTGAAGTATACAGATATCGATTGGCTTCATCTGCCGACTCGAGCTGTGATGGACGAGTGCTTCAGACGTCGGCTGCGGCTGGGCTGTGGTAGGCAGAAACGAGGCTGAGCTATAGTACACAGCCACGTGCTGCACACAGCCGCATCGGCAACCTGTGTGGACGATCTTGCTTGAGCATTTCCGCCTGTGCATTTTGACCTGCTATCCCGCATCTGTTGTCGAGTGTTGTAAGATTGATCAAACCCAGTACTGTGTAGTTGAGGGCTGCGGTTGTCTGCCGACGACGATGCCTCGATCCCGCCGCTCCCGTCGCTCTTCCCCGCCAAGTGATCCACCTGTTCGGCCGAGTTTCGACAACACTGAACTCGTTGTCGACTGGGTGAACGCTCGTCAAGATGGCGAAGTGTCCCGCGAGGTGTCCAGCGAGATCGGGATTGTTTCAATCCTCTACGAAGCATGCCTCCGCCTGCTTGCAAGTATCTCGCGGGAATATGTGGCAGGCCAGAATGCAACTCACCAGCAAAAATCACGTCTCATAGACAGCCAGGCCGCGCTCTGCCTTTTTGGCGACGGCCTTGTGGATCACGGGGAACTGGAAACCTGCCTCAAAACCGACGACGAACTTCGAGACGACCTGGTCACTTTGTTCTGCAGTCTTGGTAGTCTTTTGCTCAGAGGTAAGCCGGATTTACGAATGGACCCCCCTGCTCTCCTGACGCCAACTTTGCGCCACTCCATTCTGACATGGCTTGACAATGCAGGTGTCGAGGATCGCTCCCAAAATGATTTCCCTCCCGAGAAATCTCGTGAAGATCTTGTGAGCGAGCTAAAGGGGGCACTAGACAAAGCTTCGACCATCATCTGTCAGTCTGGTGTCGAACAGGATGGCAACGATGATCCCTCGAGCTCGAGCGACGGTGAGAGTGAGAGTGAGACAGGCCAGGGTGACGCCCGAGACGGAGGCAAGTTGATCGATGAAGATGCTTTGAACAGTCTGGACGACTATGTCACGTCTTTACTGGACCTACGGCCATTGCTGGACGATGTCATCCACGATGCCCTCGTCCGCCACCCAAAGCCAGGCACTCGCAACGAAAATATAATCTTTAGTGTCACCGAAGCGGCTCGCCCGTACGTGCTTCAAGTCCACGATAAGTTCCGGAATGCGAGTCCGTTTTTGGTCGAGCACCTGGGAGAAGCCAACTGGCAGCGGTATGTGCGTGTCAAATCAAAGATGGAAGCTGGTGGTGTTGTCGAAGATCTCCCAGAACTCCCCAAGTCACTTTTCCAGCCATTCTCCGACTTTCGCGATTCCGGCATCGGCTCCAGCCATGCTATGTCAACCGCATCACACACATCATTCCAGTCAACTGATACAGACGCCTCCAAAGGGAGAGCACGAGTTCCGAAAACGCCATCCGAAGTCAATCGGGGACTTGCTTTTACGTGCTTCATCTGCGGCAAACGACTCTCGACCATCAGGAATCGAATTGACTGGAAAATGCACGTCTTCGCTGATCTGAGCCCCTACATATGTACCTTTCAGGATTGTCCCACGATGTTGGACACTTACCCGACCAGGAAACTCTGGGCAGAACATGAGCTCACCGAACATCGTTCAGACATGTTCTTCGAATGCCATGACTGCCCTGGCACATTCTCTGTTGCGTCTGACTTCACCCAACATCTTGCCCAGGAACACCAGTACAGCTCCCTTAATCACACGCAGATGCTGGCCGTCTTGTCAGCTGCAAAGAAATCAACTCCCCACCCAGTTGATACCTATCAATGCCCCCTCTGTCACCGTGATGGATGGGACTCGCGGCGATCCTTCATAACCCACGTCGGGAAGCATCTAGAAGAAATATCGCTATCCGCGTTACCAAGAGATGTTGACAGTGGTTCGGAGGCGGACCAAGACGAGTCTCGGTCATCGAGCTCGACATGCAAGGATGGTCCAGACATAGCCACCAAAGTCGTCAAGCGTTCACACTCGAACCCGGAGCTAACTACGCTTAACCATGCCTTATCTTACCTCGATCAAGTCAAAGCGGCTTGTCGTCACCAGCCTGAGATTTACGATCAGTTTCTCATCATCATGGGGGACATTAAGTCTTGGAAAATTGACACTCTGGAAGCTATTAGGCGGGTTTTAGAGCTACTTTCTGCTTCCCCGGAACTCATCAAAAACTTTGATTATTTCTTCCCTGCCGGATATAAGGATTTTACTGACGTGGAGGAACCAACATTCCCCCTGCGTGACGCTTCGAATGACGTGGCTGAAGCTTCAACGTCCGCCCAACCCGGGCCAGAACAAGACTTTAAGGAGACCATGGCTTATGTGATGAAAGTGAAAGTAAGTTTCTGTTCTCCCGTATAGTAACCAATCTTTTGTTGACCCGATGGTTGCAATATTATCCATCATGGCTGATAGGACTTTGCTGCGCAGCTGCATTTCAAGGATCAACCAGAGATCTACGAGAATTTCTTATCAGCTCTAAAATCCCACCACGTGGCGGCAAAGTCACCCGATCAAGTCAATGCTGAAATCGCCCAATTTTTCAAGGATGCTCCCGATCTGGCCGAGGGCATGAAGCGATATGTGACATATGTGCCGACCATTGGGGCAGGACAATGGTTCGATGATCTACCTAGCACCGAGACAATAGGAAGATGGAATGGTTCGGGCGACAACGGTTCTGCTTCCAGTGGAGACGTTGGCGAACACAAAGTCATGCCTGCAGGGTTGGCATTCGAGCCCGTCAACGTACCGGGGGAGAGTTTTCAGAGAACCCCCCAAGAGGAATGAAGATATACTGGGAGCTCGGCCGGAATGCCCACATAGAGAGCCACTGTGGTCTTCTAAAGAATAGGAATCGTGCCGGATGTGACCGACCGACCATCACCAGAATTACTGTTAGTTTGAGCCACCATGCACAGAAACTGGCGCACAGCAGAAAGTGCCTCTTCCTTCTCTGCCAGGACCTATCCAGCCTCCGTCTCCTCCAATCACATGGACCCCTCCTCCCGGGAAGAAAAAAATGCAATGCCATTATGTCGACGCTCACAACCCCCCCAGCGAACATGGCCACCTGGCCACCTGGCCACACGCCCAGCACCCATCCCCATGCCGATGAGATTCTCCGAGACGCCAGACGCTCGCGCATAGACCCAGAAGTATTTGCAGGGGGAACCGAGGGCGAGTGGGCTGGCCGCTTCACTTCCTTCGCCTTGACGTCCAAGTGGCAGGATTTTTCGCACGAAGAGGTTGTGGAGCAGCGTTTCGCAACGTAGCAGGTGGCTAGGGGTATTAGTACTCGATGAGTAAACCGCCCCCTGGTCGCTAGCTCGCTAGCTAGCTAGTGCGTGCTTGTTTGTATGTATAGAGTAAGAGCGCCTCAGGGGCACCTCAGCCTCGTCGCCACCACTCCGATCTGCCGGAAGTGCGGGACATGGGCCAGACCGTGGTGCGCGTGCGTGCATGCATGCATACCTCGGCGCTCTACGGCCCCGAAGATCTCTATCGAGTGCCAACTTCCACCGGAAGAGAAGCGGGACAACCTCGTGTGGTCGAAATGCATGAGACCCGGTAATATGGGAGACCCTGGCCTTGTTCCTTCCCGGTTCCTGAGTCTAGCCCGACTTGAGCGGCGTTGGCCTTTTCAATGTTCACGTTCGTGTTCATCTGTATCCCCTTTTTATCGCGTCTCGATGGGCCACAAACGAGCATGGTTGACTCGACGGGTTTGTTCTATGCTAAGTGAGGGACGGGCTCTACTCCGTTTCGAGATCCTGATCATATCATTCCAAATCATGACACGTCGGTATGAACGAGAGACTCCGTTTCCTTCCTTCCGTGTTGAAGAATCTCAACGTCGTCTATCTAAACGCAAACCGGCTCCTTGCCGCCTCAGACTCCCATTTCGACCCCGATCAAATGACACCTCGCAAGGATGGCCATAACCGTGTTTTGTAACGTCGCAACATATCTATCGGCAAAGGAAACTCTTCGGCTCATTATGGACAACCAGTGTCTCAAATAGCAGGTTTGCCAGTGCCCAGTCTAGCGTGGCGCGGCGAGGATAGAACATCGTGTGTAGAGTCGTCCGAAAGACCTGGTCGACTGACTTGATGCGAACGACTTTTGTCGCTTTGAAGAAGCCCTCAAATGCAACGGTCGAGATCTCGCGGAAAGTGCTTGCAATCGTTCCGTTTACGGGAGAAAGGCAAAAAACAACAACAGTAAACGCCTGCGCCATGAGGCATTGTTGCAGGTGGCAACTGTGGCGGAGCCGATCCCAAACTACCGTCGTCTCGACGAGTGGTTGTCTCAGCCGACCGTGTCCACAGAGTCGACTCCGGGGTCTCGTCTCCTCATAGAACCCTCATTCTGGATCATGACTCGGAAGCTACTTCGTTAGGTAGAGCCCCTATTGACGAAACTCCAGAAAGAGCCCTCACCAAAGTCGCCGCGAAACTGCTGTGGCACCTCATTGACAGCCCTGCCGCTGCCGCTGCCCGGACCAGGCCCCCCATTGAAATTGTCTTCGGCTATTGGAAATGGCTGAGCAATGGCCAGGTCATTGTACGTCAGGTCCGCGACGGGCCGAAAAGGAGTCGCATCAAAAGCATAGCCAGAGGTGGCTGGCGGGGCTGTCGACGACGTTTGCTGGAAGGGCGTACTCCAGTCAGGCATATCTCCAAACGAGGTATTGCCGCAGAACAACGCTGGCTGTTGTTGTGGCTGCTGTGGCTGCTGCTGCTCTGCCACTGGGTAGAAAGAAGCCGCCCCATGCGAGCTGGGTGTCACAAAGAGTTCCGAAGAGTGTGCGTCAGATCTAGGACTGCTAGACTTTGAAGTCAGCACCGGTGATGGTCGGTTCTTCTCCGCCCGAAGTAGCAAGTTCTGAATGACGTCAGCCCCCTGGCCAGCCACTTTGTTCGTGTTGCGGATCGTATTGAGTCTGAAAAGGGACTCCCTGATGCATTTGAAGGCCTCTGGGACCAACCGCGCATTTTCGTGCGGGAATGCGATCAACACAGCCAGCATGGAGACGCAAGGCTCCACGGTCAAGTAAGCGAGGGTGAACATCTTGTAGTGGTGTGGGGAGAGAGACTCGAAAAATCGTTGCTGGGCGTCCAACATGTGGATGGCCGCCTTCATGATCTCGGTGCGGCTCTTGGAGATCGAAAAGATATATGGTCGGTGAAGCAGAAGGATGAATAGCCATATGGTTGCACAGAAGAACTCGCGTTGTGATGCAAGCATGGGACAGTCTTCGTCGAAAGATGTGTCGGGATTGTCGAAGCGGAAGACAGCTGGGATGGTCGCGATAAACTCCAGGGCTCCTTGGTGCAGACGTTCCACCTTGCTATAGTCTCGCGGATACGGGCCTTCCAGCTCTAGCTCCCTGATTTGGGGCAGGTGCTTGTGCACATGGTACTCAAGCAATCGCACGGTGAATGTATTCGGTTTCTCATACTCGCTTCTCTCGAAAGGGGCTGTAGATGTCCGGTTCCTTGGGATTTCGCAGTCTGTCGGCGGAACTATCGTATAGTCATTGGCTTTAAAATTGAGCGGTTTTCCCAGGACCATGCCCATTTGGCTAGAGTGTGCCGTTAGCAGGGTAGGAATTGGGCACCAGCCCTTATCATTTGCTCACTCACCTGTCCCAGAGGAAAAGGTTCACCATCAAACGTCGCCGCAGCACGATGTCCCATAGCTCCACGCAGGCGCTCTCCGCATCACTGGCGTATAGTTTGCCATCGTCGCGATGGAGACCAATTTCTTGTGCGTTGATGGTTGCTTGTGCGAGGACATGCCACGCTTCCGCAATCAAGCCGCGGTTCTTGAGCCAGGCAGTGCGCAAAATCTGTGCTGCTATGTAGTCCAAGTTGATGACATTTTTAGGGAGGAGGCCCAAGAGCCGCATCGTCGGATCGTCGGACGGTCCATCTCCATCCACAACAATGCCTTTTATGCAGAAAGTGTGGAGGCTTTCCGAATGGCCCGCTGGGAGGAACTGTAAGGCGCAGACCAGGACCTGGAAGAGGAGGGCCGAAAAGATCAGCCTCTCGGAGGGAAATGTCCTCTCCGCTTGGTACAGGGGCGAGGTGGGTTGGTGGTAGTATTCCTCGAGTTTGACCGTGAAATGGTTGCGATCGAGGATGGTGTACTGCCAGTTGACCTCGTCGAAAAACACTTCGACCAGATCTCTCACGCAGGCCGAACATGGCAGTTGTTTCAGGACCGACTTGTAGATGTCGTAGGCGGGTTGGCACAGCGTGACGTTCCTCTGCTTCTGCGACGGTCGAGGGCTGCTCCCCAGCTCTAGATTCTCTAGTTTCTTGACAATGCCCAGCGAATTATGCACGTTGACGTTGGAGTAGCCGAAACAAGCCAGGTCGGGGCTCCATGTCTCTTCCTTTGCGGATTGGTATTCTTGGACACTGAAGTCGGGTGCCTTGGAGAAGGCGTCGACATACGAGCCCTCGACGGCCTTGTGGGAGCGACTGGAAATAGATCAATACCGATGTAGGGGGTGCCATTTTGGCATCCAAGCAGAAAGGGGCTTACCCCGGGATTGCGTCTCCATAGGAACAGCTGTCCTGCTTGCCTCGGAGGACACAGGTCATGCACGGTGTCTCCCTGTTGCACTGTTCGCTGTTGTCAGTCCCCGCGAACGACCTGTGCCAGGAGGGCTGGGAAAAACCTTCTGTTTGCTATGGCGGCAGTTGGTGCAACTAAAGGTGATGCGCATTCGTTTCTTTCGCGTTTGTTCGCCCGAAAGGCCTGCGGGCTGGCGTCGGCTGTCCATGGCGGTGCCGGTGCCTCGTTGACAGTGGTGTGTTCTCAATGGAAAGAGGTTTCTCGAAATCCGAGTCCTGCGGAGTATCTATCGTCTTTACATAAAGCCGCAAGCGATTGACTTACCCCTCGAGCCCTGATCCACTACTGCACGGAGCCGACGGTAGGGCCATGACGGGCGAGACTGGGCCATGTTGCCATGTCGCCCATTACTCAGCACCTGCGAGACACGACAGAGTTACAACCTGATAGGTAACGAGGGCATGGCTTCGACCTTATTTCGCCATGCCAGTCGGGTTGCGCGTTGCCCGATCCCTCGCAGGATTTGCCGCCAACTTCGCCTGATGCGGGCGGCATCGTGCGAAGAATAGGGAAGAATTATTCTCCTAGATTACCTAGCTATGCCTAGTCGATCAATCCACCGGCTGAGAAATAATCCATCGGATCCCACTTTCTCTGCATTCGCTCCGCTCATCCGCGCTGACGTTCGCCGATATACAAGCTGGACAGGTGAACTAGGTACGGGTCTACGCTTCCCAACTCGCAGCAGCCACCAGGAATGTCGTCTCTGCGAGAGAAGAAAACGCCCAATACAAAGAAGAAAACGAGAAGAAAATTCTCTCAGCAGCAGAGGCAAACGTAGCACCGAGCGATCGGCGCCGTGCAGACACGGAAGAGTCCCTGGGCGCACCTGTCGCAATGGATCGACAGCGTCAGGAGGATTGCGCTCCCATGCAAATTGGGCTCAGCCTCGCCACGTAGTTAATGAAGCCAACACCGCAGGATGAAGCAAATACACCTCTCCGGCGGTAACTCGTCTCGAAATAGGGCCTGGCAGATGGACTTTCCAGACCTCCTGCTCGCCACCTGGGCTCCATTCGACCAACATCAGACGTGGTCAACGACACCAATATTCGGAGAGCAGGATCTACAGCCTATCTCCCGTCAGGATATCTCCGCGCTTGGATATGTGCCTCTGCCGCTCATGAATCTCGACGGTGCAAGCAGCAAGGCCTTGAGCAGGCAATCGTGTGTCGAAAGGTATCCGACCCGAGACGAGAGGGTATGCACAAGGATAGAATCCTAGTCCGTCGCTCTTCCTCCTGCTTTCTTACATGAGTCCAACGCATCAATGGTCGTGGAGCATCCTTGATCGGCAGTCACTTAGGCTTGCATATAGCCCGCCCCCGCCCAGGCCGATGTCGCCTGGGGCGTGCCCTGATTCGAGGAAGTCACCATGCAACGTCGGGCCATATGAAACAGATGCAGGGAAAGGCCATGACTAATATCAAAGGATTGAATTAGGCATCTCGAGTGGAGATTGGGTTGTGTCCGTGCTGGGTGCTTCAGCATTAGTAGATCCATCAATGTCGGAATGTATGGGTTGATCTTTGTTGCGTCCACCACAATCTGTTGAAGTCCGGCCCAGCGCATTTGGAATCTTGCATCCTTGTGTGTCCAACGCTCCAGGATTACTTCTGACAGCTGCTCCAGACCCAGTGTACGGGTTCGGTAGTTGAGGATGAGGGACGGAATCGACGCTGTGGAGATTGTGTCGACCGTCAAACATGTACCGTGAGTACAAAAGTCAACTCGAGGGACAGGCACGCTGACGTGTTAGAGCGCGAGCGCAGGCATTGCCATCCAATCGCAAGTGCGATATAGACCCTCCGCAGAGTCTCCGGAGCGGTGGCTGGAGGGGGACTTGTCTTCTATCGCTTGCGGCAGCGGGTTCTCCGCTGAAATGCTTTCAGTTTCGCAAAGGTTATGCCTGTTACTTGACAGGTTAGGTAAACATGGCTTCCAATTAGGTGAGCAGGACAGGGCTTGGGTCTCAGGATCCATTGGTCTCATACACGGAACAAACCTGCAAAATGGACGAAAGCATCACTGACATCGACTTTGTGGGAAATACCACAGATTTGCAACCCGACAACGAGGAATCTCTCAAGTTGCATTGCCTCCAGACCAATTTGTTAATCGAGGTGGCAAGGACAGTCTCAATAAATGTTCAACTGCTTCTCGTGTTCAGGGATGAGGCCCCGACACCGACCTCTCATAAGTCCGACGAGTCTGTGGTCCTTGACGCTAGGACCTAGGCTAGGAGTTAAGTAATACAACCATCAGCGCCCCAGAAGAGCAGAAGTGTGGGAAGACAAGATCAGCAGACTTAGTCAATGGCAGTGACCACCAGCTGCTGTTAGACGGGACCCACCGGTGCTGGAGGTAATCCTAATGGCCTCAGAGCCTGGAGCCGCTGGCGAAATTCATCTCCCACGGTGAGGAAAGGAGGAGTCTTCTCACGAACGGGTTAGTGCTGGAAAGATGTACACCGAGTAGGACTCTCGGCCTGCATTCGCTTGTTGTCAAGGATTGGAGAGACAATGGCAACTAATGCAGTTGATCGGCTCTTGCAGACGCATTATCCTTGGTGATGCGAGCGACTTTCTCCCTTACCCACGGACATCCGGCATTTGAGAAGCTTTGCTCACCTGCCAAGCCACGGTTTCAGGGCAGACCGAATGGTTGCTAATGAATATGCACAGGAACCTTGACATCCTGAAGATCAGCAGAGCAAACTGTATATCCGTGAAATCGGCAGTCGTTTTCTGGCGAGATGGTCGGTGGCCATGCAATCAGAGAGAAGATTGTGCTTGCCCTTTTTCCGAAGCCCTTGGATTGGATGAGAGTCGTGACGACCATCTCCTTACCGTGGCTTAAATGTAGTGGTTCCATCTTCCTTCATCCTTTGCTTTGAAGTTTTCACACCTGACTCCTATTTCTGCATGCTTACCCTCGTTGAAGATTTTCATGCCTTAGCCTGTTGCTGGGATCCTTCTGCTTTCGCCGAGCCTCACCTCTAGCATGGGATCAATATACGCTTGGGCATCCTCTTAGGCTGACCTTGGGATCCTTTCCCACCCGTTCGAATACCCATCGAATGCTCCGTCAAACATTATTGAGGCTCATACAATATCCTTGAAAGCCTTCGTTTTGCAGTCATATGAAGCACCGAGAATCTGCACTGCCCGGGCAGGGCCTATCCCGATTCTGGTGCCACGAGGATCGGAGACACAAACATGGTTCAAGGCTGGCGGTCCGCTCCTGCAGAGAACGAGTAACGAGCAATGTTGCGACCTTGACGTTGTCCCGGCTAAATATTGAACGGATCGGTATACGTAATTCCTGCTATAACAATTCGCGGGACATCTTTTGGAGTTATCTTGAGGATTGAAAACTTTTCACGCAAACGCCTTCCTGAGGGAGGAACGATGCTCGCGTCAGTGCGTGGTACGGTCGTGGATGTCCCTCTGTGGCCCCATTGTCGAGAGGTTTATATTCAGGGTGCTTACCTAAACTCACGTCTGATTTGCAGACAGTTGTCTAGAATCCCTGAAGCACCAAAGTCGTCCGACATGCCGTATTCCGACAAGGCTGCGCTGATAGCGTAGATCCCACGCGCGGCAGGCGAGAGGCCGCCCAACCCAGGTGAATGATGACCGTCGAAACTCTCGTGGATTAGTCAGTCTCGAACTATTTTGAATGCCCCAGCTCTCATGGAACGTCCGACGGATATCCCCCTCTCTGCGGTTACATAACCGCGCAGTTGCTAGGACAGCACAGAATATCCCAAACAGGGCAATCAGAATCTGTGATCTGATTGGCGCTGGCGGACAATCATTATGCCGTTTCCGAAGAAAAGGATAAAATATGCTTGTTTGTCCCGCCATTTATCTAGGGCAACAATGCGGGACTAACGAGCCAGTCCCGCATTACGGCGGGCAGAAGGAGGGATAAAATAATGGCGGCTTGCGTCAGGAGCTTGGCGTTTGCTGGCCGGATAGACAGCGGACGGCTCATCCGCCAAAGCAGCAGATATTGCGGCATGTTGCCATTCGAGCTTCGGCGACACTGTCCTGCCCGCGGTAAGCATTCTACCGGTTCACGTGGTGTATACTTACCATTGTTAGCTATGAACGCTTCAAGAGGGGTTAGACTGAGATTTGATGACGTCGAAGTGCTAGACAGAACAGTGGACAAAAAGGAATGGCCACGAAATGCTCGTCATTCCCGGTGCAAAAGGCACACGGCACGACCTAGCACTTTCTGGCCCCCGGCGGTTCATATGCCTCATGGACCATATTATTCTCACCCCGGTCCGATCCCGTGTTTTCATCCCGTATGGGTCAAGTGCTAGTGCAACGATGACATCGCAAACAAGATAGGGAGCTCGCAGCCAGGTGCCGTGTCAAATTGTCAGAAGACGGATCAGAAGGTGCATGCCTCCGGCGAGAAGGCGTCCTTCTCCCTCAAGCCTGTGAAATAAGGAGGCTGTCCTCATTGACTTCACTTCTGCCGGTGGGTTGATACACCTTCGTCCGGGCCGACGTGATGGGACTGAAGTACGGCGGGGCCAATCAATGTTTTCACGACTGCAGGCTTTTCGCCAGGACAGTGTTGTATCGACCTGAAGCGGAAAAAACATGCCCAACATGAAGATCTGCCGGCATAAACCATCTGGGACATGCACCAAAGCTTGTACCAAACGAACGAAACTGACAGACAACGTCTGACTACATTATCTGGCAGGTAAGATAGAATGTCCATCTGTCACATAACTCCTCGTTGTCGTGGACGAAAACGATGCCCTCATGGAAGGACCAGCGGAGGCCCAATCTTAGGGTTGGACACAATGTCGACCTGCTTGGCGCTCATGTCAAGAGCATCACCACCTCGCGTCCGCAAGGGATGCTCTGCTTGGTCCAGGAACACCACTCGGAAACGGCCAACATGGACTGTTTTCCAAGTGGTGTTTTTCCCTGGATCGAAGAGGAAGAGGGACCACATGATTGACACAGAAGCATGGCACGAATCTGGGGTCAAATCAGAATGGAATGCCCCAGCAGAGTAGGCACCACTGTCTGTTTCTGGGGGGGCGCAATCGAAATCGGTGGTCGTGGCAGTGTCTCGAAACCTCTCCGAACCGTGATGGGCAATTATTTACCTGTTGCTCCGGGCGGCTTCTCCAGGCCGTCGGAAGCGATATGAACAAGTTCCATCTGCGGAGAGTGGCAGTCCTGTTGGGAACATTTGGGGGCTGATTATTGTTGTCCAATGCGGCTTGGTCTTCGCTGACACTTTGAGGTTGTTCTCGCGAAGAGCCTTCCATTACCCAGTTCGGAGAAAGCCGTAGTGTTGTCAAGCAGGAGATTTGCCCCAAAGTCTGGGGAACGCAAGTGATCCATCCCAGACTCCAGAAAACCTTAGAAGAGTGACGAAAGGCCGGGGCAATGTCGATACTCTGCCCTCGTCCGCCAACCTTCACAAAGGGGGAAAAGGGGGATCTATTATTATGGGGGCTGTTGATGTACGTGATGAGCATGGAAACCGGCTAGGAAGCTAAACTGTTCCGAGAACAAATCAATTTTGCGCAAACGACACTAGCCGGTCTTGGCACATCATTAGCGCCGGTGCTAATTTCCATCATGTCACTTCACACGTCAAACAGCTTTTATCATCTCCTTCATTTGCTGGTGATTGTTGTCTTTTTGACGTGCATGAGGTTGACGGGGGACTGAGGTTTCTCTCTTCGTCCTTCTTGAATCGATTGGCTGGCCGTGGTCCTGTCAAACTGGAACCTACCGCACGACGGCCCTGTTCCCCAGTCCAATGTTTGACCTTGTCTCGTCCCACTGCACAAAAGAGGCACAGTCACATCCAGATGCAAAGGCATGTCTCAGTCCGGTGGCGTCCAATGCCACACCAGGGGCCACGCCCCAAGAGGGAGATCCAAGGCCCCAATTCTAACGAAGATGCTCGAGGTCCGTCCAGGGTCGATGCTTGTCTCCCCCACAACCTCCGGACTCCTGAAATGTATCCGACTGGACCAATCCTCCGGCTCGTGTCGCTCGGGCTCGAGGTCGATCCAGTCCAAGCCGAAGTCGACCATGGTCCCAAATAAACCTATCCACTTCTTGACAACCATTTCCCAATTGTTTCTCCAGGGTCGTTGAGGGTGTGTGTGCTGCGTGGCGGCGTTGGGGCTGGTAGGGGTTTTCTATTTATTTATTTTTTTGACTCCCTTTCCCCCATCACGACCGTCCCCCCTTTCCCCGTTGTTTTTCCTCCGTGGTGTCTATATACAGCGATAGTATCTTGTTGCATTTGGCGTGTTCCGTCCGTACTTTGCAGTTCAGCTTCGAGTCTTTCGTTTGAAATCATCTTTTGCATATTTTACATTCGCTTCTCGACAAAAGCAAAGATGCAGTTGACAACTCTTCTGTTGGCATCCATTGCCTCCCTGGCAGCTGCTCAGACTGCCACCTCCACGGCAGCCACAAGCACCTCAACCTCCAGCTGCGCTGCCCAAAAGTGAGACAAGAGAACCTCCCCCCCAGTGGCGTTTGCATGCTGACAGATCGGTTTCCAGCATCCTCGATGCCTGCCTGGCCACCATCCAGGGACAGGTCAACTCGTGCGAGAGCACTGACTACGGCTGCCTGTGCACGCAGTACGGCAACCTGCTGACCTGCTACAACAACTGCCCCAACGACCCCGGCGTCACGTCCGTCCAGCAGGAGCGCGAGCAATACTGCGCCGCCGCTTCCGCCTACCCGTCCACCACCACCACCGCCGCTGTCGCGACCACCACCAGCAGCGACTCGTCCAGCGCAGCCGCCACGACCACCTCGGGCTCTGCAACCTCGACCGACTTCTCGTTTGGCTCCGGCAGCTCCTCGTCCTCCGGCGCCAGCGCCAGCGCGACCGACGGTTCCTCGTCTGGCAACGCTGCTCCAACCTTGGAGCTGGGCCGTGGCATCGTTGCTCTTGCCCTTGCCGGACTGGGTCTTGTCTTGTAAAAAAAGAAAGAAAGGACAACCACCTACAAAAAATAGCTGGGTCAATGTTATTGATACTCCTTGCTGTGTGTTCTCTGTTTTGGTCGTTCGGTTCTGGCAAGCATTGCGTTGGGACAAGGAGGAAACAAATAAAAAGCTTGTGCTGCCCCCTCCAGCCTGCGGCACATTCTCTCTGGAAGCGGGCGTGGAAAGAACAAATAGTTTAATCATTATAATCTCTCTCCAGCTTGACCTGCAAATTGGCTCCGCCTTCACTTTCTGCGTTGTGACCGTCGTTTCGGAGCTTGGGCTTCCTCTCCTTTACCGTCTTCGTCCTTTGCTGCCCGCTTTCTTCCTTTGAGAGCCGGTTGACGCTCCTGTTGCTGTGGAGCACCAGTATCCTTCGCGTCGTGATCACCGTGATCATCCACCGCCCGGACCGGACCGTGACTTTCGTGCCCACTCGGCGGCGGCCCATGTCCCTCGAACGCGTCCAGCAACGCCTGGCGCTCCGCGGCTTCCAACAGTTCCACATGCCCGAGGACGTAGGCGACCTGTTCCAGCTGGAGGGCGGTGACGTTCAGGGTCTCCAGCACCGGCACCGCCGCGTCGAGCAGCGTCAGGTACTCCTTGAGCGTGTACTTGAGCTTGTCGGCCTTGGCGGCGGGGAAGAACCACAGGAACATCTCGTCCTGGAAGAACGGGACGTGGACGGGGTCGAAGACGTTGAGGATCAGTGTCCCCGTGGCCGGCCCGATGCCGGTCAATTTGCACACCGCGTCCAGGGCTGCGGTGATGGCGGCTGTGGTTGGACGCGGCGGCGTGGAGGCTGAGGCCGAAGTCAATGTTGAAGAAGGAGAAGAAAAGAGTTTGGCGAACGCGAGAGACGTCTGGGCTTGGATCGTCGACCCGTCGTTCTTGCGAACCATGGCTGGGAGAAAGGGGCGAGAGTGGCCATGGGTGCTGCGAGAGGGAAACGAGTCAGCGCATCAGATCAGGCTCCATGGGCAGATGTTGAATGGCGCCCCAAGAAAAGGCCATCTCAGCAAAACTCCTGTCGCGGTAAATGGGGAGGAACATTGGGACAATGCCCCCAGCATTTAGGGCTCAACGCCTCCTCCTCCACGCCATCAGGACCCTCGTAGATGAAGGGGGACAAAATGTGCCATTGGGGACAATGTTGACTCCAAGTCATATGAGTATCCTGTAGCTCCCTCTCCTTGACAAGGAAACAAGCCAGGAATGTTGGATGAACAGAAGTAGACAAAGTAAACAGCCACATCGTATTGTATCACTTTCGCCATGCTCAGGCTGGTTCAACACCACCCTCACTTTCGACCACCTAAACAGAGGAATCGTATCCGACACGGGCAGGCGAACTTACATCTTCCACTGCACCAGCCTCTCAACAGCATCTTTGGCTAATCCACCGCCGCCGCCGTCTTGGGCATCAGGAGAATTCTTCTTTTTCTTAGTACTGTCCTTCTTTGAGGCCTGCGCGGCCGCCGTGGCCGATCCGACCCCAGCAGCAACAGCGGCAGGCAGCTCCTCGAACCTCCAGCGATCGCGCTTCAACGCGTCGGCGACCTTTTTGTCGTCGTTCTTGAGCTTGGATCGGTACACCTTCTCGACCAGCGAGGGGTACAACTGGAGCGCCTCATGAAATGCCGTGGGGGAAATTGCTGTTGGGGGAGGAAGAGATGGCGAAGGCGACGACATTGGATCTTGTGCCACTCCTGGCCCCGACGCCGCTGGATGCTAAGGGAGGGGTGATATGTTGCTTTGGTCCGACCAAGGACTTTGATGTGGCACTTGATTGATGAGCTCCCGTACCTTGAACGTGAGAGAGAGATATTATATATACCCCGAACTATTATACTTTATCCCTTACTATTTTCGATCAGGAAAGAGGAGCGAGCATTAATTAGTGCGGGATAGGGCGATGCTTGGAGAGTTTTAATCTAACTTAGTTTAGAAAGCACTTGCCATCTCACGCAAACCATGCTGACACTGGATTTGTTTCCAACGTTCTTTTGATTCTCTACGGTGCCCGTACCAATGTCGTCGAGACGCTGAATGTTGTCGAAGCAGTAAAGATTTAGTGCCCCGACTGCGGCCATGCGATTGTCATTCCACTTTCTTCCTGCCTTGATGATAGTCAAAAGTCACACCACGACTCAAACGTGGGAGCATAAACACGATTCTAGGTTCTGATTGCTATGAATTATTTCCCCTTGATCTATCAAGCTACATTTGTCCCTGATCCATTTGATAATAATATCTTTTCTGTTGAGACCGCAAATCGACAAGCATGGCGGTTCCGATGGACGCGATCCTGAATATTACGCTCGGCCTCATCCAAGAGGCTTATCAAATATACGAAGCCGCTAAAGCCGTCCCTACCGTCATAGATAAGGCTAAATCCGACCTCCAGCAGCTGAAAATCAGCACGCAGTTTCTAAAGAGAAAAGCTGAAGATGCCAACTCCGTTGTTGCTAGGAGTGAAGAAATGTAAGATGTTGCAATATGCGTTTCAGATACTGAGGGCGAAGCACCACTAAGTTTAACAGTCGTCAGGGGATTAAGGAAATGTACAGTGACCTTAACAAACCATTCGAGACTTTAATCACTTGGATGAAAAAACTACCCGGCAATCTGGCTTAAAAAAATTGTGGTGCGCAAATGATGATCGGTCGGAGATACATCGTATTACGGACGAACTCTCAAAGCACCGTGAGCAGTTGCAGACACTCATGAGTCAGATTGACAACGCTGGGATGGACGAGATCATCGAGCTCTTCAAGGAAATGAAACAAGCTCGGGAAAAATCTGCTGAACAACACCAGACGCAGGTCGTGCAAACCGTTATTCAGTTTATTGGGCCCTCTGAGGGTGTTACAATCATGCAGGGTGGCAACGCAACTGAGAACAACAAACCTTGGGATAAGATCGAGTCACATCCCGAAAGCAGGGACGAGTTAAAGGACGCTTTGTTACCGACGCCGAAGAGTGCCTTCAGCACGCATCATACAAGGGAAATGAAGCACTCTGTAAGGAATGAGGGCGGTGACAGCGTTTGGATTATGTGCGTGGACGGCAAAAATAGTGGTATGAAGACTCTTAAGGTGAGGAGTGAGGAGCATCTTCAATGCTGACAAAACTATAGCACGCTCCGTGATCGCCCAGACATATCTGGAACTCGTTCGAGCTTGGACCGTCAATACCACTGATCGATGGATGTATGGCAGAGTTGACTCTGCAGGAGTAGACATCAAAACTCCCTTCAACGAGACTGTCCCGCTTGCGTCTAGACCTGATACGGATGCAAACTCCAAGGCCATCGACATCCTTGCTGGAGACAGGAACCACTTTTGGTCGGAAGACTATCCCCACGAGAAAGCCGTCATCGTGAATAGAGTGAAGGCCCATCAGCCTCGTGGTATCGAAGAGCGGCACTTCCGCACATTCGAGTACATTCTCTGTTTCGACGTTTACGCGTTTGAAGCCGTCAAGAGGCTGAAGCAAAAAGCACAAGCAAAAAGTTCCTCAACTGGCAGTAAGGAAAGGATTTCGAAAGTCATGCTCCTCGAGGACTGCGCATGGCCAGATGGAGGGAAGACTTGTCATGATGCGGATGTGGTTAAGGACGTGAATTCTAGGATCAAAAAGCAAGTTAAAGACTTCTTGGGATCGGAATTCGGCTGGACAAAACCGCCTTTCCATAAGGGCATGGCAGGTGGTGAGCAGCGAACGCTCCATATGGTACTTCCGGAAAAGTATCGGCACCCAGTGCAGCAGGCCCTGAATCAAATGCGGAAGGAGTTCGGATGCAAAATCTACCTCACGTGGGAGGGAACGGCAGGCAAGAAACAGCTGGTGACCATCGTGGGAGCCCAAGGAAAGGTCAGAGTTGCTGAGAAAGCCGTGAGAGCGTTGGCCTAGGCTCTGCGTTGTTCCAAAGAGATCCCAGTAGCGTGCACGCCGAGCACGATACTGATACCGAAAGGGGCATCCGGCAACCTATCGGACAGCTCTACAAGGGTGACAACAATTTGTATCAATACATATCCTTTAGATGACTGATGATTCCCTGCCGCTTTGCTCTCCCACTGACGACTATTTAGTCCGCTCGCTCCGCCGTCCGCTTCCTTCTCTCTTGTCCCACTCACACGCCCACATTGCGGGCACCTACCTACTTACCCATATCTGACACAGCATGCGTTCTTCTAACCCTCAAACGTCCACCCTACCCTTGGACTTTGCACGACTGTGCGGTCGGCTATTTCAAGTCTCACTCTGGCTGCGGGACCGACCTCCTCATGGTCTGTTCCAGGGGTACCAGGTTCCTGACTTTCCCCGTTTGATGGTGTGGGTTTCCCGCCCGTCGTGACAAGAACAGCTCCGTATCTAATCTCCCTGTCACCCACTTCTTTGATCAAGTCTTTGATCGGCGCATTGCTGTCGGCACTTCGCAGGAGAGGTGGGTTGAACGCTTTGGCCGTTTCCAGTGGACTCATGCTGAATTTGCGGCCTAGGACATTGTAGCCCCAGAATGTTGCGGCGATCAACGTCAGGGCAAACAAGACTACCGCTGTGGCGACACCCAGGTACACATAATTGGTATGGTAGATGGGCCTGCTCAACGACTGACTCGCGGGGAGGATTTGCACCGGAACAGACGCATTTGCGGCGGCCAGGCTGCTGCGGAACATGAGCTCCCGTGCACCGGCCAGAAGGTCTGCTAGAGGGTCTCGGAAGGATAAGTTGCAGGACGAGGCAGGAGCCAGAGAATATGACTCAGTTATCCCGGTCAGGTTGGCGTATTGTGTTGCCATATTCCCCGTTGAAATTAACTCATACCCTACAGCTCCGACAAAGCGCAGGTGAGCGGCAGAGTCGTACCTATTACTCAAGGCATACCCAAATCCACCCAATGTGGTTGGCCCGTCCATGAGGGGGTCAAGAACGGGAACGATTTGATCAACAACGTCGTCGAAGACTGTCGTAGAAGGATCAAGAGAGATGGTTGAGGCATTCCCGTCAATTATAACCTGATATTGGACTGTAGCTTGCTGGAGGGTACAGTTCGTGACGCGAAGAAACCCTTGACAGTCGCTGGTCTCTTTAGCAGCGACGCTTAGGCTGATATTGCCCGGGATTTGCATGGCCCAGAAATAGTTTGTTTCGAAAGCCGTCGTGCCATTCACCACGGCGGGATCGGTAGAAGCGTTGAATGGTTCACTTGGGTTGAGGTCAAAGGGAAGTGTGTACGAAGAACAATTTGTCGCAAACCCAACGCCCGTGACCCGTGTTCCGCAAGTCCCTTGGCAGCCAGACCCTTGGAATGATATGGGCGCTTGAATATTCCAATCCTGAACGATATCGCTGAAGGGTGTGGTGAAGAGGGAAGCGTAATATGCCCGGCCGCTCACGAAACCGCTGAATCCGAAAGGAAGACTTGGAACAAGTCGCAACTGAACAGTAGTCTGCGACACATCTTGGCGAACAATGACTCGTGAAGCTCGTTGAAGAAGGGGTCCGTTAAATTGAGCAATCGTGGCCACTATGGTTGCAGTCGCCAGCCAGCTGATATGCTTTCCCGCGAGGAGGGCGGATAAGAAGCTGCCATGGCTCCAGTAGCGATGTAAATCAGCAATCGACGTCTTGTCTTTGAGCGACCGACGCCACCAGGCGACATTGGCGCCTTCTTTGAGAGCAAAGCCCATACAGATGTTGCCTATCGTCGAAGCAATCGAGAGGTAAGTCGAGGGTTGGTATCTCCAGGACGCGAGAGGTTTATCATTCGAGTACACCAAAATCGCCACAGACGCCGCCAGGCCCGCAAGAGCCCCTATGATGGCCGCGACGCCTAACCATGGAAACTGAGCGAGCAGGCCTGGCTTCCATGGCTTCTTGGCGACGGCAGTCGAAGCCGAATTATTTTGAACGCTCTTGGTCCTCATGGGCTTAATCTGACGAATATCGTTGTGATATGAAGAGATTGTTGTACACGGTTGTTGGTGAGAATGTATATTTCGGCTGAGAAGAGGACTGCTGAACTCTCACCTGGTGGTGAGCAGTGGCGGCAGAGCAGAGGGATATAAGGAAGCATGCCTTCCAACCATCAGATAGAATAGGCTGGCAATCAGTCGATGGCAAGCTTCAACGATTACCTTGAGGTCGACAACGGTGGGTAGCAAACCCTCTCATGTTGACTGCGGATGAGCCTAGGGCGCCGGCCATCGTGATATGTCGAGCAGCTGAAAATAAGCGAGGACGTCCGTTTACGAGCCTCGAGATGCCATGTAGCGATTACGAGTTGACTCAACAAGTCTAGATTCTTCCCATCACCTGATGCGTTTCCCTCACCGGCCAGGGCCTCTTTCAAGATATCAACCCGCCGCATTAGAAGAGCAGCATCATGAGGGCTGGAAACGGTAGAGAGATAGATTCGTGTATGCGCCTCGTACTCGGTGTCGATGGGTTTGTTGGTCGGAATAGGAAAACTCGGCCGTTTGCGAATAAACTCCAGACCATCCGCATCGTGAACGGGCTAGTCCATACGGGAAGGGCGGGAGGTTTGCGGAACCTCAACACGGAACGGCCTAGCCCGTCTGGGGCATGGCGTGGCCCATTCGGGAACAGCCGTATTTCGTTGCATTACGAAAGGGTGTTCTATCTCAAGATGAAGAAACCCTCTTGAGTTCAGCTGGCAGGGTGCATCGCGTCGGGTCGAGCCCAAAGGCCCACCCTCAGTGTGGCGGGTACAGGGCCTAGTAAGGCTGGAGTCTAGACCTCGGTCGTCATTACCACCATCATTCCAGAAAGCGAATCTGCATGTATGTTTACGAATAGGGCATGGATTGTTCACAGCTGCAGAGTCCCCAATACGAACTGCAACGCTCGTGATGGGCGCCACCCCGTCCAGAGATAGACTAGTCTGTGCGTGAACAAGGATTGTTCGTGCTCAGACAAGTCACAAGTGCCACGCAACCCTCTTTTTTACCGCGCCATAGAAATGATCCGTAGTCGGCATTTTTGCCCATAGACCAGGTATTTGACTCGGCTGCACGCCTGAGGTTCCAAACGATTTTGCACTCGAGGTGAATCAATGTCCAGATGTTGTCCTGTGTTGTGTTTGTGTCCGTCCTTGCTGCAGCAGCTGCAGCAGCAGTCGTCGACGCGCTGAACCCCGCGAGCAGGACTCGTGCGGCTGCTGGTTATGGGCAGATGCGAGTTCCAGCTGTAACAGAAGCTCCATATCTTTCACCCGACCTGCTGCTCAACAGACGAAATTCTCCCTCAGTTTGTGGATATGTTCTTGGAATAGAATGTAAGTAACTCGTTCCATTGTGCTCACTGAAACATAATAAATTGTGGGTGCATCATTTTACAAGTTCCGGGGATGAAAAGGAAAGTGCTAATAGCTACTCATTTTCTTCTAGCCGATCCATGGACATGCGATCCGGGCAACTATTGCGGCATCCAAACCACTTTGAATGCATTTGGCTGCTGTGAATCATCGCTGTCGGAGGGGTCCCTTACTGGATGTTTCTTCCTGACGCAGTGTCTCAATTCGCAGGCATATTATACCATTTGTGATGCCGCATGCAAGTCCAATGACCTGATCGGGTGGTGGTAAGTGCCCTTGCCTCGAGACATCTCACGGAGCACTGATGGTTGATTGTTCCTCGGTAGTACCGATTCAACCCGGCCATATTGTGAAACGTACCTTTCAGGTACGTTGACGGGATTCGGTTGTGGGACAGAATCAGGCGCCACGTACGGCGTCTATTCGACATTTGGTACCGAAAATTATAATACAACAACAACGACGACGACGACGACGCCCGTGAACTCTCCATTCACCACCTCACAAGCCAGCCCGACTACCCTCGACACTACGTCTTCATCTGCAATCCCATTCACTCAATCACAGCGAACCTCAAGCGCCAATGAGCCCACTTTTACCGTCACAAATCCATTTTCTTCCTCCGCCACGGAAACTTCCAATGGCGCTGGCGGTGCCAGCGAAGTGGTTTGGACCTTTGAGAGTTGGATTGCCGTCTTGGTTTCCGGTGTCCTTGCAATTATATGATGATCATGGCGATGTAGATAATACTAACAAATTGTGCGTTCCTTGATTATCAGAGAGTATTGGAGGCGCCCTCGCGGCTGGCAGGTAGAAGGGTAATAGGGGTTGACGGGTATTCAGGATTGTCTACGCGATGCTATTCGACCGCACGGGGCAGGCTTGATGATAGACAAGGGGCGTAGCTCTGCGAGGTATGAACTGGATTCGGGGCCGCCCCGAGCGTGTATCCCTCCCCCCGGTCGATCTTCCGGGGGCCGATGGCCCCCAAAGCCCAACCAATGATGCGATCCTTGTGCTCAATCGTTCTCATGATCACTGAGATGTCGGTACCAAGCGCTTGATACACCCGGTCGCCATCTTGACTGGGGAGAATGGAGAAGCCACGAGACCGCGTCTTTGTTTGCTACTCTGGATCATGAATGTTCGGAAGGATTTCAAACATGCTGATCGGTAACGAGCTTGCACCGGGATATAAGCTCTCCCCTGGAACATCCATCATGACCGGATGTCGAGCTGTGCCTATCCTCTTGAAGTATACTGGCAGCTGAGATTGAAACTAGGACTCTTGTGCCGACGAACTTGCAGCTCTGTTGTTCTCTCGTGCCTGAAGGTACTGAAACAGACTAGCCATCGACAATCCGAGGCTTCGACATAGGGTATAGCGAAATGTGGCGAACGAAGTCCCCCAGGCTTCATGGGTTGGAGTTCTGCAGAACGCGAGGACTTGAAAAAAAAAAAGTTCTGCAACACTCTTCGAATAGTCAGCTCTTACCGGGTGGTCTCCTTCTTTTGTGTCAGCCGCCATGGCCAATAGGGAGAAGATCTTGTCTCGAGGATCACTGCACTCTTTGTGAGCACAGTCGAGTAGGAGGTCAAACAAGCGCTTTTTGCTGAGATGTGCGCCGTGAAGCGGATCGGGCTCGTTCTTGTAGTGAGGTAGCTCGAATTCCGAGAGCTCCTGTACAATGTGCCGGATCTTCTGTATGGCAGATTCCTGATCTGCTTCCGGATCAGGAGGGCAAAGTAAAGATGCCATTGCATAGCCCAGGCAACGTCGCCGCTCTGAGTGATCCTGCAAGCCTACTGTACGGGACAGATTCCTCCCCACACATCACATTAATGAGACCTTGTGCCAGTGCCACCTCTTGCATGACCCAAGCTCTGCGCCAATAGGACCGGCGAGTGATTGCGACCAAGGCTTGCCACATGGGAAGCTGGTATTGCGCACTAATTAATTGGCTGCTTTCGGAGGAAAAATCTCCAGTAGAAAGAACTCCAAGTATCATATCTGGGTCCAGGGCGATATCGCTGTGATCTGCGGCTTCGCCTAGCTATGCAAGAACACTCCATGCCGAAGAGGAGATTGTGCCCATGATGGCGACCCTGCTGCGTCCTTTCCGTCGTCTTTCGCTGGTTGATACATATCGCATCGACCCAACCCCAATTTCCTTGCCCCGCCAGGCGCTCCCTCCGTCTCAAGCGCCAGAGAAAATCCCAGAGATTCGTGCGGATCTCAAAAGATGCACCATTGACTGAGATTTGAAGTGTTGGAGTTTCCGGGCCCCACGTATACGATAAAGCATGATAGTCAGGCTTTTCTCCATCCAGCTCAGAGGCTTGATCCGTTTGCAGCGGCTTATGCACCAGTGTGAGAGCAAGCTCGTCTTCATCTGCGCCTGGAAGTATATGAACCAGCCGGATGAAGCCAGCCTCAAGGTCGGAATATCCAAAGTCCATGACATTCAATCATGGGAAGGGAAGGGGTATCAGGAAAACAAGGGAAGAGAGAGCCGTATAGCATGGCGCCATTCGAGGTACTTACGATTGAGCAGCAGCGTCGGATTGAGATGTCCTAGCCAGCCGGGCAGTGTTGGGGTTGAAGCTGGGCAACTGTAGCTTGAGGCCGAAAGGGGCACCCCTGAGCCCGAAGTGGCTTCTGCGAATGGACATCAGGCCGCGCTCCCTGTGGCTCGACTAGTGCTTGGCTCTCCCGTGCTCGGTCGGGCTTTCTCAGTGCTCCATCACGTGACAAATTAAAGCGGCCTCGCTCCCTTGCCTGAATGAAAATGCAAGGGACGAAGCACAGTTCGCGGGGTATATATAAGGTGCGATGAAAGAGGCGTGAGAGAAGCGTCAATGACCCTAGGCTAAACGCCAATGCTCCGTCCTTCACAACAATCTCGTCACAGCCTCTGTTGCGAATACTTTTACGACTCGGTGAACTTGGACCTTGGGAATTGATCTCTCTGTCGATGATAGCGGGCAGCCCGAGAGTATGCGGTGTAGTTTACCAGGACACCCTTTCTAGTACTGCTCCGCTTGCTTATTGGTGCGAAGACCACCTCACTTCGAGTGTTACTTAGTCTCAAACAGCCATTCTTCTGCTTCACCTCGGGATTTAAAGCCTCAGGCTCGATCTGCATTGATGCTCGGGTCAATTCTCTTCTGACCATGATTTTGTATAACAAGAACCCCGTCCCGGAGGGAAACCCACCATTCCCAGGTATGCATTGGTCTGCGAACCCTCGCCAAAAATAACTTGTAGCGGCAGCAGAAACAGAGCATGCCGACTCCAGTCTATTTCCGCCATTCTTGCCCTGAACAACAGGATACTGATACATTGCGCTCCACCCTCAACCAGCCAGGATCTCATTAGAATTCCTCGGTGAACTAGGCCTTGGCTCTTTTGACTTCCTCCTTTGGCTGAATCCTCGCCATCATCTCCTCTCTCTGCATCAAGTGTCCCACCCTCTCCAAAAGCTGCAACAGCCCCTTCATGCTGTTCCCCCATTCATCCAACACCTCGTCCGGTCCGCGTTTGACTTCAAAGCTCACCACTCGCGCCGGCCTGTCAATGCGCGCGTAAACCGTCTTCTTCGTGACGAGGTCCGAAATGTACTTCTCGGTCTCGTCGTCCGAGAGATCCAGCAGCTCAGTTAGACGCGGGAAGGTGATGCGGGTATAGTACTTCGCGATGACCCGAACATTGTGCTCGATCACTCGATGCCTCAGTGCTTCATAGCGAGTCTGCGCCTGCGAATCACTTGCATCTGGGGTTTTAGAAAAGATGTCAGTCGAGCAAAGGTGTTCGCCATATTGCTGCTCAACCATAGGCCACCGCATGAGTTCGGGAATTGTAAATTGTTTCAGGAGTGCTGCGTCTTTGGGAACTTGGGAATTGCGACTGTCCTGGTGAATGCGGTGGAGAAGATCGGACTGTTCGTTATCGTATGGGGCGAGCAAGACAAAGTAAATGACCCTCTGAAGAACGGCATGAAGCTGTTCAGGGTTGTTCTCAACGGATTCCGTATCCAAGACTTGTCGGTAGTGTTTGCAGACTTCCAGGTATTTGTCTTCGTGTTTCGCCAGGGTGATTTGTTGTTCATAATATCGCAGTTTGAGATCCGTCACGTCGTCTTCTTGCTCTTGCTCAGGTTCCTCCTCAGTCTTCTTCTTTTCTTCTTTCTCCTTCCTCTCCTTTTCTATCTGCTCGGGTGTCTTCTTCGGCTTTCGGGCAAAATATCTCGTACTGATTTTTCTGCTCAGGATACCCGCTTGCGTCCAGTCACCGTTTTGTATGCACAACGCCACCTGCTCTAGGATGAATTCTGTCTTTTCCCTTCTCGTCATCGATCCGAATGTCTCGACTTGGAGTTCGCAGAGAATGTCGCATGCTGACTTGATGTCGCCTTGCTCTTTCTTGATGTCGGAAAGTATTCGGGTGATCCTGGCACGTTCGACCTCCACAAAGATCTATTGCTCTTGTCAGTCCGATGGCACATCAATAGAATGATGTAAGTATGCGCACCTTGCCCTCGGTCACCGTCCGGAGTGCCTCGATGACACTGAGCTTTGTGTCAAGATTCGGTGTATCGTCAAGAAAGCCCATGACAGCCTGCACCATGTTTGTGATGGCTTGTTTGAGTTGGCCATGTTTCTTCGACAGAAGCAGGACTTGTTCGTTCAGTAAGCTCCAATCCCCGGCTTCTTTACATAGCGTAACGATGGTAACTAGACACCGGGAGGTTGTAGCGAGGTCTGAAGACTGGAGCCATCGTCAGCAAAGACAGAGCACAAGATCGTTAGTTATTCATCACATACTTGTCGTGCTTGTTTCTCAAGCAGAAGGATTTTGTCGATGGCTTTGTGAATATCTTGCTGCGAATAAAATCAGTCAGGTTCTCCTCCAGCGAAATCAATAGCTCTACCTTGGCCAATGCTTCTGCTTCCGGCAGGACCTTGTCCGCTTCCTTGGTAAAGTCCTTCTCCGGCTTGAAGATGGTGCCGTCCGACATTGTGGCGGGTGAAGGGCGCGGACCGAGGACTCGATGTGGATATCGAATAGAGGTATAGATGGTAGGAAGTCGAGGAGAAAAGTCAAAGAGGGTGAAGAAGCCAAAGTCAGAGGTTGGTGTTTGATTGTTGGAGCACTGTTCGAGCCGCAGGTTTACATGAGCTCAGATGCGCTCCGAGCCTTGACGCGTCCTTGGCGCCTGCCTCGCCTCTCAGCCTTGCGCTTACCACAATTGCTTGGTAACCTCCTGCTGGCCTATGGCTATAGCTGTGGAGCAGATGCATTTTAACCAAAGACATTTCTAGTGTACCAAAGCGTCTATATAGGCAGGCTACATGTTCTTCCCCATCAAGTCCTCTAACAAGCCATCACCCATACATTGACCCGATCCTTTCCCCATGCTCGTAACTGCATTTACACGTTACCCAAGAAGCCCTGGCTCTCCAGCATCAACACAATCTCGTGGACAATACTCCTGACAGACTGCTTCTCGCAGTCCACAGTCAAGTCGGCGCCAGTGGGCTTCTCATATGGATCGTTGATACCAGTAAAGTTCCTGATTGAGTTCCTCCTAGCTCGCGCATAGACGCCACGCTTGTCTGTCTTCTCACAGTACTCGAGACTAGTAGCAACATGGACTAAGAAGAAGCTACCATATTGCTGGATGGTATCCCGGGCCTCCTGACGGGCCTCTTCGAATGGTGCAATCGGTGCAGCGATCACAGCAGCGCCCGCCTTGGTCAGTTCTGCGGCAACAAAGGCGATACGCGCAATGTTAGTGTCGCGGTCCTCCTTTGTGAAGCCCAGTTCAGAAGACAACTCGTGACGGACAGTCTCGCCCAGAAGAAGGGTGACGGGACGACCGCCTTGTTCGTTGAAGGTGACCTGCAAGGCTCGTGCGATGGCGTCCTTGCCAGAATTTTGGTAGCCAGTCAGGAACACGGTGAAGCCTTGTTTTGCGCGAGGGGGGTTCGACTCTCTAAGCACTTTCACAACTTCGGGGTAGGAGAACCATTCTGGGATGGGTGCCCCAACTCTCAGACGTCTGCGCAGCTCGGTACCAGAGATGTCCAAAGTCTTGATGCCTTCGGGGACTTGATCCTTGGGTCGGTATTCGTCTGTATCCGGTAGATAGGTCATCATTTGAAACTCCACGACCTCAATGCCCAACTCGGCTCGATACTTCTCAACCGCATGCTGGGCGTCATAGGGCCCATAGAAATCCTTCCCGGAGCTGTTCTTGCCAGGACCTGCGTGGTCTCGGCCGATGATGAAGTGGGTAGCACCGTGGTTCTTTCGGATAATGGCATGCCAAATCGCCTCGCGAGGCCCTCCCATTCTCATTGCCAGCCCTAGCAAGCCAAGAACAGCCATACCGTTCGGATATCTGGGCATAAGGGCTTCATAGACACGGACACGGGTGAAGTGGTCGATGTCACCAGGCTTGGTCAGACCCACAACCGGGTGGATGAGCACATTGGCTTGACGTGCGCGAGCGGCGCGGACAGTCAACTCACGATGCGCCCTGTGCATGGGGTTTCGAGTCTGGAAGGCCACCACGCGAGTCCACCCGAGCTTCTCAAAGTGCACCCTAAGTTCCGAAGGTGTGTAGCGGAGCGCCACATAGTCGTAGTGACTGAGCTTGTTCACCGCCTCGATCTTGCCGCCAATGTAGAATTCTTTGGTCGCCTGCATCAAGTACTTGATGGCTGGGTGTTCTGGATCTCCCCCAAAGACTTCTTGGGCCTCCTTTTTCTTGTCTGGCCTGTAGATGTCATCCACGGTGAGGATAGCAAGGTTGCGGTCGTCTCGAAAGTCTCGCAGCGTGATCCGGGACCCTGCCTTGATCTTGAGACGTTCAATCACCTGGGCTCCGACATCCAGGCAGATGGGCATGCTGAAGAGAGCCCCACTCGCGAGTCTCAGGTTCTCAACGACCCCATTGTAGTCCTTCTCGTTCATGAATCCCTCCAGCGGGGAGAAACCGCCATTCATAATGAGTTCCAGATCACACAACTGGCGCTCGGTGAGGACGACCGCAGGCAGTTTCTCGGCCTCAGCCTCAAGCTCGGCATGGCGAGGGGCATCTCGAGCCAGGAGATCCTTGAGGACTCCTCCGTGGGGTGGATTGGCCATGGGAACTGCGTAGGAGGGGTGATGCCAGGAAAGACTTGCAAGAGATTCTGCTTTCTCGGCAGACAGCGTTGGGGTTGGACAAACGCTGAGGAAAGGGCAATTGACAACGGAAAAGGGACAGGACAGAACAGAACAGACAGATATCTCAGGCAGGGGAAATATCCTAGTACGAGTATTATAACCACGTTCAGCACGAGCAGCCAAGGCCAAATAGTAAGAAACCTACTCTATTCTCGTTTGTTGCAATCCCCGCCACGGGTGAGCCCGCGCACAAATTTTTACGAACCCTGAATGATGTATGGTGTGCCCACCCCTGCCCACTGCAACCCCTAAAGGGATCCCCCAGGATCACCTCCAATGGTGATTCGCTGCATCCGAAGCTACCAGCCTGTCTGGAGGCTTGCACCTAGTTCCGGTGCCTGGCAGTGGTGTCCGGAAGGTGTTCGACAAGATGAACCTTTCTGGATAAGGAGGGGGCCAAAGGGCTTGCCTTGCGGAACGTTGAGGCCAACCAACCACTCCTTTCGGGTCTCGCTAAGCCTGCCGATCTCCGTTGCCATGTTCGACGAGGGGATGGAGGACAGATAACGCGACAGGAGGCTGACATGAAGGACAGGGGACCGAGTGAAATTGTTCTCTCAACGGAGAACAGAGTTTCTGTCGAGGACTGCAGTTCAGTCAAACCATGAGCGCAGGCAAGGGGCGGTGTCGGGATACAGACTGTCGAATCCGGGTAACCAAACCGCAGCCAGTCACGCAAAAGGCCTGTTATGGAAAATGCGAGGCAATGGACAAAGGAGAGAATGGGCGGTCAGAGAATCTGCAATCGTGATTGATAAATCTATCGGCAGAGGGCGCAGGGGGCGTCACGCAGAGATGCCGCCCCAATGGGGGCCTTGTCCTCCTTTCGTCCAGATAGCAACGAAGCGGCTGCTGCCAAGAAGCTCTATGTCCCTTTTTCAACCTCCGTGAGGCGCGAGGCGGCCACCACTGTCTTTTCCGTCCATCGATAACCCGTCACTAATCATCGTCCGCCCCCTTGATGCTGCATGCAAAATGCTGATATCGTGTCGCTCATGCCTCTACTGTGTGAAACCCATCTGGATAAAAATGCATCAAGCCATCGCCGATGGCCGAAGTCCCGAACGCCGACGCTATGCTGCCAAATCACGAGGCCCGCTACTGCCCTCGTCTCATGACTGCCCCTCGAGGCTGACCTTCTGGAGAGCTTCTTCTAGAGCTTCACGTTCTCTCTTCTTCTCCTGCTCCATCAAGTACTGTGCATATTTGGAGCGAGGGTTGTGGATGCCGCACTCCGTTTTCTGTTGACCCTTCCATCGACCGGCCCGTTCGTCCTCCCCTTCCTTGACAGGTTGGGTTGAGTGCCAGTCCCCGACACTCTTATAGCCTCGGTCCAACAGGGCGTTGTATGGCACGTCGTTGTCTTTGATGTACTGCTGGATCTGGTCGAAGCTCCAGTTGGCCATGGGATTGATCTTGAGCAGACCAGCCTCGTCGACCTCGATGATGTCGAGTGATCCTCTTGCCCCACCCTGGCTCCTTCTACGGCCAGTGAGGACAGCATATGCTTGCAGCTCACGGTAAGCTCGTTGTGCAGGCTCGACCTTGACCAGGTAGTCATATCTGTTGTCATCGGTCTCCCAGAGCTTGTCCCCATATTTGTTCTTGAATTCCTCTGCGGTCTCGACTTCGGCTGGTTTGAACACATGAATGTTGACCAGAGGATATCTTTCCCGCACCTTATCCACCAACTCCAATGTCTCGGGGAAGTGATGGAGCGTGTCAAGGAAGATAAGGTCTACCATCTGAGGCCGAGGGATCTTGAGTTTGGACAGCATGTCTAACGTGACCAGTCCTGTCAGGCCAAAGGCCGTGGTCTGAAAGAGGTTGGGGAGCGTGGTGATGGCCCATCTGAGGATCTCCTGGGGCTCGAGGAACTGAAGCTGGCGGTTGAGAAACCGCAGGTGTCGTTTGGTGAAGTACACCTCGGACAGATCACTCTCACTGTTGGTACCGGAGGAGTAGCCAGAGTCGGCACCCCCCAGTGAGGGGCTGCTGCGGCCACTGCCACATGGGGTCTCTGCTCTCGAAGACATGTCGGGCTCACTTGGGGCAAAGGGGTTGAACAGGTAAGAGACTTGGGCGAAGGAGAAGGAGAAGCGTGAGAGGAAATCCATTGAAAAGAGAACCGACTGACAGCAACACAGGGGGACGATGAAAGTGCTGGAAACCCACCTTTTTACAAATCAACCGCCTGCGATATCATCGTTGAGCACGCAATTCAGCAGTGGAGCGAACTAGGAGGTTGAGAGCCTCGCCATCCGCAGCCAAAATTTGCAAAAGCAGTGAAGAGGTCATTCTTCCCTCAACTGCCTCATCCCTTGGGCGATGGCGTGATCGAGGAGGCAAAGAGCCTTCCTCATCGTCATTGGATGCCGACCATTCTCGTCGATGAGTGTCTTGTGTCATTTGCTGGCCTTCTCACTCCGAGAGCCGTAGGATGTCGGGTGTCGGAGAAAATCTGGATTACCTGCGTGCTTACAGGATAGGGTCTCCGGACTCAGCTGGGCCCCAGTTTCTATACGCCGTGCGCGGCTAGGCAATCGGAGGGTCACGTCTTGCCAGACACTTGCCTGAGGTTGCAACTTACGTGACAGCTCCCCTGCGAGCACATCATCTAGCCAAGAGACGAGAATACGAGAGCACCCAGACACTGCAGATTGCGGAGGGGAAATTGATTATGTCGCGAGATTGTGGCAGATTGACGACAGCCGCCGTATAAGTAAGGTTGAGATCACTTTGAGTCTGGACCGAACCTGTGAGAGCGATAGCCGGCGCGGGGTTCTGCCGAGCCCCGGTCAGATTTTTCTTTCTGTGTGCGTTGTGCCAAACTCGCCAAGTCTCACGTGGTTTGACGGCACGTGAGTACGACGTGGTGAGGGTCACGGGATGCTTGGCTGCGACCAGCTGCCCTGCGCCAGCTTCGTTCCAATGGCCTCCCGGGTCCAGGCATTTTGTATGTCCTGCCGCACGAACCCGTGGAGACATTTTTCTCCGTTCCATTCTTCAAGCTGTAGGAGGTGCGCTTGGAGCCAATCTACCAGTGAAGCTGCATGGTAGGGAACCTGGCGACCTGCCACTGAACATACTCGCCCGATCTCTCTCCATTCTCTGTCAACGCTGATCTGAGCCTCAATCGGTTGTTCCTGCATTGGCTTCGAGATGCTATGACGTCGTCTTGCATCCTGTCGATCTCGTCCCCCTCCCCCTTCCCTGTTGCCCTCCAACATTGACCTTGTGTGGCTTCTGGACGCCGAGTACCTTTCAACCTCCGAGGTCGTGGCACGACCACTTTGGCACCTCTGAGGGTTAGGTCTCAAAAACGTGTTGGACATGGCATCTCCTTCTCGATCTCACAGGCTCAGCTTGGCCAAAGACTCTTTGAGCGGCAGTACCTTTCTCGACGACCACCTCGAATACAAATCGCGCCAAACGGGACCCTCTGCGAGTATCGATGGGGTTCTGGAGCAACCGACTCGAGTTCCTCGGAGCGCAGTTTCGAATCTTTCTCTCTCGAGCGCGTCGAGAAGATCCATCAGTGCCATTCCTCCCTCCCCGATAATTGCCCAAGAGAGTGGAACTGTGTACACAATCTCCCATACCAATTGCGTTCCTGAGGCTGGCGATCCAGCAAGACTTGTCGCGACCATCTTCTACAACTCGAGCGCGCCACGACATCCCCATATCCACCCAGATCAATCTCCTCCTGCCAGACCTACGGATCCGATACCGGTTCCAGAGATCGCGGAGGGCTCTGCTCCGACCACAAGCATTTCAGAGTATCCCCTCGAGCCTCCACCGCCCGAACCTGAACCTCTTGACCATCTATACGGTGCCTACATTTCTCAATTATGCTTGACGCATTTTCTCTCTACGCTTGACAGCCTCCTAGTGCACAATGCGCCGGAGGAGAGGCAGTTGACTTCTTCCCACCGCTGTTTGGCACCGGATCCATTCAAACCAAGAGTCATGGAGGTTACCTTTAGCCCCCCTCCGAATCCTGAGTACTTGCCATCCTCCCTGATCTCCAAGCACGAGTCAATCTACAAGTTTGAAAGAGAATGGAATTGCGAGGTTATTTTGCAGCCCTCCAATGTCTATCGTCGACACAAACGCTTGTGTGTCTTCGACATGGACTCCACCCTCATCCATCAGGAAGTAATCGACGAGATTGCAGCCTTTGTCGGAGTCAAAAAGGAAGTCGCTGCCATCACCGAGCGCGCTATGAACGGAGAACTTGATTTTGCGGCTTCCCTCAAAGCAAGGGTGGCACTGTTGAAGGGCGTGCCAAGTGACGTGTTTGAACGGCTAAAGCCCAAGATTGTGATCACTCCAGGAGCGAAAGAGTTATGCAGATGCTTGAAACGACTCGGTTTCACACTTGCTGTTTTCAGTGGCGGCTTCCAGCCTCTTGCGAATTGGCTGGCCGGAGAACTGGGACTCGACCACGCGTTCGCGAACCACCTTGCCGTGGACCCAGACTCCAGTACACTGACAGGAGAACTCGAATCTTCGTATCCAATCGTTGATTCCCAACACAAGCGAAACCTGTTAATAAGCTTGGCGGCCAATAAGGGAATTCCCCTTGTTCAGACGATGGCAGTTGGGGATGGAGCAAATGATATTCCAATGCTCAAGACGGCTGGCCTTGGTGTTGCGTGGAAAGCCAAATCCAAGGTCCAGATGGAAGCACCTGCACGATTGAACATTGGCGAAAGTATGCTGGACTTGGCCTACCTGTTAGGCTTGTCAAAGGAAGAAATCGATCAGCTGTTGCAGGACTAGATGGTGGGATCATGGAGTGCTAGCGACGCGAACCAACGATGGATAGACAGGGTTGAAGACTACACTGGATCGGCGAGCGCTTCAGCGAGCATTTATGCGGTGGGTGCTATCATCTGTTTTTGAAGGCGGTGCATGGCGAGAGAAGAAAGATGCTCTGGGAGAAGAGCCCCAGCTTCGGAGGAATGTATCTGCCGCTCGCACGATGCGGCTACGAGAACACGAGATACGAGCATGCTCTTTTACATAGTACAATAAAGCTAGCAGCATACCCTTGAGATCCTGAAGCACTCCTCAATGTCTCTAGATGGACCAGAAAGCCTTGGAGCTGATGTTTCATCCATCTACCTTGCCTACCCAGTGACCCTCCTAGCCTCAACGCTCAGCGGCCAGTGCGCAGTCTTCCTACGAAACAACACAGCTAACACACCCAACACAGTATCATACGTTCCATAAAAGTACAAGAAGAAGGTTGGTTCAGTGATTGTGAATCAAGTCTAACTTGGCCCCATCCATTGTGTCCAGGTATCATTTCGAAGTCAAGAACGGCTCAAACAAAGCAAGTATTTTGTCTCCCACCACTCAGCATATCATACAAGAGCTTCGAGGCGAATAGTAGGACATAGACATTCCCGTGGCTGTACCTAGCCAAGATGACCTGCCTCATTTGACGCCCTCTGTTCTTTCCAAACACTGTTGGCCCATGCTGAGCCAATGACATTTTCCAACGCATTGATTTCGTGCCTCAGATAGCGCCTGCTAGAAATGCGTGTCCATCTTCAAATAGTATTGCGATACCACCTACGACGTCGCTCCTTTGCAAGCCATGGTAGGTGTGGACTGCTTCCATGCTTGCTTCCCCTTATTTCCCATTCATCTCGATCATGAACCTTCCTGGCCCCCTACGACCTGTCCATCTCCCTCGGTGATTGTGAATTTGTCGAAATCCGCCGTGAGCACTAAGCTTCCCATTCCAACGTCCACCTTTTCAGACGTAGCGTTACCTTTTGCCTGTTGAGCGAAGAACGAGTCTATGCGCTGTTGGGCATTGACGGCCACAGTCATGGCTTGAGATTCTTGGAGGACGAAGAGAACGACGACTTTCGCAAAGTCGAGCTCTTCGCTGCTAACGGCTGACGATGAAGGTCCAGAGGCGCCACTAGTCGTGGTTGTTGGGGATTGTGTTGGCGTCGTGGTGGCGGAGCCTGCGTCCGTCGTTGCAGTCACGCTTGTAACAGTCGAGGCACCAGTCACCACAGCTTCTGTTGGACTGACAGGGCCTATGGTTGGCGAGCTGGCTTGGAAGACAATCCCATTCGAGGTTGAAGTTCCTGCGACGCCACCGTCTTGTCTCCTCTCGAGGGACGGTTCCGAGCAGTCTGCTTCTGCACGTGCAGTCATTTGAGGTAGATGAGGTTTGTTGATCACAGGTCGGCTTGGCTCAAAGCCAGGTAACATGATGAATCGTCTCGTCCTTCTCGACCCAAAGTTCGAGACGCTTGAGTTGAAGTCCACTAAGGAATTTTCACCTGTGCACGACAGATTGTTGGACGAAAATAGCGACAATATCGTCGAGACATTGAGAGCGATGTCGAACCGCGTCTGTGCATCCGAAAAGGATGGGAGGATTGATAGACCCATCGTTGCATTTTTATACTCGTTGTTGCCATCATTCAACGTAATGGTCATACAATCAGCCGTGCTTCCAGGCGTTTCACACTGGTTTCCGGTAAAGCCGTTGGAGCAGACACAGACGCAAGCGTCGTTACTCACTATGCTTGTTCCTCCATTTCGACAAGGATGGCTGGCAGCGCAGTTGGTGAGGTCGGTAGATTTGTGTTGCTTTGGTACAAGAATTAGGAATATGGGTATTAATACAGCGGCGGCAATGAGAACAATGATGACGACAAGGACGATAATAAAGACAGGCAACGAAAGGCCGCAGCATTTCCGCCGTTGTTTTCTGGGATGGCTTTTGGACAGATCTGTGGTTGACGCGTAGCCATCGCCCTTTTCACCGAGCGGCCAGGCAGTGTCTCTTTTTGTCGGAGTACCACCCATAGCTGGAGCAGGAAAAGCTGACAGCATGTCTGACATGGTGGAATGGCGATTGTTAACCCCCATCTTTTCACCACTGCCCCACATGTCCAACATGCCTAGGCGACTTGCTGTCTTGCCTCTGTCGAGATTGGCGGCAAGCTTCGTTGCTCGTCTGATCAAGTCTGCCAGACTGGTTGTGCTGCCACGGCTTTCGGCTTCCCTGACCGCGTCCATGTCCAATCTAGGCGGCCGTCGACTGGCGGGGATCTTATCACTCATTGCAGGCTGCTCGAGGCCCAAGCCAAGCAGGTTGTTCGTGGATCTATGAGAATGTCCGGAGGCCGGTGTCTGGGCAAGGATCATTCCGGAGGCAATTGTGTTCGGAGATTTTGGAGTCTGTAGATATTCTCTATCCGCCGAGGGAGAGGACGGAGGAGACGTGTCAAATGGCATCCTCACAGGAGTGTAACTTCGCGAGACAGGGGTACCAGAACGAGACCCAATGAATTGGCTACCCATACCAGCAGCCACTGCCGCACTGAGGGCTTCCATAGTTGCCTTCTTGTTGACGTGAGTGGGAGGAGCCGGGAATTCCTCCGGAATATTCTGCTCGATGTGGCTGTCTCGATTTCTGATAGTAGTAAGGGCAGGCTTTGCTCGTTTTCCAAGGCTTGCTTGCCGCACAATTTGTGGCATTGGATCGGCCGAGTCCGGTCGGTCTGACTCCAGATCAAAGTCATCTTGATCAAATCGATCTTCAGGTCCCAAAGCTTCGCTTTCAGCATATACAGAACCTGAATACCGCTTAGACGTTGGGGTTGGGAAGCCTCTTGATCTTGATCCGGGAGTCGTTCCGGGAGTAGCATTTTCATCCGCTACTGATGACATGTAGGATTGATGCATATTGTACTTGCGACCTGGCGACTGGGATGGGTCTTGTCTGCTCCTTCCTGAGGAGGATGGGGGTATGGGTGGGGCGACCGGAAATCTGAAATTTTGGATCAACATCCCGTTCCCTGTTGGCCTCTGCTGCTGTTGGCGAGGACTGTCAAATCTCACTGGAGGAGGAGCAACGCCAACTCCGGCAGGAACTTGGCGGGCGCTCAGCTTGACATTTGGGGGTACTCTCACTGACGGATGTGGAGGGAACTGTTGGTATTGTGAAGGTTGAGCATAGTTAGGTTTGGAGTAGTGAAAGCGGGTTTCATGACCGGGTTGCGACGGTTGAGGCTGTTGAGGATCCATGGCAGCTCTTGCTGTTTGTTCGAGGCTCCGATGGTGATTTGAATGTGTTCAAGCTTGTATTGGACTCCTCTGCTGCGTTTCAGCAGGACTCGGAGTTAAACCAGCTTTAGATGTGTGTAGGCATGTTCCTGACATGCATGTGGAGAGACCAGAGAAGTTGATGGCAACGCTGCAAGCAACCAATCTATTGAAAATCACTTTGTTCCGGAGGATAGAAGTCCTGAAGACTTTCGTCAATGTCAGCATGTCCGACAACGGCTCGCATTTCCACTGGTTGTCTGAGAAGCCTCTTGCTACATGGAAAGCCTCTCTCGAACGCCACGAGAAATGTCTTTGGTACAGGTAGACTACGTACCTAGTGTTGTGGTCTCTGCCTCTGTCCAACCGCGCTTCTGCGTTCCTGCGCTCTCTTCCTTCAGAAATCGTAGGATGTGCGGGGTTCAATGGGTGGTATGAGCGCCAGAACTCGCTGGCTTTGTCTAAGGATTGACTGGGAAGAGCCGCAATCCGGGGCCACAGACGTCGTAAAACTGGTTGCAAGGTGGATGTCGGGGTCAATCAAAAGCACAAAGAAGTTGCAGGCACCGGTCCGCGAAGTGTCGAACGAAGAAAAATCGGGTGCGGTAGAACGAGCGAAGACGTGAATGAGCGTGTAGGGGTTGTGTAAAGGAGCGACCTGGGTGGATTGCACTGCAATGGAAAAATCGCAGTCTGGGTATCTAAAGAGAAGAGTCGAGCGACATGCACCGAATCCCGCTTCACAAGCCCAAGAAGGTCGAGAGAGGACAAAGACGAGATTGAGAAGGAGTGGAAAGCACGACCACAGGACGGCGAGCGAATGAACGGAAACGAACGTGTGGGAAGAAGGTGATACAACAAGTGAGAGAGAAGGCGTGTCAGGAGGTTTGATGCCGGTGCCAGAAGCGCAGGCAATGCATGCGATGCAGGCTGATGGCAGGCGGGACCTGGTACCTGGCTAACGGGCAGCGAATGGGACGAATCCTCGGTATCTCGCAGCCGGGCGAGGGGCCACCAGGGCTTGCAGTGGGTTTGGCGTGGGGCCTGCAGAGCCCGGGGCTATCCTCGATGGGGGCCTAGCTTGGCCAGGCACAGGCCCCTCATTGGCCTTCCGGGCGTGCTTAAACACGTTCGCCTGCAGACTCTTTAGGCCGTTGTCGCCCGTTTCTCCACCGTCAAAACTTAGCTAGACAGGGACCAGGGCGCAGTTCTGAAACACCAGCCTGCCGTGCCTGCGCCGTACCTCCTCATCACACAGTCGCAGGACTCGTCAGTAGCCCATGGAAGCAATCTCAGAATCCCTGGTGTGATCCCAGATTGCACAGCGACGAATCATGCAATGCATCTACACATCCATTCTCTGACAGGACGTCCAACTCTTCTGTGACAATTCGGATGCTCGCAAGGCTGTCCCCGAGCACTGACCTTGGCTGGCCGCTGTGGGGGGCAGGTAGAGGACGGCCTCCGAAGGGCCTGGTCGACGGGCAGGTCTCGATGGATGGTAAAGGGGTCGTGGAGGTGGCTTTAAATCGACGGCAGAATGGTGGCTATCATTGAGGTCTTGGTGATTGTATGTACGTACGAGGCCATTGTGCCCTCAACAGTGAACACCGGGTGCTCCGTCCAGTGCGACATCCCGAGCCTCAAGTCTGAACAAGCCTCGAGTTGGCGAGTCGGAGGCGTGGTCCATCGACTTGGCTCGTTGTTAGTGTCGGTGCGTGGCCCATGTCGGTGCATCGGTGCATCGGTGCATCGTGGTTTGAGACACGAGGATTGGCAGAGCCCACGTCTCCATGAGGCTGCAATCCCGTAATTAATATCCGCAAAGCCCACGGTGTCCGTGCCCGTGCCCTGTTATTTTCGACACTTTCCATCTAGAGTACGAGGAGTCGTAATAATACGGAGTATTCCATCCCATGTTCTCCGTAGGTTAGAGATTCTTCCTCTAAAATGGACCTGACTCCATTCTGGCGCCATCGCCGCCTCCACCAAACACCACTTGATCAAGATCAACTCAATCTCCATGGCGATGATCTCATATCCCACCCTTGCTGCTGTACAAGGATCTATCCTGAGCAGTTCATCTTACTCTTGTTATAGGCGGATCGATGCCTGGTGGCTGCTTCTTCTTCACCACGTTAACGTCAAGCACCCTCATATTGCAGAGAGAGACAGGTGTGCGGGCATCTACTAGGTACAGAAGGCAACCCGGCCAGGCTGCCCTCTTCACGACTTGGATGCAGTCAGTGACCCCATGTAGAGGTATCCAAGCAACACCGCAACACCTTGAGCCGGGTAATTAATGATTGTTCTCGTACAACAACAAGATGCGGAAGACTGCTTCAAGCTCGGCTATTGAGGCTAACCACAGCTTCCACTGGCCACCATACCTGAGGATATGGTCACAGCATAGCTGTCGTGTGTTGCCGCTTCGTGCTACAATCACCGCTGCTCAACTAGACAGACTCAGGATTTGGATCGATTGCAATGTGTCTACGAAGCCGCAAATGACCCCGGTTGTCGTTGGTGCTGTTCTCCAGACAGAATCTCAGCTTTTCCAACATCATCGACACACCTTTCACTTTCTCCATCATGTCTCCTGCAACTGCGCTTCCCGTCAATCAAGCATGTCGGTTGCCAACGACATGGCGGCTGCCAGCTTTTCAGCATTGGGCCTTCCCTTGCAACCTGTGTCATGGCACACGACCTGTCATTATCTTCATGTGCCTTGCCCGTGAGCCTCATTCCTACCTCTTCCCTTCTTCTCTGTCTGCCTTTGGCTGCAGATGTCCGCTCCTTGTCTTTGGGTACTTCTTTTGAGGTCGAATCGAGTTTGAGTGATACTGCATCTCTTTTCCTGTGAACACTTTCTCCGGTATGGATCATTCACCTGGTTCTCTGCCCTCCAGCGACTCTTCCAGCAAGTCAACACATTCTGGTTATCCTCCAGGGACACCGAAGCGTGGGTAACATTCATGTTTGTGCGGTCGCGTTCGCAACCAAATCCTGTACCCGAGAATGTACTAACCAGGATGCGCCTCTGCAGCACCGATTGATCCCCCTCGGCGGCGGTCCTCCTTATTCTTTTCCAAAGTCTTACACCCTTCCCTCTCCTCGAGAACCCCGGAAGGCAATAACACAGGCCGCAGCGAACATCAAAAGCCCCAACCAGACACCACTTTGCCGAACACGGGCCGGAAAAGAATCCATCCGGGCTTAACGAGATCGATCGTCATGCCTGGTCACGTTGCACAAATGCAAAAGCTCTTTCAAAGCGCCAAAGCGTCGTTCCGCTTTGATGTCCGGTTCGCTGCCTCTCCAGTTGGCTCGATCGATTCCAGACTCCCCCCAAGTCCCGAAACCGGGGACGCCTGCACTGCCAATTCTGACCTTTTGGGGAACTCTGAGAAAGAAGCATCGGAAACACCATCCAAGGACTGGAGGTACTCCAGAGCTCCAAGGGCAATCGCCGAATTTGAAACGGACGTAAGAGAACCTTTTCCAGAGGGGTCCCCGCAACTTCCAGACTTGCTCTCAGTCGAGATGACCAATTGCAAAACCTTGGCTATCGAGCCACCCAGCAGCGGCTTCACCTCGCCTGTTAACGAAGGAGGCTTCGCGCGACACCCAGAGGACACACCCAACCTGTCCTCATCTCCGGCAAAGAGAGTGTCGACGAGCTCAAGCAAAAAATCAGATCTCCCATCCCCGGCAGGACGTCTGTCCACCACTGATCTGGAGCGGCCATTAACCGAGCTCCGCGTGAGTGCTGACTACGATATGGATATCGATTCTGCAGAAGAGTCGCCCATTGTCAGTCACCTCCTACGAAAGTCGGTAGAAGTAGAGGAACAGTATGGGGATTCGTCTTCCAGCACAGGGGAGGGATTCGTCCTGTCTCCTACTGTGAAAGCAGCCGCCGACTCCGCGAAGCTGAAACGTGGAATGTTCAGCGACCTCTTTCCCAAGCCTCCGACGCACAAAGGCAGTGATGGCACTGCATCTTCTTCCAGCAAATCACAGCATGCTGATATAAAACCTTGTCCAGATCCTCTTTTGCACGCACGTGGACCGGCGGTGTTATGCCCTGATCCCGCTGCTCATTTCAGATCCGCGACACCCAATGTTCTAGGACATCAAGGTATCAATCCAAGTTCGAATGTCCAGGCGAGCCACGGACGACAGCACGGAGTTCTTCCGGGATTTGGGTACCCGCCCCTCCCTTTCAACCGCGCCACAGCGACAGGCAGTCCAATGCCGTTGATGAGAGCCAGATCACCAGCAAGGTCCCCCGGAGAGATGGGTCACAAGGCATGGTATCCTCCGACGGAATCTTCGCAATCTCGATCTCAACCCCCTCACCATGAGCACCTGAACCGGGCGTATCTTGCCACAGCCTCGGAGCATTTCCAGCCCGGGTGGTATTATGCTAAGGAGAGCCCTCACCCATCACCAAGGCCCGGTCCACCAATGTACTCTTTCTCGACAGCAGCTGCCAAAGTCGTTGGACAAGACCCCGCTCCTGATTCCAGAATTCGAGACTCGTATAGGACGGACACTCTCACACCTCTGGCGAAGCCACCCAGTCGGTTCAGAAAGAATGGCATCATTGCTCTTGCTAGTGCTCGTGGAGCCGGTAAGCACTATGGTGGTCCTTCGTATCTGTCAAGGCCTCCTCAGCGCCGCATGCAGCCAAGGAGGTCACGTTTGCCAGACAATCTGCAGTTCAGAAGTAGTCCACCAAGATCCTCGGTAGATTCCGCGCAACGTTCACAACCGAAAAAGAGGTCGAGAGAGGCAGAAACACTCACAAATGAGATCCATGAAGATGAACAAGTAGCAACGGACTACTCCATTGACCCAAAATTGAAACTGGAAGAAGGAGAAGAAGTTATTGAGGTTGACGAAGAGACTCAGGCAGCTGTGCGCATGAGCCTTTTCGGTGCGCCGGCTCCAAGACCCAGTTGTGACACTGCAAGAGGCATAAAGGAGCTGAGCCCCAACGTCAGAGTCTGGCGAAAAGGGGCAGGACCTTCTGTGAGCAGGAAGAAACGGCGGCCCAGTTATTGGGACGCAGATTTAGAGGAGGTAATGCGGAGTCCAGCAGCGAGGCATGTGGTTTCATCGCCGATCAAAAAGGACGACGTGAGATCTGAGCGAGCTGAGGTTGAGTTTCACGACAATGGCGCCGACAAGGAGAACCAGATGCTGCTGACTGAAGAACTCGAAGACGTGTCGAGAGCGGTAGAGGTGCCGACTGTTTTGCAAGAGGACGTCTCGATGGAAAACCAGGAATTGGGTAGTGTTATCCCTCACTACTGATATGGTAAAGTTGCGAATAGCGCTGGTTGATGGTTGCTCGGGCCAGATATTGGGATCAAATTGGTATCCTAGTCCGTAGTGCTATCATTGCAATGTACCGGCATCCAGCCCTACAATCTTTGCTCGTTCCTGATTTCTCGCTGAGACTAGGAGCGCGACGAGCTCTGTGGAAATCAAGACCGATCTTTGGCACCTCGTCCTTGGCCAGCGTGGTGCCAAAGTGCTTAGAGACGGTTTTTTTTGGCTTCATACCACTGGCGTAGGAAGGTGTGATCAACCAAGTTTTAAAACTCTGGATCGCGGCTCAGATCTCAGGTTTGACGTGGGAGGAGAAGTGGACAGTAATGAAGGCGATTTCTTCCCCTGTGAGGTATGGACCTGAAGAGACGATGCTGCGGCGCGCGACAGAAGACTCCCCGAACATGGATCACCCGCTGTCTTGGACGCTGTTGTTTCGCTTTCAATGTTGCCATCATCCTTGCTTTGAAGCTCATCGACATTTGGACTTTCGTAGTCCCCGACAATCCCCAACTGTCTTCGGGCAGCCCATATCTCTTCTTCCAGACCCCGCATTGCAGATACGACGTTCACAATTTCAGGGATGATGGAGGATACAGCCGTAGCGAAGTAGGTTTGACACGTTCGTAGGGTGGGAGGGATGAGGATGCCGTACCATTTGAGGGGGTCCTGGGATAGGTTCGACGCCGACGATGGGGAGACTGAGAAGGTGTAGTCAGTAGTGTCTGACTGCAGTACATCCCTTTCTGTATCATCTTTGAGCGTTTCCGTATCTTCCCTGTCCTGGTGCAATATTGCCTGTTCCACTGGAGTCTTGTCTTTCTTCATCTTACGCCCGCTCTTCTGCGCGGCATCTCCTGCCACTTCCTCTGGTTCTTCCTCCACGCAGCTCTTCCCTAGCACTCCTTTTTCCGCTTCTCGGATCTTGACTACTTTCCCAGCTTTCATCCTCTCATCAAAGCCTTCTTCGCCATACCTCCTCCCGACGCCCAGGGTAGAATTCGCATTCCGATTCGCCTGCGCCAGTGCGAAGAATCCTCCCGAGAGGTCCTTGGAGAGTTGGGCCCGAAGATTGGTGTACGTGTCCAGAATGGTCAGATAGGATACAAGAAGCGCGTCTAGACGTTCTGAAAGGCGTTCCTTGGGAGATCCTTCGCCTGTGGATTGGTGTTGTCGTTCAGCAGCCGTCTGAAGATCTAGCGGCTCTGCTTCGACAAGCTCGCGTTGACTGCTAGAGCTGCTGTCAGGCGAGCTCGGACGTGAAGACGGTGGAGAAGGTAGGTGCGACGCCATTTTTTTTCAATCTTGTAGCGATTGTATTGGAACCGGCCTGTCTATTGACAACGAGGTGGTTTGTTACTCGCTGGAATGTAGTGATCTGGAGTTGCAGCCTCGCACAACGAGATCTCGGTCGATTCGGAGATCCTGGGCCGAGCATTGACGCAATCTGCGCGGGTCGCGCAGGTTATGGATTTAAGCAAAGTTGTGAGAATATCCCATGAGTCTACCTTCTCGATCCATAGCTGTCTCTGTGTAATTACTTGTATTCCCGGAATCTCTACAGCACCTCTTGCAGACCTCGTTTGCACTGCAAAAGCCCTTCTGACAGCTGTTGCAAGAAGGAATTTCGCCGCAGCTTGAGCAACGCCGCCAAAATTTCTGACCTGCTCTGAGCCATCGTATTCTCCTCCTTCCGCGCCACGCTCTTCAGATCCCCAAGGAGCAGTTTACTGAGCCGGCCTCGGTCGAGCATTTCCGCAATTCTGCACGCGCCTGGCCCATAGCTCCTCATCAAGCATCCTCGAGCACCCCAACTCCGATAGCATACATGGCCTCCTCCGCCCTGGCCACCGCGGCCGAGACCTCAGGGTTCAGTGTGCGGTCACTGTACCGGTCGCTATTACGTGAGGGAAACAAGTTTGCAAACTACAACTTCAGAATGTACGCGAGGAGAAGGACGAGGGATGCGTTCCACGAACATCAGCACGAGAAGGATCCGCGACGGATACAAGAGTTGGTGCAGAAAGGGTTGAAGGAGTTGCAGATGATGAAGGTGAGTTGTGTTCGCTTCTCTTTTTTTTTCCCAGCCGAAGGATATTCCTCCTTGAGAGATTTTCGAGGGGTTGGAGGCAATTCCCTTTGTGAATTTTGAGTGTGGAATATGTCTACGGAAATCCTGGTTCGCAGTCCGGGAACGAATCCTGGCAAATCTGTGATTCACAGAGAGAGAAAAAAGACTGACTTTATCCAACAGAGGCAGACGGTAATATCACAATTCTACCAGCTGGACCGGCTCGTGGTAGAAGGCGGCAAGACGGTATGTACTCCCTGCTTGGTTATCCCCCCAGCCTCTTTCTAACTTTTGAATTCAGGGACAAGAAACTGGAGATCATGGTGGGATTGTTCGACAGAAAGACACGGGGTATGTGTCCTTGTCTGCTCAACCCTCTGTCTTTCGATGATGCTGACCTTGTGCAGATGGGACTGATATTCGCCTGATCCCTGTCTCTTTCTGGTGGTTTCAATTGTGTGCTTTAGAGGGACGGATCTCCTCTGCCAGGGATTGATCGTCCCGTGTGATACCAATGAATATACCAATCTCTCCCCCCATGAAGTATTTCCCTTTTCGGCTTGGTCTTCAGAGTCCTGCTTGCCATCTTGTTGTAGAGACCATGCTCCCACGTCTCCACCGCTGCTTTCCCTCCCCTTGATCCGTGCTGGCTTCCCCTGCTCGCTCCACCTTCCCCAGATCCTCCATGGTGTCGGTGTATAGTTCTTCCGTGCTCGTAGCTTCGGCCGCTCCCGCCGCTAGTCATCTTAACAGCTTCCTAGCGTGTCTGTGAGGCCCTTGGCAATGTCCTCATTGATAAACATCTTCATGCATCTCTCAGCCTTCCTCCTGAACTCTTCCAACAACCATATCTCTTTGAGAGGTGAGTCTTTTCCCACGCAATTTCACTTGCGCACGCTTCCACATCATCGCACATGCTCACCTGAGAATAGAGACAAGGTCGCCGTCCGTCCGAGTGTTCAAGGTTAAAAAAAAAAGAAGTCTGCAACAGAATGGCGCCGGTAAGTTGTTGTTTTCTTTGGTTCCGTTGTGAGATGAAAGCAAGACGCACACTGGCACGAATGTGCCACATGACTTTTACTGCCGGACCCCCACAAGTCACTATCGCTTCCTGTTTGTTGTCCCTTTTATCTTTGTCTCTCCACCACCGTCTTCTCCATCCACCTCGCCATCGCCCACCATGACGTCCACCACTGTTTCATGGTGGAAGTGTGCCGTGTGCGGCAACCCCTACCGAGACAAGAAGACTCTGTACAGACACTACAGAGATCAGCACGAGGAGCTCGCGAACGGAGTATCCAGCGACCCCAAATGGGCGGTGGCCATCGAGGCCCCCATAGTGTCTGTACAGGGTCCTCCTGTCGCGGGACGGGTTGCTGCACCGGCTGCCGTTGTCCCTGTCGCTGCTCCTGCCGCTGCCCCTGCCCCTGCCGCAGCTTCTTCCGTGGTGTCAAGAACACCTTTTGTTGTACTGCCCTCCCCTCTTCCCCTCGACCAGTGCTCGAAGAAAACCCAGTGGCTAACCACCCACCACAGCAGGTCCGGAACCCCCGGCCGAGGCCCGTCAAGTCAATCAACGACTCCGACGCGCTCGACGGCCTCCCAGTGACAAAATGGGAGCAGACCCGGGTCACGATCAACCAGGACGTGGCCACCGACCAAGCGGATGGAAACATCCAGACAACCGAGCAGGAGGACAGCGCGTTTCCCTGGCCTCCGCACCCTCTACCGACCTTCGCCCCACAAATTCCACAATGGAATCAGGTAAGCCTCACTCTGACCTTTGTGAAATTTGACTCTCGCTAATCCAATTATCCTGCTAAGGGCATGCTTGGGATTACAAGAATGGGCAATACCAACGCCAAACTATCAATTTGGGACCACAAAACCCAAGAGTGGATCCCTGGCATCGAATTGGAGCGACGTGAGGCTGCGAGAAAAGCTCAACTAGAGAAAGCCAAACACAGCTCAGCTACCAATGTCGACGCATCGAACGTTGATGACGAAGAAGACAAGAATGACGAAGACAATGACGATCTCATGGACGTCGAAGGTCTAGCACCGGATCCAAAACGCCGCAAAGCAACATCTGGCTCCAACCAACGAACTTTTGAAATCAAGAAATGGGTCCAGGTGCCGGCTGCTTTGGCCGAGAAGATACCAGAACCAAAATACCTTGCAGACCGCCGACCCGGAATGCCGAGTCTCTACAAAGGCGCATACCGACCCAACAGCGCAGTCGAAACATACGGAGACATCGTTGCTGCTGCCATGAGTGGTGGAGCAACAGGCTACGATCTTAGTGCTGTTGGTGGACTCGAAGCTGCAAGAGCACTTCTTGTTCCCGGATCTGGAAGCGCTGCTCTGAACACACAACCAGATGGCTCATCTACGCCAGTCCGAAAGAACATGCCTCCGAGACGCAAGAAGAAGAAGCTTGGTGGACCTGGGAGGAAGCCTAAGAATCCGAATCCCGAATCTGCTACTGCTACTTCTGCTGCCGGTAACGCAGCGTTGGAGAACGTCGCTGCCGAAGACACCGCCGCAGCAAGCACTGTCGAGGGAGACGTGACCATGAGAAACACACCCGAAACAGCTATCGAAGGCGCAGACAATACAGACGGAACGCCCGCTATCCAAAGCGAGGCAAATGTGCAGGGCGCAGACGCAGAAGGCTCTGGACTAGAGAGCGAAGGAGAAGGAAGTGAGGAAGGAGAGATCGCGAGTGCCATCGACCCTGACCTTGCTGAAGATACCCCTGTCATCGATCCCACTCTCACAGACAACACCTCTTTCATCGACCCCGCCCTCACTGATAACACCATGGCCATGCAAATCACTCCCAGTCCAGTGGAGGATACTGCCGAGCCTGAAGAAGACGGTGCTCCTGAAGAAGACAAGATGGAAGACACCGAAGAGAAAGTGGTTGCAGCAGCAAATCCTGCTGACAGCCCTGCGAAAACCAAACACGAGGCCGACGCGGATGCAGATGCTGATGCCGACGCCATCTCTACCCCTGTCATTGAACAGGAGGACAAGAAAGAACAAGAAGGTGGAGGTGATGATGAAATGGACGTGCTCGGTGCAGTTGAAGCTGCAATGAACAAGGAGGCTGGCGAGGAGGACGCCTAAAGGTGGCTCAAACACGAAACTTCCACAAAAACAGGGTGGCTCAAACACGGTGCTGTCACGAGTAACACAGGAAAGCTTGAAGAAAAGGCTGAAACGCACGAGAACAGGAAATAGCTTGAAGGAGATCCCGCAACAAGCGAGACTAGGACAGCCTGAACATAATGCTGCCAATCAGAGAGACACCAGAGAGTGCAACTCTCATTCAATCAATATTGATTTTTACGGAAACATTGATGGGTCCAGCTGCCCTTTCCTTTCCGAACTCCCGTTTGTGATCAGCATGGCCGACTTTCACTATGTGCCTATAGTCTGCCTCGTTGCATTCATCGTCTGTCCACCCCCCTCCCTCGCACCCACTTTCTCATTTCATGTGACAGTGGTTGGTTTACTCAAAAGGATTAGTCCGAGTTCCCCAGTATGTAAGGAACATGCTCAAGCCGACAGTCTCGAAGAGGCGGGTCAAAACGCCGACGGCGACGGTGTCCAGAGGGCGGTTCTCAACGACGACGGCGGAAACGAGCTGTGGGAAGTTTGTGTTAGCCCGTGGGCCCCGAGTTTTGAGTGGGGTGGACATACCGAAGGGCTGTAAGAAGCCATGAAGATCAGACCACCGAGATATGCAGCTCCTTTGTATGACAGAGTACCGGTGGCATTGATGAGGGCAGCGACACCATAGGTCTGAACGGCGGATCCAACAATAGACGAACCCCAGCTAGCTGCGGCGGTGGCGGTCTCCTTAGACTTGAAGAACTCTTCCTTGCTGTCGGCAGCCTTAGCGCGGTGGTAGGTGTCACCGAATAGAGGGGCCAACACGGCGGCGGAGGCGGCTTGGTTGAAGACAATGCCCAGGGCAATTGCGGAGGGCTTAACGGGTGGGAGATCTGAGGAAGAGGCGGTAAGTTAGCAGGGTGCCATTGAATTCATTGCACATGGATAACGACGTCTGCCTTCAAGCCCTTGGTGGTGACGTAGAGCCCATTCCAGTGAGGGACGGAGAGGACGAGAACGTACAGTGCAGGGTTGCCATTGTGATGTTGATTGTTTGTCTGCGGGGACTGAGGATGCGTGGTCTGAGTGTTGGGGTGGTGAAGAAGATCAGAGTCGATGGGTGGGCTTTTGGCAGGCTTGATGGGAGGAAGAAGAGGAATGGGATGAAGTTGAGCTTGAGTCAAGCTTATATTGAAGAGCCGGTGACGTGCAGGGAGGACCAAGTGACTTGGAGACTCTGCAACCGTGGCGCCAGAGCGACCCGGAAACCAAAAGCTTCAGCTATGGCGCAAACAATGACGACACGCCGGGGAAAGAAGTGGTAATAACCAGCGGAGACACGAATATTACAGGGCGATCTGGGTGCTGGTCAGCCACAACATGGGGGGTCAATACTTTGTAATGACGCTCACGGTGGCTTGATGGCTCAATGATGTCAGTGCCGAGGATCAAGACGGAGCACCTGACGTGCACCTTGGGGACCTGGGATTCTTCCACCTTCCAATCATCGAGTCGGCCCTCGGGACCTGGTTCCAGGGGCTTTTCATGTGCTCGAACAGCTCAATTCGGGCTGCTGAATACTGCAAGCGGGCGAACAACCTTCTTACAACCTGACAAGAAATGCTTCCAAGGTAGGAACAGCTGCGGCTAAGCATGCTACCCCGGATTATCTGTCCGCTAAGCTACCATCCAATCATTTCCGGTGCCTGATATCGGGGCTATCAGCAGCCTTGCAGAAGAGCCCTCCTCGAAAAGTTTCCTGCTACGAGGGGTCGGCCATCTGCGACCGCCGCTCCTGTTCTGCCGAGACTGATCAGTCCCCATTAACGACCAAAGCATGGACCGAATGTGAGCCTGGTTAATTTTTTTCCACCCTTGTCACCGACATTCTCAGGCCGATGGCGAACCGATAATGAAAAAACCGCTGTAACGCGATAAAGCCGCTTTGATTTACAGTACAGTCCGACGCACCTAAGACAAAATGCCTGCCTCGCGCTCTCCCTCGCCAGAGAACAACGTCTTTGCCATCTCCACCACCCTCGTCCCCGAGCGCGATAATAAAAAACCCGCAACCACAAGCCTTACCTTCGACAATCTCCTCCCCTCCCACAGGCCCCTCGTCCTCCACGAGGATCTTCAAGAAGGATGTGGCGGCCAACTCTGGCCCGCCGGCATGGTCCTGACAAGATACATGCTCAAATACCACCGCGCCGGCTCCCTGCGAGGGAAGTCTGTTGTGGAGATCGGCGCCGGCGGTGGGCTGGTGGGACTGGCCGTTGCGCTTGGGTGCGAACTCGACGATGAGCAAAAGATTTACATTACGGATCAAATACCCATGTTTGCACTGATGAGGAAGAATATCGCGCTCAACAACCTTGAAGAGAAGGTCGTTGCGGAGGTGTATGACTGGGGCACTCCGCCGCCTCCGGCCATTCTGACCCCTGGTGCCCAACATCCAGATATCGTCCTGGCAGCGGACTGTGTTTACTTTGAACCTGCCTTCCCTCTTTTACTCCGGACACTCGGTGACCTTATTGGCCCCGAAACGACCTGCTTCTTCTGCTTTAAGAAGAGACGGAAAGCGGATATGCGATTCATACGTGACATGATGAGAAATTTCCATGCTGAGTATATCGAGTATGACGGAAAGGAGGCAGACCAGAAAGAAGGAATCTTTCTGTATGCTGTAAGGCGAAAGAGTAAAGATCACAAGCAATGATCAAAACATTTGCTGTCGGTTTTCTGGATCAATAAAATTACAGTTCTTGCTAGGATGTGGTATCTCAAATCTCGTCATACTCATACATTTGAAGCTGTCCGACGCTGAATCACCATGAAGCCCCGCGTGGCAGTATGCTTCCATCTGTCCCAGGTCGCGTGGTGCCCGCACTAAAGAACGGGGTTAAGTTTGTCAACCTCTCTCTGCTCCTCCAAACGGACAGGAAGGATTCAGACCAGATCCTGCCCAGCAGTGTAGGCTTGAATGGGGGCCTCTGCCTCTCCTGCTGCCCTTGCTGATCAGGGTCATCAGTAATATCGATGGGCTCCCCTCCCATCTGTCCCATGCATTCGTCTCGTCCCCGCGGCCTTTTGCCCTGGCCTACGCGTCAGAGTTCCTTTCAACTTTAGCATTGCGCCAGAAATTTTGTCGCTGACGCTGGTCTTGCGACGGGGAGTGGTGGTAGCTGTCGCGGGCTTGCGACGCAAGCCGACCCGACGTCTTCGTGTGGGTGTGGCGGTATTGGCTCTGGTCCGCCTTCCCCCCATCAAGCGCTGCTTGAGGGTGGGCTTGGTGCGGACTGCAGGCGCACCGCGACCATTTGCTTCTGGCGGATGGTGGGTGGTCGTTGTGGTGGTGGTCACTGTTGTTCCACCTGGATGGCGCTTGGTTTTTATTCCTAGAACCATTTTGATGTTTGTTTTTGTTTAGTTGGTATTTGTGGTACTTGATATCGCGAGTGTGGTATGTCTGAGATAGTGTGGAGTGGGAGTGGAACAAAAAGGAAATAGAGCCAACATGAACGTTTATCAACACCTCGTGGAATGTGTGATTTACCTGCTTCTTTCCTCAAACGACCAGCGACGTCATCTTGTGAAGGCCATAACTCCGCACGGCAAGGACCATGGGTCTTTTGGGTTTCCGTAAAGAGGTCAAGAGAGATAGATGAAAACAGGTTTGGGTATCGAAGGAGAAGTTCTCGTGGTAGATCATCGCAGTCGGCCAATCACAAACATCGTCAGCAGCCACAGGATCTGCGTGATCAAGGACCCCGATGACGCAGGACAAGAGCGTCTTTGGACCATTGCATCTCGATCTCTGACAACTCCAAGGATGTTGCTGGCAGGCTGGACTATGACCATTGGGCGCCACATTATCATGCCCCTCCTCATGCAAGCAAGCACATCAGGGACAATGTCCCTGTGGCGGTGCTGCCATTTCGCCCGGTGTCCAGGCTATCATTTCCGACGCGCTTTGGGCTGAGGGAGTTATGAGGCCGAAAGACGATGTGGTACTTTTTGTTCGAGATGTCTGCGATATTGCACACAGCGAAGATTGCGGCGAGGTGCGATCAGCACTGCGGGACGATGCGGAGGCGCAAAGGAAAAAGGTGATGGCAGAGAATCAAAACTAGGTATTCAATGCGTGCCGAAGGAGGAAGAGTAGCACAAAGAAGAGGACAGACGGATTGTCCTTCTCCTGAGGAGGAGGACAATAGTCAAAGATGGCCTCGAAATGGACAAGTGGGGAAGGTCGCACTGTTGGTCGCAGTTGCGCCTTCAACTCAACTCACAACCACCCGACCGCAAATTGGTGAAGTGCCTTTCGTTACTCTTTCGTTACAGGTTGACATACGACATGCATTCCGTCCACAGCAAATCTCGCCCCGTGTCTGTGAAATCCTTCTTTCTTCGCTCCCGTGATGCAGCTGCTATTACGCCACTCAATCGCCAGCCAATTCCTACACCAAATGCGATCAAGCCTCGAAGATTTCGTCATTCAGGTGGGCGTGATTCCCCTCGAATCTCAAAGATCAGGGAAAGTGAGAGAAATCTGGATCCAAGCACAACGCTGGCAGACAAGTTTACAGGTAATAAACCTCCATCTAGTTGGTCTATTCTCATCACGTCCAGAAAGTCTCGACCAGTACCGAGAGAATGTGGTGATCGAAAGCAAAACCAAGTTAGATGAGGTCGAGAGAGAATTGATTGGAAGTCTCCAAGAACTCACCGTCGACATTGAAACGCACTTTCGTGGATTGGCAGCTGTCGAAGAGCCTCTGCAAAGACCGTTCGCTGCAGAAGCATTGACGGAGGTCCCGCCCAAAACGGATACCGACCTGAGTTCGAACGACGAAATCCTGCTTAAAGATCGTATCTTGGAGTTTCGTGCGTTGCGGGAAGAGAAAGAGGAAGTCTTGTGCAAATTATGGAATGAGTGGGAAGATATCCAATTCGACCTGATAAAACTTGCTGTGGAGGCCCTCGGTAAGCAGTCGGTCTTGGTCGCTCAGCTTCAAGATGGAGCCATGAAGCCGGGCCAGCAGGAACGACTCGAGAACACCCTCGACTCTGCTCAAAAGATTCATGACGAGGTACATCACGGCCATGCGCAACTAGAGCAAGATATGACGGGCTTCGAAGAGACCATCGGCCAAATCGCGAACAGAACCAAGAAGGCGGCCGCCGACATGCAGCAAGTATGCGCTCTTCCTTCTCTCACGGTCGCCTCCAGGCTAATGGCCAATTACAGCAATATAACGTGGAAAAGAACAAGCTATTCAAGGGCCTCATGCAGTCCATTGAGCAGCTCGCGGCATTGTGAAAGACATCTGGAGCGGAGAGGTCTGACAGTCCCGACCTCACCAGCAGAGAACACAACACGTGGACGGTCATCGGTCCCGTGCTGACACCCAAATGCGCATCGTTATGATATGTCGGTCTCGAGTGAGGTCATAACTGAAACAGCTGACCTCTTTTATGTTGAAGAATCGCTGAAACCGTGTTTGTGCAAATTGCGGTAACAAAGCACGGCCCGCGTTTCGCGCTCGCCTTCTGAGGTGTTTGATATCCGCGAATACCCGCACCAACCTTAGTCGAATGAGGTCAATCCGGATCGCGGAATGCAAGCTGGAATTTTTCGGCGGAGCCTTGTTTTCTCTCAGTTGGGGATCCCTCCCACCAATCTCAATGTCAAGAGGGAGCTTCATCGTGTTGCTGCCTGTGGCCACGTCTCGGGATAAACACCCTGGTGGAAAATTTCTCGTCGTTTGAAAATCTTTCGATTCTACTCCAGCGGCCATGTGATGCGCCGTGTCCACCCCCTGCAGTCGCCCTTCGCGTTCGATATCGGGCCGCCCTGATAAGACCTTGTACTTTCAAAGGCGTACTGCTTTAGCGTGGAACGTGGTAAGTCGCGATCGTCAAAGGATGTGGATTGGCAGACCAACGAAACGGATCTCTGGAGGTGCCATCATGGGGACGCAAGCCTTGTTCTACCAGCAAACCTTGGGAGAATCCACCAAATTCCGATCTCGAGTCTGTTGCATTGCAATTTTCGAGTCGATGTGCCCGCGCCTGCCGAATGCAATATATGAGTCACGGGTCTGCTTCGTTCAGCTCTCTTGATTCTCTCCCTCAATCCCTCTTTACTTCTTCGCAAGCTGCTCGTATTTCTGTTCTGTCTGGGCTCGATACGTTATTTGTTCTTTGAGTCGATCAATCTTAATCTCCGAATCGGTCACCATGCCTCCTGTTGCTGTTTCGCCTGTCTCCCCACCTTCACCCACCCTTGACAATACTTCCAAGTTGACCAAGGCTGGCACAGCCGCGATACTCGAGAAGACTGTCTCCAATGGGCTTCAAGTTGCAGACCTCGACGCTTCCAAACTGACCATTACCCGGAATCTGAATCCCAAGCATGTGCCCGCTCCCAACTCGGCGGAAGTCTGGTCGCAGAACTGCACAACAGACCACATGCTTACCGCTCGCTGGACAGAGAAAGCTGGGTGGGAAGCACCTGAGATCCGACCTTATGGGCCCCTGTCCATCATGCCGACTGCCTCTGTCCTGCATTACGCGACCGAATGCTTTGAAGGAATGAAGGCATACAGAGGTGTGGACGGCAAGGTTCGTTTATTCAGGGCGGACCGCAACGCAAAGCGATTCTTGCAGTCAGCGGCTCGAATTTCGTTGCCCAGCTTCCCGCCCGAGGAGTTTGTCAAGCTATTGAAGAAATTTGTTGGCGTCGAGGCAGCAAAGTGGATTGCTGAGCCAGAATCGTTCATTTACATTCGACCTACGATGATAGCAACGGCACCTGCTCTCGGCGTGCAAAGACCCAAGGAGGCATTGATGTATATTATCATGGTCATGTTCCCGTCTTTGGACGACCCGAGTTGCAAACCCCCGTCAGTCCCTACCCCACTCAACGCTGCTTTCAGCGCTGGTACCCAGCCCGAGTCAAAACATGTAGCAGCCTCAAAAGGTATGCGCCTCCTCGCTTCCCGACATGACATGATCCGAGCCTGGCCGGGCGGGTTTGGAAACGCGAAAGTCGGAGCAAACTATGGACCCTCGCTCGTCGCGCAGGGAGAAGCGCGCGCCAGAGGCTACGATCAGATTCTATGGTTGTTTGGGAATGAGTGCTTCGTTACCGAAGCCGGTGGTTCTAACTTCTTCGTACTGTGGGAGAACAAGCAAACCGGACGGAGGGAGTTGATTACAGCCCCGTTGGGAGACGGGGTCATCCTGGAAGGCGTTACGCGCGCGTCCGTGTTGGAACTTGTCAGGTCTGGCGCGGTCGGTGGCGGTGATGTGGATGTCATCGAGAGGAAGTTCACCATGCATGAACTCATCGATGCCCAGACGGAAGGCCGACTCATCGAGGCGTTTGGAGCGGGAACAGCCTTTTTCATTGCCCCCGTGCAGGATATCCATTTCCGAGGCACAGATCTTGTTCTGCCCCTGGGACAAGAGGGCCAAGACGGTGCAGATGCCGATGGAGCCAGCTTTGCTCTAGCTGTCAAGAAGGCCCTGAAGGACGTCATGTATGGGCGCCGTGAGCATGAGTGGGGCATTGTGGTCGAGGAAGAGAAGGAAGACGCTTACGAATGAGCCCCTCGACCCTTCTGAGTGAGGTTTCTAACGTACGCTGGCATTGGTAACGGACTGGAATTGAGTGGAAGTAAAAAGCCGGGGCAAAAGTTGGCTCCGTGACGATGCATTTATCATGATGGGATCTTCGGGGGGTATATAGCTTTATTTTGTACATATTGTCGCCAATGCATTTGGGAAACGGATATCTATCCCTGAACACAAGCCTGACTTCAATCTTTCTGAACGACTCCGTCTTCAACGTGGGGGTATCGAGCCTTCAAAACTTGTACTTCAAGCCTGACCAGGCTGGGCGGCTAGACCCAGACCTTTCGTTGTTGTCCAGAGGTATTCCATTACGGACGCATCGCTCGATGGTCTCGAGGCTCTCTTACGAGCTCTCTCCCTTCGCATCCTTGGACCTGGCTCCGGTACTTTGCTCCGTCTCTTGCCGCGCCTCTTGTGCTTTGTGGCCTTCGACATCTCCGCCGCTCTTGTCTCCACCGGCTGGCGTCGCCTCGAAATCTTCGTCACCATCTTCCGTCAGGATGACTTTCTTTTCCGCAAGTAGATCTGCCAGACTGCCGTCCTTGTGCATATTGATCAGGATGTCGCAGCCGCCGATGAACTCCTTGTCGACGTATAGCTGGGGGATCGTGGGCCAGTCCGAGTATTCTTTGATTCCTATAGACGGAAATTTTGGCCCATGTTAGCATCAGCTGGCTAGATTTTCGTCCCCTGACAAGCTCCGCGCTCTTTTGCCAGGCGCAGCATAATTTCAAAAAGGTGCGCGAGCAGCTGCTGAACGGCGTCAAACATGGCGAGACGTACCACTCCTCAACTCATCATCTTCCAAGACGTTGAAAGCAGTGAATTTCCTGGGATCCACGCCCTGCAAGCCCAATATCTGGATCGACGTTCGCGAGAATCCACATTGTGGTGTTTCTGGGGTGCCCTTCATGAACAGCACCACTGGCGCCGAGGCGACAGCTCTATCGATCGCAGCGCGGACCTCTTGCGAAAGAAGCCGTGTCTGTGAAAGAGAGGATGATATGCGAGGGAGAAGAGAGGCTGGAGTGGCGCGGGGGGAGAAAGCGGCAAGGGCGCCGCGAAGGGCCTGCTCGTGGTTAGTTTCCTTTGTCTTTCCGCCGGGATGGAGTGGTGAGGAGTTATTACAGGTGCTCTTAGTGATCTCTGCAGCATCTCGGGAGTCTGTTGGGTATTGGTGAAGAAAGAGGTTGAAGTCTAGTTCTGGATCACAGTTGCTTGTTGGAGAAAATTGTCGATGGCGGCGGCTTGGATGATGTCAATTCAAATGTTGACAAATGGAAGTCGGTCTTGTGGTGTTGCGCTTTTTTCCCCAGATTTACACGGTACTTCTTCTCCTTCGAGTCGCCTGACAAATCTACGAATGGATTTAAATACCGCTCTATAAGAAGGAGGGAATGCAGGCCTCGAGAAGACATTGTTGCGCCTTACCCTCCTCGCAGACATCTGAAGAAGGGATAGATACACCATGACCACAAACCCAACAAGCAGCGGCGAGCGGTTCTCCGCCGCAGCCCATGAAACTGACGGTAAACACCACATCCTCCTGTCCGCAAGCGGATCTGTAGCAGCAATCAAGATCCCCCTAATAGCCAAATCCCTCGGATCCCACCCGAATGTGTCCATCCGCATCGTCTTGACAGAAGCCGCCGAGCAGTTCCTGCAAGGCCAATCGGCCGAACAACCCCCGCTACGCTCACTCCTGGACTATCCCGGCGTGGACGGTGTATACCATGAAGAGGACGAGTGGTCGAAACCGTGGGTGCGAGGCGACAAGATCTTACACATTGAATTGAGGCGGTGGGCGCACGTCCTGATCGTGGCGCCCCTCTCGGCCAACACCATGGCGAAAATCGTCAACGGCATCAGTGACGGTCTGCTCCTGAATGTCATCCGGGCATGGGACACGACGGGCCTGATCGACATGCGCAGGAAGAGGATATTTGTGGCGCCGGCCATGAATACTGCCATGTGGCGCCACCCGATCACCAGGAAGCATATCCAAGTGCTGGAGGAGGACTGGGGCGCTGATAAGGACGGGTGGTTCACGATCCTGCGACCTACGGAAAAGGAGTTGGCCTGCGGCGATACGGGCGACGGTGCTATGATGGACTGGAGGCAGATCGTGAGTTACATTGACGAGCACCTGGCACTCGGTATTCAGGATTTTTACGAGGCCAACGGCCAGTGACGACCGGCATGCTATCATGCGCCACTGAAGGTCTGAGTCGTGGATCGAGACTCCTCTTGAGTCTTCCGATGAAGATAGTCTCCGAGCAAGCCGAGAGAGATGACCCCGCCGGTGATCCAGGCACCGTTTCTAAACCACCACCAACAATCTCTGACATCCTTCAAATTCACCCGCCGGACCATGGTTGCCAAAGCCAGTGCACCGCCACCACAACTCCCGATGAAAAAGACTGGTCCTGCTCCAGCAAAATACCCGGCGGCCGCGAGAAGTCCAATCTGAGCAGCAGAGAAGACAGACAGGGCGGTCTTTGAATTGTGCTCGTGTGCTTGAGCGATTGACTTGATGCCCACTTTGACGTCGTCCTTGATGTCCATGTAGGCATAGATCATGTCATAATTGAGGGTCCACGCCACACAGCTGGAATACAGTGCCGCGGCAGCTGCAAGTGCACCAGGGTTCGAGATAAGGTCGATGCCTAGGGCGGGAAAGCCCATGATGGCGCCCCATGAAAAGGTCAACCCGAGAACAAACTGCGGGTAATGTGTAACTCGCTTCGCCAGAGGATATACCGTGACCAGAAGCAGGCTTGGAACTCCATAGTAGAGACAAGGTAGGGGAAATTGTAAGAGCAGAGTCAACCCAGTAAGAAGCTGTGCGCCTAGATATACAATTGCATTTTCAACAGAAACGGCTTTCCGCGCAATGGGTCGTAGTTGTGTACGTTCGACATGTGGATCCAAGTTGCGGTCCCAGAGATCATTTATTGTACAGCCGGCGCCTCGCATGATCAAAGCGCCGGTGAAGAAAAGAGCCGTCGTAGATATCACCTCGAGCGGTGAAGCCATCGGCACAGCCATCGGTGCCGCCAAAAGCGTAGAAAACATGCAGGGGAAGAAGAGGTAGTACGTCCCCGCGGGTTTGTCGAGCCGGATAAGCTCGGCATAAGGAATCCATGATGAGGGTAGTTTCGATATAATGCCAGTAGTGGGAGGTTTGTAGATCGCAGGGAGATCCTGGCCCAACGGACTCGGCGAAACTGAAGTGGCTAGATGTCTCTCTCGACTCGAGGAGCAAACCCGTGCCGGTATGTGTTTTTGTTTCCAGGTTGCGGTTCCATGACGAAAAATCCTTTGCTGATGCCGTCGAGACCCCCTCACAAATGCAAGAGCCCGAGGAGAGGATCGAGAGGCCTGGCAAAGGATCTTGGTCCCAAACATGTCTGGCGGTCTCCCATGGTAGTCTGGGAAAGAGACATTAAAAAACTTCCTGGCAAGGCTGAGAAGAATCCAGGTCACGCTGTCCGTTTTGGGAATGGCGTAGCCTTCCTCTGCAAAGTGACTTTTCCCCAGTGCGCTTCGCGAGATCAGATCCGATGTGAAATCTTTACCTGCGCCAGTCATGGTTGCATGCGGCGGCACTTCACATTATGCTCAGCGCATTGTCACCTCCTTTCACCCAACTCATTTCCTTCGATCTCAGGCCAACCTGAACCTTCATCGAGCAGGCATTCCATGGACAGAGCGTCCACTTGGTTTCCTTCATCACACTGCCCCGCCGCCGTTACGATGTGCATCTCCCAGTCACCTTTGCAGAAGAGAAGGCTTGTACACCTGAGCAAGGGGATCCGTCCTCTTATCCAAGCTGACTGGTCATGCCGTCCACACGACCTTGTGCGGCCTTCGAGCCCATCTCGCCGGATTTCGATCTGAAAGCCCTCGTCGAGTCCCAGCCCAATTTTGAGTGGGTAGTACGCATCCACTGCGACATGATAGATCACCAAGGCCTGGAAAACTTTGAAAAGCTGGTTCTGATTCACGTCATCCTGGGTGGCAAGCCTCTTGTCATCGAGGGCTACGAAGCGCGACTTGACAGATGGACATTTGCACCACAGTGGCTCCGTGACAACTGCGGTTCAAAAGGTATGGTTTCACATTGCTCTCACACTATGTATCATGTCCTCACGGTTCTCCAGTCGAAAATGCGAGAGATCTCACCAAGAAAACCGACGTACCGCTATCGATCGGTCACTACTTAAACCACATGGCACTGTTGACGAACCAGTGGACCCCGCGGAACTACAAGGACCCCGGGCGTCAGCGGATGTATCTCAAAGATATTGACTGCCCGCCTTTGTGGCAAGACAAATTGTCGGATATCATTCCTGCAGCCCTGTTCTATCTCAACGAATCGACAGGTGACGTTGGTGGGTTTGGATCAGTGGACGAAAACGACCTAATCAGGCCCGGTATGAGGAAAGGAAAGGGGATCGCCAGAGCTGGAGACTTGATGAGCAGCCTTCCGAAAGAAATGCGCGCGGAAAATCTCATGTGCTATATCGGCCATGAAGGCACTTATACCCCCGCCCATCGAGAAATGTGCGCGAGCCTGGGTCAGAATATCATGGTCGAAGCTTCTACCGGCCTAGCTGAGGATGGGAAACTCACACAGCCGGGATCCTCGATCTGGTTCATGACCGAGACCAAAGAACGAGAGGTAGTCGCTGAGTACTGGCTTTCCCGCCTTGGTCACGACATTGAGATCGAAAAGCATTTCGCCCAAGTCAACGCATGGAAGAACGCACCATTCAAAACGTACGTTGTCGAGCAGAAGCCCGGTGACTTCATCCTTATTCCTCCACTAGCTCCGCATCAGGTGTGGAACCGTGGAACCAGAACGATGAAAGTCGCTTGGAACAGAACAACCATTGAGACTCTTGAAATGGCAATGCATGAAGCTCTGCCGCGAGCAAGGATGGTGTGCCGCGATGAACAGTACAAGAACAAGGCAATCATTTACTACACCATGCAGAAATACTCGAAACTCCTGCGGCTGGCAGAGAAGTTCAGGCAGAAATCTTCGGGTCTGAAACACAAAATGCCCCGTGACTCGAAAGTCCGGCAACTAGAAAAGGACTTCCGGAGACTGCAGCTTCTGTTCACCGGGATATTAGTGTCGGAGAGCTTCCTGCCTGACCGCATCGAGAAGAAGGTCGAGTATATCCCTTATGACAGCAACATTACTTGTTCATATTGCCGCTGCAATATTTTCAACCGATTTCTCACCTGTCCCAATTGTGTAGGACAGTTGGCGAACGGCGACGAAGACACCTATGACATCTGCATGGAGTGTTATGCAATGGGCAGAAGCTGTGCATGCATATCAAAATTGAGGTGGGTTGAGCAGTGGCCCTGGGGAGAACTTACACAGAAGCACGAACAGTGGCGACAACAGATTCTGCAATATGAAGGCAGAGTGACTGAGAAATCACCCATGCCTCTTAAAATTGAACTGGACAGGCTCGGGAACAAAAGGACCCTGGCCCAGATCTGCCAACTTGAGTTAGCAAAGAGGCCGTTTTGCGATATCCGCCGTCCGCCGTCTCCTGTAACAGGCGACGACCGCGAAGTGGTGGAGGAGGTGGACGCAAATGGGAATGTCAAGAAAAAGAAAAAGATCAGGCGAACTGATAAGTTTCTAAGAGAGCATGCTCGATGCCATGTTGACTTCCACTGGGAACCCAAATGGAAGCAGGCCACATGCACGAAATGTGACAAACATTATTGCTACGGCACTCTTTTTCGAAGATTCGATATGATGCCGCAGGATATCCTTGCTGAGCCGGACTGGTTGTGTCCGAGCTGTCGAAACATCTGTGGCTGCCGTCAGTGTAAGTCCAGGCCCGGTTACAAAGCCTACCACCCATCTGGCACAATCCTTGGGCATAACACCAAGGCAATAGCAGATCCTCGATCGGTTGAAAGCCTCGTGGATTTTAGTTACTCCAACATTGCCTGGATTCAAAAGGCAGGTGATGATTATGGGGACCAGTCCCGTCGTCTGGAAAAGCGTCGGAAAGAGGCAGAGGCTGCCAAAGCTACGACGCCGGAGCTAGGTGAACACTACGTTGACGGTGATCAAGAGATTCATGATGGAGTGGAAGATGGTCTCATTCGGTTGGCGCAACAAGAAGGCATTCCAATCGACCCGATGCTGACAACTGATGGGCCACCCGAGTCCCTCGCAGAGGACGAAGACGATTATGACGAAAACCCAGAAGGAGTAGAGTCGACTCTCATTGACGATCTTACTTCTGAATACGCTATTCCTGAGGGTGGCGTCATCAGAGACGTTGAGCATGCTTACGATCCAACTGAGGCCATCACCTACGATTATCCGGATCCAGAGATCGTGCGTCATGTTCCCGTCCTTGTTGACGAGGAACAAGTGGCCGTGCCTTCAGGGTACGCACCTGGTGGCAGGGATGATAGGGCAGAGATTGAGATGATCGAGCGTAAGCGCAAGCGTGCAAGGCTCGATGACGGCGACCGTCCTTATCATTCCAAGAAAGCTAACGTCGAGAAGAACAAAGTACGGAAGTCGCTCATTGTGAAGTTGCCACTTCCGGCACAGAAACTTGAGGAAATGCAAAAGATGGCAGATATGGCGCGGCAGGCCTTGAATGGGGCGGAAGCTCCTGCACCGGTCATCAGCTCTGATCTGCATGCGCTCAACGCTGCCGAAGGAAATCCTCAAACCGTGCAAAAGAAGATTCGACGAGGTGTTGAAAATGTTGTTGTTGAACAGGATGACGACTTCATGCCCGGTCGGTATCGTGACCGCAGGAAACACGCCGCGGATGGAGCTCCGCGACCACCTCCTGACGCGGAAATTACCAGGCGGCAGACCCGGATGCACAATACCCATTATGAAGAACCCTCAGAGGACGAGTTTAATGAGGTTGTTTCTGAACCTTCTTCTGAGCGCCGCAAGTCCATGAATAAGCCGACAATGAAGGTGGTTAGGTTGGACGACGCCGGCCCGGTTTTCGATTCTTCCGTATCCTCGGATACCGAATCAGCAGGGAATGAGAGCTCTGCCTCAAGCCCTCCGGTTGAAGTTGGACCGAGCGCTTCCACGCCAGCACCACGAATGGCCACGAAAGCTCCCAAACTGACTGTGGTGCAGAGCGTCCATAATATAACGACGACGAGCTCCCCAGCTGACCGGAATGGAAGGCCGGTCTCAGTGGCCTCGTTATCGCCTCTTCCTCAGAAAGCGACACTTGCCAAATCGACCTCAGCCATCTCCCTCTCAAGCCAGTCAAAGGCAGCAGTGGAAGCACAAGCGAATAGACGAGCAAAAATGGCTGCGATCGAGTGGATGGAGAATGAAAGCGAAGACCTGGACGACGTTTGGTCTCAGGAATCGTTCTTGGACAAGCGTACCCCGGGCAACAAAGCCGCTACTCCAGCTCAGACAGAGGTCGCGCCTGCCCGACAAAAAGACGTTGTTGCACCTCCCAAGGCGGTCACGAATAGTAAGAGACAGTCGAGAGGTTCTCTCGCCCCACCGACCGTACCGAAGCGAGCCGTTGTGTCGACCGCGAAAGCCTTGGCTTCGGAGTGGGCTGATAGTGATGATTCGGACGACGGGACACAGACTCGAAAGCCCGGCCAAGCTTGGGTCGCCGTTAATAACGGAGCTGCGAGCGCGAGTCGAGTGATGCCAGCGAAGTCTCTTAATGCTGCTAATGGTCCAAAAAAAAGGGGCAGGCTACCAAAACATCCCTGGTAGAACACGATCGCAGCATGCAGAAAATGGGGATGATGTCCAGAAGAAGCCCGGGGAGTATTTTATGGTTGGTACAGAGTGCGCACGGTATGCTTGTGGATGGTCACGGATTTATGAGTGTTTGGGAGCTTGCAGAGGCCAGGAGCTCGAGGACTTGGAACAAGTTGGAGAATTGACGCATATTGGGACCTTGGGCTTGGGGTGCAAACAGCGAATTGGCGCTGGTGTGTTGAGGTTGACGTGAGCGGGCTGTACATAGGGACATGACCAAAGCGTGCTCAGATGGTGTTGCTGCATGACAATACGATAGCAGAGAGCCATCTTCCCCAGGAGACTCCAGTGCCCCTTTTTCCCTTTGACAAGGCTGCAAACTCCGGAGCTTTCGGGTCGCCAACTCCGATGGTGGTGAAAATGACATCGACGGGTCAAGGCACCCAAGTCGACGGGTTTTTTCTCTTCCTGCGACATGCGACATTCTCCTAACACGCTCACAAATATTTCGATCCTTTGTCAGTCCTGTGGATACTGAGCGTCCTGACTATGGAGAGCATGCGCGTATTCCAGCGCAATGTTGCTCTGCGACAGCTCTGCGCTCAGTCGCGTTTGCCTGCATCACGCCGCGCCATCCATCAGACTCGAGCTCCCCTGCAGCAATCCTTCCGCACCAGACCGACCCTGTTACCCCAACGAGCTCTTTTGAGACGATCGATACACACTCAGCGACCCACGGACACCCCCTCTTTCTCATCGCTGCAATCATGGCGGACGACGCTGAGAGGCCAGCCGTCGCGGCGGCACAATGTTTTTGGCCGCCGCTACAACTCGAACACCAGTTCCAGCACCACGAGTGAGAAACCCTCCCTCAAGCAGCGTCTGAAGACGATGTCCCGCGAGTACGGCTGGACGGCGGTAGGCGTCTACCTGGCGCTCTCGGCGCTCGACTTCCCCTTCTGCTTCCTGGCGGTGCGCATGATGGGGACCGAGACGATCGGGCACTACGAGCACGTCGTGGTCGAGACCTTCAAGTCGATTGTCAAGTGGCCGATCCAGGGCTCGACCCAGGCCCAGATGGCCGCCGACGGAGCAATCGACGAGGCTTCTGCGGAAGCCGGCGTGAGGGAGCTCGAGCAGCGAGCCGCGCAGGAAGGCGGACGCGTTTTGGAAGAGCCGACAAACGATCATGGGTACAAAGCGGCGGAGAAGGCGAACCAGGGTGACAATGCCAGTATGTGGTTTTGACCTGCTTCTCTTTCTTCATTTCTTCTGTTTCCCCGGTGTGAGATACAGCTCGCCGGGGCTGAGAAAATACTAGGACGAGAAAGGCTAACATATTGGTGTCATTAGGTTTATGGACTCAACTTGCCCTCGCGTATGCGGTGCACAAATCCTTTATTTTCATTCGCGTCCCTCTCACTGCTGCAATCCTGCCCAAAGTTGTCAAGACGTTGAGATCATGGGGTTGGAATATTGGAAAGATGCCTCATCGGAAAGCTGTTGGCGCAGGTACGGGCATAAATACCAAGGGGTCAAAGGTCAAACCGGGCGACTGAGAAACCAAACATATCTGCGTCTTCTTTTGGAGGAGATTCAGCCCTCACTCATCTCATTTTCCTGCTCGACGGTAGCTTTGCCATCGTCGTCATGAGAGCAGGTACAAGCTAATGTACAAAACCCACTTTTTTTCAATTCTACCTCTTGCCTCCTGTCTGTTGTCTTTCAACTAGTCAAACCTCTGTCCCTCTAAAGGATCCCTTGTGCCCTCTTTTTCTAATAACTGCACCATGGTGCCATCCTCCATCTGCAGACTCCACTCCAATGTCTCAAAAAACCCGCCCCGGGACTTTCGTAGACTGACAAACTTGGTCTTCGCCTTCCCTCTCGTCCCCTTGACCCAGAAGCTGATGTCGATCGTGCCCTGCATGGGCGACAACTCCCCGCTGATCCAGGGCAGTTTGCTCGCAAAGTAGATTTCGTCGCCCAGCAACTCGCGGACATGCTCGTTGGTGCGCAGGGCGTAGAGGATCGAGTTGACGGTCGACGAGGAGGATTTCTCGTAGTTGAAGATGGCCAGCGACGACACGGTGACGAGCACGATAAACACAGGGAGTGTCTTGAGCCATATTGATATCGGCCGGGTCAGCTCAGGCAGGGCCCGGTCGGGGCGCCGCGAGAGCAGAGGCCCCGACCCTTCGCGGGGTGGAGGGACGAGGGGCCGCACGATCCGGTCGGCGGAAATGTGTGGTGTAGAGGGTGACGGCGAGGACGACGGGGACGCGCGGGATATGCTCAGCCTCCGGGCAGAGATGGAGAAGGAATCGTGCAGGTGGTGGGCTCGCCATATCGCACGGCGGATGGACAGCGGGAGAGTCTGAAGCTGGGAGAAGCTGCAGGGAGCAGGGAGCAGTTTCCTCGCACCCATGACGGCGGCTTCGAGATTGCTGTTAAATGGCCGGTGTTTGTATTCTCATGCAAGACGTGGTCAAGTAAACATCTCGGATTGTTGGAAGTTGAACTGGCATGCACTTACTTTGCGGATGGAGAAAACTGCTTTCCCCATGTGGTTCGATGCTAGAGCGTGAATCGAGGCCGCTTTAACATGCGCTTGAACCCGAGCCTCACTAGCCTTATTCTTTCCTCCAAACCTTGAGCAGCTCACCAGCTATGAAGCCTGGCAGCCCCAGACTTCTCGTATTAGCCCAGCCTCGCAACCTTGAAGGTATGTATCAACGGCACGGGCCTTTCGCTTCAACTTGAACGTCCATGTGTCCGAGCCTCCTTGTCCGTTCGTCGTTGTCTACCAACGCTCCTTCACCTCCATCGTCAGGGTCCATCTGCGCAAGCCACTGCCTTCAAATAACAGGTTGGATGATGTCTTTCCTCCCTTCACTTGCGACATCTCAATGGTTGCTTGGATGATCTCCCGATCTGGGCAGTTTCATCAGGAAAGCTGAGCTGTTCGCAGCGCCATACAGAGGCCCAGACCCCATACTCCGCGCATGTGGCTTGCGGACTTTACGTCAATTTTCTCAGGGTAACTGGTGCTTCCTCTCCCCAGAGAATGCCTCTTCAGACCTTCTATTCTGCCAGGGCTGAAATACGCCACTCCATCTTGAAGGAGTACTGTGTACTGGTCGCCCAGGTGTCCGTGGCTAGCTGAGACCTGGAAGCCAATGCCACTCGCTCCTCGAGGCTTGGGCCTTCAAGGCTGCACTCAACCCCGACTAGTCAAGTTCGAAGCAAACGGGCGGTGACGGGACAGTGAAATCTATTCGCCCGGACTCCCTTTTTATACGAGGTAGGTAAATACTCGAAGACCTCGAGCTGAGATGCACCTGCAGGGTGCATGTATGCGTCCGGATACGGCAACAAACATGATCAGGCTGGACAAGAACTTGGCCAAATATGGCTGAGGCGCGCAACAACAACAGCTGAACATGGCATTCTCGATCCTTGTCGATGCTGCAATTTGACAGTTTCGATCACTTTCAGACTGAAGCTACTCGCTCACTAACAGGGTTCTGCTCATTTGCTTGCCTCTATTTCGACAACTCAGTTGATCCACAAATTCTATTCGCCAGCATCAACCTTGCTATTCTCGGTGGTTGAATTGTCATCGGACGTGAAAGGCTTCATACTGCCCTAGAAGGCGAGCCTTCTGCACTACATGGAAATGCCGCCTATATCTAGGCTGGCTGTCTCTTCACATCCACAGGTTCCCGACCACTCACTCACAAACGTCTGTGCAAAAAGAGATCGGTCATCTTCATATTGACAACGTCCTCGCCAATGCCTGACGCTCCGCCATTGACTGTCGTCGTTCCCGATGCAGGTGTTCTTCAAGACCTCAACGCCGGATCGTATGCGCTTTGTGTGGGCTACTTCGACTCGACCGAGGGCTTCAATGAACCACCAACCTACCTGACGCAGTTTCAACCCGCTGATGGCAAAGGTCAGTCACATCATTTTGTCGTCACTCGTCTTTTGTAAGTAGTCAGTCGATGCCCTAACCTGCGCCCGATTTAGGCTTTGAGTCCCCGATCGAAGTGCAATTCAACCTTCCATCACCCGACAACTTGAAGTACTTCATAGGGTTCTACAAGAAGAATGGTATGCCTCACAGTCCTCATATTATCTCTATCATTACTGGCTTCGAACCACTTTTTCGTTCTCGGGGACGTTTCAGTAGTGATGATCAAGCTTCTAACCTGCCGCGCTCTGGCCAGGCGATACCTTGTACGGCTTGAAGTCAATAACCCCGGGGAGCCTCTACGAAATCCCCCAGGAGCCGAGCCAATTGCCAGCCGACAAAGACGCAATAGTCTACTCTACGAGCGAGGATTCCACATGGGTTCGTCCGAAATGGATCGACCCCAATGGATTCGGAGTCCTAAACCGGGTTGGTGTTCGGATTGTGCTCTATCGAAGCCCGCCAAACTCTTCAAACGATTGGACACCAAACACCACGATTGACCCAGCCACGCCCGTCTACAAGAGCTACCCCTTGTGGGTTCCTGGCACGGGTCTTTTGCTGCCCAAGTCGGTCCACGACCTCAGCGTGTGGTTCCAAAACTTGAAGTTCGGCGACGATGACGTCGAAGCCAAGGACCAGTCGTTCAAGTGCAAGGTCGTGTATGGCCAGGGCCAAGCGAGCAGGTCGATCACCTATCCAAATGACTGGCCGACTCTTCCCGTGCCAGTGTAAGAGTCGAAAATAGGCGGCACGGGGACAACTGAAACGTCGTAGAAGTCCATGCATACCACAGAGAGACATTGCTCTCCGTCACGAATTTACTATAGTCATCCCATCCGATGCAGCATCATAATTCATAGGAAATTTGAGATACCGTTGGTCAGAACTTGGGGTGCTCTCGTCGGAGGGGTATGGGCCTTTGATATGCTCCGATTTGGAACAAAAATCTTGACCCAGACGTGTCTGGATAAAGCACCGCTCTGGCTTCTTTATATCGTGTCCAAGAACTAGTACATGAACCAGAAAAATGTGTCTGCGGAGGATTTGGGCGAAGGTCTCAAGGCTACACGCGACTACCTACAATTAAATGATGCCTCGATGTCGAAGCCGTGCTGTGCTGCCACTGACAATTCTGGACCGGCAGAAAGGTCTGTTCTTTGAGATCCGCAAATCAATTCGTTGAATTCTTCTTCTGCATTCTTTCGCTGAGAGAGGCCCAGCATGTGGTAGCACTATGAATCCCCATCACTGAGGTACCGTCTAAGCTCTGATATCCTGACCGATCTTAATACCCCTGACGCACTTATTGTCCATTTACTCCTGGTAGCGCCGCCTCCATATCCAACGAAATTCGCAGCCTCTCCCGCTCCGGGGTGCCAGCACGGCGCACCTACAACGGGATAAAGTCGTCCTGGTGGCTGAATGGTCGTTCTTTGTCCATGGGACCCACCTCATTGTCATCATCAGCGCGAGGAGCCACGGGAGTGACGAGATCCAGTCCATTGGGGGTTTCCTCCGTTGGCGATCCCACGAGAGTCGAAGGCCTCTGGGTGCCAGAACTGTGTAGCGGGCGTCCAATCTCCACACCTCCCGCTTGGTCAACGTGAGGATGCGGGCATCTGAGATTGTAACAGATGCCGGATCGAGCATGGTCACGGCACTGAGGGAGATGGCGATGGCGACAGCTTGCGCCTCGCTCACAGTAGCCAAAGGATGCAAAATCCAAACACGGCGCGGCCCAAGGCTCTACCTGAGCGTGGGAAAAGGGACAAGGGGATCGATTGCACCTTTTAGCAAGGAAATATTTGCACGTTGGCAACGTGTTTGGGGTGGGGACGTGATTGAGATTACAGTTGCTGCCTCGGGAACAGTATCGATTGTGTATGACAGAGGGGCAAAGAGAAACTTTCATGGGGTCGTGGACATGGGGACAATGCGTGCCATACGTGCAATAACCTGAATGAAAAGGATTAGTATCTCGGGCATTTATCTTGCTCACCGGGTGGACCCCTATACCGCTGAGACTGTATTGCTGACATTGGCTCTTCTCAATGATTGGCCTATTTCTTTCCATTAGTACGGAGCGCATCTCAAAAGTAGGGGTTTTTGCGCAGGAGCTATGCCGACCTAGGTGTGTCTGTGGATTTCTGTCGCTGAATATGAAGTGGTGAATGCTGGTCAAGCCTTGTTGTGTGACGCGGCTCATCTGTCCGCATGCCTAGGCCAAAATCCGAAGGTTGTTCTGGCGCTCGAAGGGGCTTAAGGATTGAATGGTAGGTTTCATTTGGCGGGCCAAGTTCGGAGCTGCCACATCTGGTCGGGCTCTCTGAAAGGGATGCACTGACTCGAACATCATCGACCGAGTGATCTACAAAACTTGAGAGGGCTCATAAGAATAGGGCACATTGACATACATTCACTCTCACCGGAGGCCTGTGTCTGCTGATCGATCTCGGGAGCCATGTGCTGTCCAGTCAAACCAGGGATCGAGGACAATGAGTCGTCCTCGACAGTTGGGGGTTTGGAAACCGCAACTTTCGTTCCCTCTTTCGACTCTTTGTGTGCCAACCAGTTCAGAACTCCGATATGGGGCCATCGCAGAACCTGCTTCAAAACGCCGGAAGTTTTCTGCCTGACTGCAGCTATGAATGACGGCTTCGGATATGGACCAACGCTTTCGGACCATCGTATTCTGCCCTCTGCTTTGAATAGAGACGACTTGTGTAGCCGGGAGACATTGTTGCTCTGAGGAGTAACAGCGTCTGTGTCCATTTTCACCTGATCTGGATAATATCGTTAGCGTCCTCGTCGGGCAACGTTCGCTGTTCATGATGTACCTTTGGGGTGCTCTCTATCAGGATCCAGGGCAGCTTCATACATGGTTGATGTGTCCAGGAGGGTCAAATGAGAACAGACAAATTGGCTGGGTCATGAGGCAAGAGATCAAAGACAAGTAAAACAATCCAGATCAGAGAAAGTCTCTCTTGAAAGTGTGGTCAATATAAGAATGATGCACCTCGTAGTGCGCGAAGAAGACATGGACAAGGCTGCGCTTACCCCCTTTGGATGGCCAGCCTTGAGCAGGCATGTTTGCCGACTGGTCAGCCTCGCTCCACCTCTGCTTGTGAAATTTGGGTCGGAGCTCCAAACTAACTCTGTGCCCAAGTGTCTTTGTACATCAATGCTCAAGACAATGAGTTGATCAACGAGAGGCAAACGTCGGGGCGTGTCTTCTAGAGCCGCTCAACATGCTACAACCCCGAATACCTTTCCGGTCGCTGTGCAGGAGATGTCAGCTTCCGTCACCCAGCTTGCGCAGGACCTACGCGCAGGTCCAAGTCATTGACCCCGTGCACCCGAGCGGTTCAGTCACAGAACCTCCCAGCACAGATCTCCCTCTCGCTCAAGCTGATGACCGAACCTCACTCTCCAAATTCGAAGTTCGCCTACGCCGATACACTCCTCGAACGCCGGGTATTCGACATTTGGTCCGTCCATTGAACGAACATTTATGGAAAGGCCGACCGCACTTTTCCCTCACGTTTCCCAAGAAGGGTCATGGCAAAGGTGGCCGAAATCATACTGGCCATGTGGTGGTTAGACACCGTGGAGGTGGACATAAGAGAAGGATAAGAATTGTCGATTTTGCAAGGCGTACCGGCGGCAGGCATCTTGTCGAGCGAATCGAGCACGACCCCGGCCGTACTGCTCATATCGCCCTCGTCAAGAACCTCCAGACCGAGGAAAGGAGTTACATTCTAGCGGCAGAAGGGTTGCGAGCTGGTGACACTGTCGAGAGCTACCGGTCCGGTCTCCCGCAGTCACTCATTGACGAAATGGGTGGACATATCGACCAGGGTGTCCTAGCGTCCAAAACCGCACACCGGGGCAACTGTCTGCAGTTGGGAATGATCCCTGTCGGCACCCCCATATTCAACATTACTCCCACGAAAGGCGACATTGGGAAGATCTGCCGAAGTGCAGGAACACATGGAATCATTATCGGCAAAGGGGAGGACACGGTGCAGAAAGAGATGATGAAGTTGATTGGTGACAGTGGTGACATGGATCTGTCTTCGTTAAGCACGGATCAATTGAGAAAGTTCGAAAAAGCGGCCAACTATGTTACGGTGCGCTTGTCCAGTGGTGAGGTCCGACTCATCGACAAAGACGCTGTAGCAACCATTGGTGTTGCAAGCAATGTCAACTTCAAATATACCTCTCTGGGCAAGGCGGGTCGATCGCGCTGGCTCAACATTCGACCAACTGTGCGAGGTGTGGCCATGAACGCAGCAGACCATCCGCACGGTGGTGGTCGAGGAAAATCCAAGGGTAATCGCATCCCGGTGAGCCCCTGGGGAGTTCCGGTAAGTGTTTTTCTGTCGCAGTGTTCATTTCATCGTGCTGACCCGTCATCAGGCGAAATCCGGCTACAAGACGCGAGACAAGCACAAAGTAAACCCTCTCGTTGTCACCCAACGTCCCCGGAACCAGGGACGACGCAGAAGAGGTTATGCATAGATTAGCACATGTATCAATACGAGGTCTTCCTGGCATAGACGCACTGTAAATGCCCCTCCCGGACACTGGCCTGTCTTTGGCGGCCTAGCAATTGTGGTTGTAGAACTACTTTAGATTTCTCTCCGTTCACCTCTCTCAATGTGTAGGGTCTCTTGAAGGCGCAAAGCTCTTGGACTCGTGAACTTGGAACAAGGACTCCAGCTAACTCGTCGAACAATTTGCGCAGCCAATTAACGAAGATGCTCTAATCGGGCCAAATAGGAGGCGACAGGCCTAGGTTCCCACGTTCCGCGCCTAAGGATAACTTTAACTGGGGCGCCCTGTGGCTTCTGGGGTTCGAGTAGTAGGGAGTCCTAGGTACCTAGGTACGGAGGCAAGGAGGGCACCCGCAGAGCTGCCCCCTGGGCCCCCAGGCGCCTAAGCCCCGATTCTTAGTAATCCCCAGCTGTTCGTTCTGCCCACTCGTCGTGCCGCTGCCCATTATTATCGAGGTGCCTCTATCACGGGAAACGTGCTAGCAGGTCTGTGAGTGGCAATTTCCGCCTCGCTGAGAACTCTACACGACGATGAGGTGCCCTTTGACCCAAGATTTGTTCTAGCGGGCTGATTCATGGCCTCACTTAAAGCCTCTCTCGATACTCGCGTATCTCGTAAATGCTTCTTACGGAAATGGACAATTAGTCATGGACACAGAAACAGAATGGTCACAACAACTCTCGTCGATTCCACGAGCGAAGCGCCGATCTCGCGTTCAATCGGCCTGCCAGAGATGCCGGAGACAGAAACTGAAGGTGAGTCGACTACTCGCGCCCTCTGTTATCCATTCTCATCTAATATCGATGGCTAGTGTGATCAAGAGCGACCTTGTTCGTTGTGCTTGAGGTCCGAGGTCCCTTGTATATCTGAGTCTAGGCAAAGGTTAGTCACTCTTCTTACGTTGCCTGCTCCTGGGGGATCAAGGTTCTGGTGGGCTAAGGAAGCGATACTCGGATTCAGGCGCAAGAAATCGAGGCTTCATTCCCCGGACGCAGATAGTGGTCAGAGCGAGAAACAGAACGGGATTGTCCCTCCAGTCTCGCTTCATGCCACAAGTTCCTCCCCCCAATCACGGTTCAGCCATGGCGAGGATCAAGAGAACAGTTCGACTCCTGGTCAACAAACGAATAGTCCGGCGAAAATCAAAGCGCCGGTTAGCCTCGACCGACTTTCAGCGACAGATCCCGAAGCCTTCAACCAGAGAATCTCATCAGCGGGACTGACACAGGAGGTCAGTTTGCCGGACTGTCTGTGGGTCGGGTCATGCGACTGACATTGCGTTTAGATCATTGACAACTTCAGCCCCGAGATCATCCTCGAAAGCTCTACATCTGCACTCCCCGGGGGTGTGGGTAGTTCGCAAGGAGCGTTCGGAACATCTCAGGACGATATCACGATGGAACAGCTGCTGGGCCTCGAATTGCCTTCTAAAAGGGTGACAGACTATTTTCTAAACACCTATCTCGACGCGGTACATTGGTTCATGATGCTTTTTCACGAACCCACATTCCGATCCTCCTACGAGAGGCTGATGGCATCGAGGAGATTCTCGCGGACGAGGTCAAACCAGGTCATCTTCATTCTTCTGGTCCTGTCCATGGGTGCACATTACGCTTCGGACGACGACGTACGGCAGAAGTTTCCTACCTTCCAGCTCGAGACTTTTCGAAAGCTATCTCTCAAAAAGGTGGAAGACAGCTTGCACTCCCTGTACGATGCTGCAGACCTCGAATCTGTCCAAGTCTGTGTCCTTCTGGGATCATATTACGTCTATTACGGTCGCCCCAACCTTGCATTTGTTGTTCTAGGTGCCGGGCTAAGATGTGCCCAACTCATGTTGCTGCACAGAGAATCAGCCTGGCGAGGTCTGTCGGAGATTGCGAAAGAAGAGCGCAGACGAGTCTTCTGGGCTCTGTTTATCTTCGATCGGTAAGTAGCGGAATTGGAAGTCAGCACCTTTACTGATTTAAAATATAGATTTGCAGCTACAATATTTGGTCGACCCTGTGGTATTCCAATTGGCGAAATTGACATCAAGACCCCAGAGAACATCGGCGACACCACTGTGCAGCATCCATCATTCCGCTCAACCGCGACCATGCCAGATGGAACCGTGGAGCCGGTTACCACATTTGCCTACTTGAAGTACAAGATCAAGTTTTACCAGATATCTTCGCCCATCATCGGTGACCTATATTTTCATCGAAGTTCCAGTGTGTCGGAGTTGGCACTCAAGGTCTATCGAATTGATAAAGAGCTGTCTCACTTCTTCAGGTCTCTGCCGCCGGAGCTGAAATTGGAAGATCTGTGTCGGAACAACGCGGAACCCGTGACGGCTAATAGCAGGCCTTTTATGTTACAAGCACTGGCTCTTCAAATTGCGTATGACAATGTACAGATCCTGCTACACCGCCCGTTACTATCTCAAGATCTGCGAAACTTCAAGTCAGACGCAGGAACTTCCGGATCCCAAAGTTCGACGTACTCCGCCGGACAGATCGACTTTGCCAACGACACCAAATTGTCACATCGACATGTACATGAAATCCTACTTGCCAGCAGAGATAATTGTTGGGAATCTGCAATCAGGTCTTCGAAGCTGGGCGATTACCGTCAATGCTTGATCTCTGCACGGGATAGTCACGCCGCAGCGTTTCTCGGAATCAATCTTTTCACAGCTGGCATGGTCTTGTGCGTAGTGGCTCTCTCGAGGCCACTGTCCTCAGAGGCGCAAATGGCCAAACAGGCCGTTGCTCGGATCATGTCCCTCTCGCGGTTCTTATCAGGCAGAGCCCTCCTCTCTGCGCAAACATCAAAGATTCTGAAAGACCTTATTCGATTGATTGGAGAGAAAGAGATCAAAGCCATGCTTTCGGAATCAGAAACCTCCCAGAACATGGCCACTTTATCAGGAACGAGAGCCAGAGAAATGGCAGGCTCCTCCAATGCAACACCTGGTCCAGCCTTCGGTGATCCAGAATACCCCGAAGAAGTCGCCGCGAATCCAACGACGACACGGATAGAGGGTGAAGCTGTTCCTTTCACGCTTGATCAAGCCGAAACTTCCATGGACGATTTTGACTTCTCTGGTTTCGAGAACATAGATTTCAACAATGGCTTACTGATCATGCAGCAAGGTAAGTACCACCGACCTCGTCATTCTCCTGTGTCTCTTGAGCTAACACACAGTGCAAGCGATGTTCCCGGAAGTTTCTGTGCAGCATACAGAGAGATCAGATAATGACGGAATAAACCAAAACGTCGCCCAATACAGCGCGGACAATTCCTACACCAACCAAACAAGCGGCAATGATATGGGTCTCTTAGGTACTGATCTAAACATGATGAATACCGTTGGGCAGACATGGCTTTGGGATTCTGCTACGTGGTGATTCACCAAGTATCATACGCACAGCTATGTCATCCTGGTCGTCCTGAAAACAGATGGGAACGCTCCTAGTGACCGGACGGCTAGCCGACGACCAATAATTGAAAAGGAGATGCAAGCTGCCTTGCCAGAACGTGGATGAAATAAGGCGGAAGTCGCGGCAATCGTAGAATTCTTACGGGTCCCAGGCCCTAATTTCACAGAAAAACACATTTTGACGAATTATGCATGTGTTAGAAACAAATACGTAAATTTGCAGGGTTGACTGGTCTGCATCAAGCGAGTTCTCTACAAGCATTCAGCCTTGCCGATGTTCAACAAGGCTGTGCTCGGGAGACCTTCCTTCCAGAAAGATGATGTTACAAAACTCTCAAAAAGTTTTTGTGGTTTCGAAGAAACTACTATTGAATAGCCACTCCTGAGGGTTTTGGTGTTGAGAAATTCTTCATTGGCTTACTCCCTGCTATAGAGCCCGACCAGGCCCGTAGCCAACATGGCCAAAACCAAGACGAAAGCAAATTCCCGGCAAAAAGACATCCTCCGCTCCACGACCTCCCCGCTCGTGAAAAGCGTTCCCAAAAAGTCGCAGAAGTCGATTGAAGACCTTCTCACGGAGGCCGCCGAACTCCTCGAACAGTCTCAGCCCGAACTGGCGCTCCCGCTTGCCGAAGAAGCGCTAAAGAGGCTCGAAGCCGAACGTCAAGAACAGCATGCTCCCAAGGAGGACGAGATCGATATTGACGACCTGCTCTCCCTGGCCGCACAAGGCGTACCTACCCTGCCGTCTGTCCTTACACTGAACGCCGAAATCCAAGTTGCACTAGGAGATGTCGAGTCCGCACGACGAAACTTCACTCGCGCGACGCACATCGATAAAGACGGGGCACTTATATCGGCGGAGCCGTGGCTATGGCTCGCGCAGCTGTGCGAAGAAGGCGGGGCCGAGAGTATCAAGTACTTTGAACAGGCGTGCGAGGTGCTCCGGAATGAGATCGAGGTCCTCGAAGAGGCGGTCAACGAGATGGATACCGGTTCCGACGGGGATGCGGGGACGAAGCGGGTGCTCGACGAGAAGAAATCGAAGCTGGCAGATGCGCTCTGCGCCATGGCGGAGGTCTACATGACCGACCTGTCGTGGGAGAACGACGCGGAGTCGCGGTGCGAGTCGCTCGTCACGGAGGCCGTGGCCGTGTGCCCCGAGTATCTGAGTGCGGGCGTGCTCCAGACATTGGCGAGCGTGCGGATCAGCCAAGAACGGATAGAGGACTCTCGAACGGCGCTGAAGAGAAGTCTTGACATCTGGTGGAAGGACGTGTCGTCTACCTCGAGCGACGAGGGTCCCAAAGAGAGCGGCAGGGCAGAGGGCGGGGAGGAGGGCACCGTCGTGGGAGGAGGAGAAGATGGCCGCAAGCCCGACTTCGCGACCCGCGTCTCCCTCAGCCGCCTGCTCATGGAGGTCCAGCTTGAACCGCTCGCCATGTCCGTCCTGGAGGGCCTCGTCCGCGAGGACGACCAGAGCGTCGAGTGCTGGTACCTCGGCGGCTGGTGCCAGGTGCTCATCTCCCAGAAACCCGACGCCGACGCGGTCCCCGAAGCCGCGGCCAAGTGCCACGAGACCGCGAAGCAGTGGCTGGAGAATTGCCTCCGGCTGTACCGTGTGCTGGGGTACGAGGACGAGCGGCTCCGGGAGCACGCGGTGGAGTTGGTGCACGGTTTGAACAAGGAGTTGGGTGTCGAAGGCGAGATGGACGAGGAGGAAGGCGACCCCTGGGAGGATGTGGATGACCAGGACGATGAGGAGGAGGGGGACGACGAAGACCTTGAGATTGAAGGCGAGGGGGAGGACGAGGTCGGTGGTCATCCTGGCGCTAGGGCTTGGGATGAGGACGTGGAGATGACCTAATTCCGCCATGTAGAATGCCTCGTCACGATAAAACAAAACGACAGCAGCGACCTGGGAGGTCATAAAAGGGAACCAGGACGGTTTTCATGACGAATATTGACGACCCGCCTGTGTACGTTGAGGACATCAATTTTGCACATTCCTCTTCCCGTTGATGACAGCTCCTATATCATCTGAATTTCTCCAAAGCATCCCGCCCTGCTATGTCTGGGTATTGAAGACACGCGTAAAGGTCTCTCTTGGTGTCTCTGGCTTGAAGTCAAAGAGCCCGTTATCCAACTTGCCAACCCCATCCGCAACGCCATATCCACTGGCCAACAAAGGCTTGATACTGTACATCATCTCCGACAAATCATCCTCGTTTGCTCTGGCCTGTTCTTCGAGTTCCTTCGCCGCGGAGACATCCACCCAGGTGATTTCATATTTGACTCCTCGAACCTGCTCCAATTCGCGAATCAGGTCTTCGATCTTGCCCGTCCAGCCTTGCACCCGCAGTGTGCGACCTGGGCCTTCGAACGGGATCCGTAGTGAGTCGATGGTGTACCGCGCAATGTCGGGGATACTCGTTACACCAATCCTCCTACCAGGCTCGCCATACAGTTTGGCCGTGAGCTTCTGATGGTCAAACCCATAGAACTCATCGAGCGCCCACTCGGTAAAAATACCAGTGACCATGAGCGTGTATTGGAAATTAGGTTCTTGAGCGGCTTTGGCGCGTAGATAGGCCCTCACGGCTTGTTTGTCGCGGAAATAGCGCAGGTCCTGAATCTGGCGTTGCGAGATGTCGCTGTTCCACTCCGAGGCGTACCAATGCTTTACGCCGGCGGAGACGGCAACTTCAACCATGGCAGGCTGCAGGACCATCAGGGGATTGCCGACTGCCGATATGACATGTGTGAAGCCTGCACGAATTGGTCAAAATGCAGTCATGGGAAGGGAGGTTTTGTCTCCGGATGCGGACCTTGATATGACTTTGCGTCAAAAAAGGAACCAACAACAACTTCAACGCCAGAATTGCTGAATTTGCTTGCTCTATCAGGAGTTGCGAGAACGGCGATGCGCTTGAACTGATGTCTCTGCCTGATAAGCTCATCCAGGAGAGGCTTTCCGAGAGCGCCGCTTGCACCGATCAGGAGGATTGAAACGTCTGCCATGTTCTGAGACTTGATAGTGAGCTAGGGACCAATATTGATAGTATCTTCGACTTGAGTTGAAGTGACCATATTGGACTCCCCAGGAAGCAAGGCTTGTATTTGTACTTTTTATGGCATACACGGTACGATTGACGCAAGAGTTGTTGACGTTTGTAAGGTACATCCGCCTCTGGTTGAATTGATAATGCGGGAAAGCCACATACCCTTGTCTGCTGAGTTATCCAGGTGTGAGACTTAAAGCTGAGACCTCTGGTTGCATACTGACCTATTACGGCCGCACCTGTCGTCCAGCCTCGACTCAAGTCACGTTTCTTTCCTAATTCGGACTGTGGTATATCAAATGACGGCATTCCTTTCAGGCGCTCCCAGACAGAAAAGATGACTAATAGTAGGCAAGCGTCGCTCGATATTCACGGCCGTTTGAGATAGGCTTGCTGCATCTAGACGACTGTCCGATCTTTGGAATGCTCCCGAAAAGCTAGGGAACCGTTCGTTCATCTGCTCGAATCTTGCCGTACTCGCTCGGTCCTGCTCAGCAGTTCGGTCGCAGAGAGTGTGCCAGAGTAGTTGAGAGCCCAGTCCGTGATAAATGTTGTCCGCTGCCTAGGTAAATCACACTCATTTCGAGAAACGCAGGATATTCGTTGGTGAGCATGATAGCATGGAAGCAGGCATGGCGAGGTCTCGTTGAGCAAGCTCCAATCTCGGATGGTGTGAAGGTCGCTTGAGTGAGTCTGATCGATCAATCTTCCTGCCATGCACTCTTTTTCACCACCTCCTGAGACCTGGAGCTTCCGATGCCCACCTTGACCTTCGACCAGTCACGCTGCATAAGGTGATCACCTTCTCTTGCTTCCGACCTGCTTTTCTCCAGGTAGAAACGGCCACTCTCATAGCAACCCAAGTATAGACCGCTGCCAAGAGAGGTCCAGCAAGCTCGGAGAAGAGCCCCTCGGAACAGGCCTCGGGTGCCTTCGGTCTTAAGAATATCTCTGGCCACGGTGAATCCGCTTTTGCGCGACCCCTGAACACCTTCCAAGAGGAATTTAGATGCTTTCCCTTTGGGGTCTGCTTTCGGGCCGTCGTCACCAGATCCTGCAGCAAGCATGATTCTAGTCTTGACCACGTCGATCGGAGTCGTGATCCACGCAGCCCCGCTTCCAGCGATAGCGGCACTCATCGCCGTAACACGCGCGCGCTCAGCTATTCCATCGACGGGATCCCCGCCTTTTTGGTTCTTCCGCTTTTGCATGAAATATCCTTTCAGAAACTCAAACGTAGGGAATTGGAGAGCGGTAAACGGCAGGTTTCTCGCAGCCAGCGCGGTGTACCCTCTCCATAATCTTGAAGGATTCTTTCTGAAATGCCTGAAAACTTCCAAGGAGGTAGATGTTCTCTTCCCTCGAGCACTAAGCATTTGAGCATTTTGCTTGAGGACTTCCGCGGGAGTCAGGATAGCGCAGCTGACAAGCTCAGCACCACCACTCGCCGCAGCATGGATCGCAGGCTGAGGAAGGAATATCGTGGAGTTTGGAGGAACTGCTTCCGAAATACCGTACTTCAAGGCTTCGTAGGTTGTAAAGAATGCGCCTGACGAGGGAATGGTAATGAGGATGACGGAACCAACGCCTTGATAGAGACCGCGGAATAGAGAAGGTTTCGTCTTGCCACTCGCATCCTTGTAGAGCTGTTCATAGTGTTGTGATTGGAGACGTGTCTTGAGAGTGTCGAGGGGATAGACGAGCAGATCGACGGTGAACGCAGCAAATGCACCAGCCTATGCAAGATGTCAGGCGAAGGAATGAAGCTGGATCTGATGCCACTCACAAACCAGATATCAAGACTGGTATTATTAGACATGGAAGAGACGCGCGCAGCAACGGGATGAGGTCTATATACTCCGTTAAAGAAAGGAAAACAAAAGGTGAACTGGGTGGTCGACCAAGTATCATCAATCGGCGGACAAATAATTTTTGGAGAGAACGTCATGCACCTTCCAGCTCCGAGGAGGGTTCTCCGACAAGGCTGCGGCTCAGCCTCGTGGCTGAAATTGTGCTTTGGGCGTCCGCAGTTGCAATCAACCATTACCTGGTGTAATTAGCTTGCTGCAGTAGTTCCTGGCACTAGCGAGGGGCTCCCGTGCCAAGATATACTCAAAAATACTAACACTTTCCACCCAGAAGACGTCCTGTCGACAGAGAGAAATGAACACTCATTATCCACGTGACTCTCGGCTCACTTTCCTCTCCCACCATCACCGCCGCCAAAATGTCCCTCCCCACAAAGAAGTCGGGCAGAACTCATCCCATACGAATCTACATCAAACCCGCTGCAGCCATGGCGTCCGTACAGGAGTACGTCCCTTTGTGCTCTTTTCAGTACTGGCCAGATCACTGACAATCATGCAGGAAAGAGACGCAGGTGAAGGCGGTCCAGCTCGAGGCGCTGGTAAGTGCAATTTCTTTTCATTCCGCCCCCAGAAGTGACTGACAGGATGAAAAGGTCGTCATGAAAGTGATCAAGCACTGCGCAAGTCGCTTCCCCACCGTCGCAACCGGCTCCCTTGTTGGCATGGATAACAATTCTGGCACCCTCGAGGTGACCAACACATTCCCCTTCCCTGTTGTGGATCTGCCACCCGAGGCTCAGTTCGACAACCAACCGCAACACTTCAACGCTGCTGCCTCCGCTCCTCGCGCGAAGGCCAATACCGCCTACCAAGCCGAGATGATCCGCATGCTGCGTGAGGTCAATGTCGACGCGAACAATGTGGGGTGGTACACGAGCGCAAACCTGGGAAATTTTGTCAACGCGAATTTCATCGAGAATCAGTACCACTATCAGAAGGAATTGAACGAGAAGACCGTGGCACTGGTGCATGATGTCAGTCGTAGCTCTCAGGGGATCCTGAGCATTCGCGCCTTCCGACTGTCACCGCAATTCATGACTGCATACAAGGAGAACAAATTCACCACCGACAAGTAAGTAATGCTCCCATGCTTCGCTCAATTTTTGAAAGAGCCTCAATGCTAACGACCACTGAACAGTCTCCTCAAGTCCGGTCTCAAATACTCAGACATCCTCGTCGAAGTCCCTGTCTCGGTCCACAACTCCCACCTTGTCACGACCTTCCTCCACCAAGTGCCCCGGATGCTGGCCTCAGGCGTCATGAAGCCTCCCAGCTCTGTTGACGAGATCGAGAATAACCCCATTGTCAAGAACGACACCCTCGCACCATCCTTCGAGTCACTTTCGATCTCCATTGACCCCTACCTCTCTCAAACATGCGACAACCTTCTTGACAGCATTGAGACCCACCATGTTGAAGCCAACAATTTCTCGTACTATTCCCGCGCTCTGGCCCGCGAGCAGGCTAAGATCCAGCAGTGGCAGCAGAAGCGCAAGGCGGAGAACGCGGCGAGAGCACTGTCGAAGCAGCCACCTCTGCCAGAGGATGAGTGGCAGAAATTGTTCAAGTTACCTACCGAGCCGAGCCGTTTGGAGAGCATGTTGAATAGTCGCCAGGTTGAGCAGTATGCCCGACAAGTCGATGGCTTTGTTGCAGGGACCACAGGGAAGATGTTTGCTGTTCGAGGGAACCTGTTGCCTGGTGAAGGGACCGAGAACAGCCTGCCCCGAAATGAATAAGTCGGGAGATGAGCGTAATGCCATCAGTACGAACGCCATATGTTGCAACTCCTCGTGATGGCAAAGAACAGCCACCAGCATGTGCTAAGTGGAGAGGAAAAGAGAGTGAGCAGAGCCAAGAACTGATTGAGCCCATGACTCGCACTAATTCGAGGAAGGTCGAGCTGACTGACCGCTTGACCGGGCTTGGAATATGTGACGAGGTGGGCGAAACGAGGCGAATCAAAGCTATGAATTCGATGCGAAGTGATGCGCAATGAAACCGAAACCGAGCACAGCGGGTACGGAGTGCAAGATGAGCAATGAAATGAAACACATGACAACATGGGTCGGATGTGACTTGGACTTTCCTGCCTCTGCCACTTCTGCTCCGAGCGCGCCATACATTCTGACTGCGTGGGATGCCACAGTTTGGGAGGATGGTGATGATATGAAGGGGCGTTTTGGTGTCACGGACCACCCTGAGGAGGCGCTCCAGCGCCTTTGCAGCTGGGTTCCGGCTAAAGATAAAGGGGCAAAAGTACTTTTTGTATTTAAGCCAGCCATGTGGCCGGTTTTAGGACGATGGAGGCTTTCGTATGCCAAGCTGCCAGTGGCAGAAACCCGCAGGCCTTGCTTCGTTACACCTTTCAGCTTGAACATGGAAGAGAGATAGAGCTGATACAGAGCAAAGAACAGTCGGCGATTCAGTTGATCGCCGTACACACCTGTTACATTCTTGTGTTTAAATATCGACTCTCGTTTCTCTGACTGGAGGAATCACCGTCGGCCTCTCACGAAGAAGGGCTGTAGCAATGAATCTCTACAACGCCCTCGGTTGGCTCGAGCTGGGGAAAGTTGTAGATCTATCTATCTGATCGGGACTGAATGGAGTGGCTGGAGAGGAGACGGTCGGATCGGGCCTTTGTGTCGTCCACGAGGCGCAGAGCTTGCTCGCACCTCGTGGCAGGACTGTATATTGGTCTTCTGCTCTCTCTGGCCCATGCAGCTCGATCGCACCGTGAGTTATCTTCTCCGTGATCGCTGAGTCGAGCCGTTCAGGACCTATCTTCATCTGCAATGTTGTGGTTGAGTGATGCAACAAAACCCGGTCGCACAATATCACACCTGTAAAGCGGATGGGGACTAGGGGTTCCTGGGTTCCTGATTAGGTCTACGGTGGCCTGGAAGGCGAGCTATCTGGGGCCTTGGATGACGTGATGCTAAGAGGTCTCCGTACTACACACTAAATCCCTAGTCTTCCCGTCCAAGGAAGGTGACCCGAAGTTAGCCAAGGCTTCTTGGTTTATCACGTGATTGTCACATGACGAACTAGCGTCTTGGCAGGGAGTGCGAGTGTCGATAACACCGTCCAATCCTGCGTCTCTCTTCTATCCTCAGATCAGAGCTGAGACAAGTGCTTGGGACATTGAGTCCCGTTTTGAGCCATTGAGGCCGTTTCCCCTGCTCCGGTTGTGACCAGTCGTTCTTCGGGATTACCCTGTGTTGCACCTCATGAACTCCTTGGAACAGACACCAGTCGGGAATAACCAGCGCTGTTACCGAAAGAGACACCGGATTCTGAGATCCTGCATTGAGTGCCATCGTCGCAAACAAAAGGTCAGTGTCGAGCGGAAGCCGTACATTTCAGAATTCCTCGGCCACCCACTTTCACAAAACGCCACTCAACGGTGATGTTGGCGGGACGGACGTTGATTGTCAAATCTAGTGTGACCGTCTCCGACCGTGTCAGCACTGCACGGGTCGGGGGAAGCCGGTAGGGCTCCTGGTACGATGTCTACGGTGTACTCTGATGTAGGGACCACAGGAGCTATGCCGTTACGAAAGTAACGACAACCAATATGGCCAACGCCGCGCCACAGATGCAGGTATGGCCAGCTCTGGTGAGAGCAGGATCGAATCTTCCACGACGTCGTATTCGTCGTCACTGCCAGAGACGAATCCGTTATCCCCGCAAGACCATATGGACCTGGTCAGCATTTTGGGTTATTCCACTCACAGTGAACACAATACCTTCAGCTTGGTCAAAAAGGTGGGGGCCACCTCTTCATCCACTTCGAGCCCTCTGTCCACCTTGAATAGCAAGCAAAGAGCGCTGGACCACAAATATCAATCCCTGATCCGTCAGTTACCACCAAAGGAGCATATCGACATCCTCGTGCAGCAGTTTTTCTCGGAGATCAATTGGCACTACGACGTGATCGACGAGATCACCTTTCGTCAGCAGCTCGAGACGTGGATTCGCATCCCTTACTCGGCTCATAGCAATGCGATGAGTGTCCTGCCCGCTGACGTCCGTGCATTTCCTTCCCTTCTTTTCCAGGTTATGGCCCATGCGTTGATCCATCAACCGGTGGCCGACGGAACTTTCTCACGTCTTGAATCCCTGAAATACGCATCGGAGATGACATTCGTCGATTTGGCATGTGACTTCTCCGAAGCTGGCTTCTCAGCCCTGGAAACGATGGGAAAGGGGGAAGTGACCTTTGTGGCGGTACAGTCAGGGCTCCTGCGGGCATCCTTGTTGAAAAATACCGGAAATGTCATCGAGGCATGGCATGTTCTCGGCACCGCCATTCGGGACGCGCAGGAAATCGGGCTCCATGCAGAACTGGCCTCACCAGACTCGTCGGCAAGCATTGACGCTCAGTGGGATAAGGAGATGAGGCGCAGGATCTGGTTTGTGCTGCATAACTGGGATATTCACATGGCTGTCGTGCTAGGGAGACCTATCACGACCATGATGGCCGCGGGAAACAAGCTTTCTCTTCCGGACGACCTGGCACGCAGAGAGAGTGGAACACCGCCGAGAAAGAGAACGGGCCACGACCCTCCCACTCCATCCAGTGTGATTCGTGTTGGTTACGACGTTGCGTACCGATATTTTCCACAAGTCCATCGCCTTGAGAGCCGTGGAGCACGGACAGAAGACTACAACATGGTTCGAGAGACGCACGCCACGATCGTGGAGAACATGGACCGTATCCCACTTTGGTGTCGAGATGAAGACCCGGATGTCCACTTTGAAGAATTAACAGGGTGCCACTGGCTCCCGGCGGCACGCCTGGCATTGACGAGCGGGATTTATTTTGTCTTGCTCTCGCTGCATCGACCTTACATATTCAGCGTGGCTGAAAGTCGGACCGAGGCACTCGCGGCGGCGCTCAAGATCGTCACAGTCCAGAGGCGATTGTTTCAGCTGTCAGCACCGCAGCAGAACATCTCATTCAACATGGTCTACCCATTGTTTGACGCAATGGTCATTTCACTGGCCACGATTGTGCTCTTTCCGAATGAGAACCTCGACATGCTCTCGGAAATGGTCCAAAATCTGCGCTGGGGTATGGACATGCTCAGCAAGATCGGCGAACACAGTGCCATGGCTCGGGCGGCATACGGCGTTGTGAAGAAGCTGTTCTCCCACTTGGAGAAAGCTGGCGGACACGCTCTTCAGCACTCGAGTCACACAAGCGAGGGCGTGACAGAAGGTTCGGCCACTGGGACCACAGGTCTGAACCCAGGTTTGCCAGTGGGCAACGCCGACGCTGAATTCTTGTCACCGAGTTGCCCGCAAATGGAGTGGAGGACGCTGGACCCTCCCCATTTTGACGTTGAGACTCTTTTGCCTCCGCAGCCAGTCCACGATCTATTCTATCAAGACATTTCTGCACCGGACATACAGGACGCCTGGCAGGCCCCCGACCTTTTCGTAGGGGACCTAGCATTCGACGGTCGTTACCCAGACAACAGTTTCTGGAGCTTCATGAGCAACTTCAGTCTATCGTGAGAAAATGCAGAGGACGTTCATGATACTACATATATCCCCTAATTTTGTGTACTTTGGATTCAAAATCTGCATACCTTCTGCTCTCCACCACCGCACCCCCTTTACACCCCGGCAAAAAACTTCGCAATATCGCCCACATTTCTGTCGACCGCATCAGGCTTATCGTAATTCTCAAAGTGAGAGACATCGTTGTGCCAAATGAGTTTTTTCTTTGCGGCCGGAATGGATTCGAAGTGTCTCTTGGCCGCGGCCGAATTCATACAATTGTCTCCGTGGATGATCAAGGCCGGCTTATCGAGCTTCGCCACGCCTGGGACGGTGGTGTAGGAGAAGTGATCCAGGTCGCTCATGACGGCGTAACGGTTCTCGAATCCCTTCAAGGTCCACGGTCCGTACCACGCCCATACCACCGGGCCCGGGAGACCTGCCAGGGATCCGGTGTTTGGATCGGCGGCCTCCGGGTCGACTAGGGGTTGATACACGACTTCGCCGGTGGAGTCGTACACCTCGCGAGCTTTGCGGGCGCGTTCGAGACGCGCCTTCAACAGCGCCTCCCCTTGCTCCGGCGAGGGCATCTTGAGCGAGCCAATGTCGACGCCCGGTTCCCAGGCCACACAACCTGCGCAGATCATGTAAATGTCCGTCTCGTGGTCACGGAAATAACCTGAGACGGATGCCGCGGCCTTGACCCGCTTGTCGTACGAGGCAATGTCCAGGCTCTCGGGCCCGCCTTGACAGATGCCGACGAGGAAGAGTCGGGATGCGTCGACGTCGCCGCGCGAGACGAGATAGTCGAGCCCCGCGACGGCGTCCTCGTTTTTCATCTTCGGGTTCTCGAGCCGCCGCGGCATTCCCGTGCTCTCGCCCACCGTGCGTGGGTCAAAGATCAGCGCCGCGTAGCCCTCGTCGGCCAGACGCGTGCCGTACTGCGTCGGCGCCTGCTCTTTGACGAACGAATAGGGCCCGGTAAGGACGATGCCCGGAGGCTTGGCGACGCCGATGGGTCGGAAGAGAACCCCAGCAATGGTCTCGCCATGGGACGGATAGCGGACATTCTCTGTCGTGTAGTTCCCGTGAGCCGGCATATTGCGGGGTCCAATAATGAATAGGTCAGATGAGACGCAGTTGCGAGAAATTGAACTGGTGCCTGCTCTACTGTATTGCTATATGAGTAGCACTATGAAGTAGCACTATGAAGTAGCATTATGAAGAAACAAAAGATTTCAACGGCGATTCACCTTCGTTCCCTTTATACCCGGGGAAAAGCAGAGCTCGACCATGTCGATCAAGCTCCCAAATTCCGCAAGATCGTGGAGAAGTATCAAAGGGCCCGGACGTCAGCCTAGAAAGGCTGGTGCATTATCGCCGAAAACTATCAACAAGTGGATCCACGAGAGCCTTTTATCGCCGATGAATCGCTATCCAGGGATAGGTGTGTGAGGGCCCCATAGCTTGCCGCGCATGGAGGCTATACCACATCGATCCACTAGGATACAGACTAGGCAGCATACGCAACCGCATCCGATGATCTTGGTGCTGTGGGTCATATCCTCGAGTCTACTAGGGTCATCTTCACCCCGGGACAGTCAGAAGTGAAGTGGACGAGATACGGCCGGTGGGAATACGATCTCAGTACGTGAGTAACAAGGCAGCTCGGCAGCTCTGACATGTGCAATACCGGAGTGGTAAAATCCAGCGATTCCAAGGTAGAAACAACCAGGCATTCCGTCATCGATGCGGCAGCTCTACCCATCTCTCCCTTTACCAAACTCCGCAGCATTGCGAGGAATGCAATTCCTCAATCATTGGCGACCACAGAGTAGAATCTAGTTGGTATCAAGGAAAGCGTAACCTGGGAAATGTGGAAAGAAGCTAAAGCCAAGGGCGAGATTACCTGGGATTTGGTAACGTTCTGTCCGCCTATGATATATGGCCCACCATATCACGAAGTTCACCAGGACAAGAGAGCGGAGGGGTTGAACACGAGTTTGAAGGACCTAATCATAGGTTTGCTGGGCCAGAATCCAGAATTTGGGCCTAAGGTCGCGACGCCATGGAATTGTCTTGCCACAAGTAGCTGGAGCAGCAGGCACTGGCCGTACATGTCGTTCTCCGTCAGTGTGGACTTTCTCACTGCTCCGCCTTTTACCCTTTGACCTTACAATTCATTCATTGACTCAACACCGATTCTTGACGTATTTGCTGCAGCAGATCCCTGCTGTAGAACTCTTACTCTCTGACTGTATCTGGTGCAACCGTTTCCCGTTTGAGTCCCCATTTCGATCTATTTTGACCTGCCAATCTTGAGCCCGTGCACTTGCCCGTCATGGGTTCTATGACTGCCTAGACTACTGTCGACATTGAGGATGTCCTCACCAAGCTTACCGCTGCTGAAAAGACTGCTCTGCTCTCTGGCATCGGCTCCTGGCACACTGCCTCCATTTACGAACTTGGTGTCCCTTCGATGCGAATATACCTGACGGTCTCAACCGGAGTGCGTGGAAGTCGCTTTCTCGATGGTGTGCCCGCAGCCTGTCCTCCCGGTAGTGAGCGTCTCTCTGACCATCTCAGGATCAATGACCAATGCGGCATAGAAACTGGCCTTGCAGTGACCTGGGACACAGGTTCTGTCGCGAAAGGAGGAAGACTGCAGGGCCGGGAGGCTATCATGACGAAGCGAATACTGTGATATCTGTATCGGGGACCAACAAAGACTAGGTCGATGGTGCGGAGGTTGTGTAAGCATAACTCTCGCAACAAAGACCTAACATTAACCGACCAGCAAAAGAGTTGTATGCTTTTACCAAGTTGCGGGGATGGATGCCGTGATGCTTGGACTATGTAAGCATATATGTGGAATAAACTGGTTGGTAACTTGAGCACATCAACACCACTCAAGGGAAAATTCAAGATCGACGAGACAAGATGGTGGCCGGTGTTGGAAGCCAATATGCTGATCTTCGAATTATGATGCAAGAATGATTCTGACTGTTGTGTATATCTGGAGCACATGGGCGAGTGTGAGCTGGAAAAGTGATGTTCTCTGGCGATGAATGAATAGATCACAGCCAACATAGAACCTGAAAAGGTGCATTAGACTGGTGGATCTTGTCGTGAATGAACTGAGAAGAAGATGCTTTATTGTGTGAACTAAGATAGCTGACAATCGTTCCTCAGTCGATCATGCCCAGCGAACCGCCGAATGGACTAGGATCGTTTGTCCTGCGGTAGAGCAACATTGTGTGCGCCCGCCAACGGCTTGTCTGACCTGTTCTATGTCGAAGCGACGTCGTAACAACCACAGCGTGACATCGCCGATAACCACCAACCCAGCCGACGTTCACATTGTCGATGTTCGACCGCGCAATAGTCATGCGAAAGTGGAAGGAATTCTGAGCCTGTGGCAAATCCGAGAATCAACGCCAACGTACAATACTACATCCGTAGCTCCACAACGGCCGCCACTGAGACATGCCCCTTTCAAGAGGAAAGCTACCCGAGATCAACAACGCCCGGAAAAGTCACAATTTGGCATCTCCGACGCCGGTGATGTTCCTCGATAACAGGAAATTCGGGTAGGGAAAGTCGGCATTGTCGTTTGCCCCATGGGTTCTCCAGTGACCTCCATCGACTGGGGAAGGGTCAGTCACAAAGTCTCGACAAGGACCGGGGCCTGGTGAGACTTACCAACGATGATGGTTCCATTCATATAGCTGCCTGTGTCAGCAAACAGGTAGATGGTCGCGTCGGCCACGTCCTTGACCGTCCCCCATCGGCCGGCGGGAATGCCTTTCATGGGATTCTCGCCCCGTTTCAACCGCATCAGCCGCATTGTGCCCTCGGTTGCAGCGATCGGCCCTGGTGCGATGATATTGGACGTGATGCCCCGCGGCCCGAATTCGATGGCGGTGCAAGAGGACAGAGTGTCGACGCCGGCCTTTGCGGCGCTGCCATGCGTTATCAGCGCCGTGCCTCGGTAGTGAAGAGTCGCGCTGATGAAGATGATCCTGCCACCGGTGCCAGAGGCTGGGGCTGTTGGGGCAATGTTAGTCAGTTCCGGGGATCGGTCGAAAGGTGTGCTCGGGGGACACTCACTTCTGCCTCCGTCGTGGGTATGTTTCGATGCCGATTTCTCCAGAGCAGGCAGTGTGGCCTTCAGGGTGTTATACGAGCCGACGAGATCAATGTCCACCACGGCCTTGAACGCCGCGGGGGAGAGCGAAGTAATGGGCGACAGAAAGGTTCCCGCCGCGCCGGCACTGCATCAAACAGGATGAGACATAGTCGTGGCGGGGAGGTCGAGATCGGGGTTTTCTTACATGACGAAGTCGATGCCTCCTAAGGCGGCCACACAGCGATCCACTGCGCTCTGGAGACTGTTGTAGTCTCGAACATCGACACCCCCGTAACCGAGCACTTGAGCACCTGGCCGGGACGCCGCCAGATTCTTGGCCATGCTCTCCGTCTTTTGGACGTTGCGACCGATGATGCAAGCGTCCGCCCCCAAGAAGACCATGGCCCTCACCTGGCCACTGCAAATGTCGCCTGCTCCGCCGGTGCAGAAGACGACTTTGCCGTCTGTGCGAGTCGGTCACGTCGTCAGCCACGGCCGATTAGCAGCGAACCATGAGCGGACTTACTGAAGATACCATCCCTCCAGCTGTCGCTGAGGGTGTCTGAGCGAGTGGGTGCTACCATGATCGATCAGATTTCGTGCCACGAAGCACGAGACTCGGCCTCAGAGAGTGTCCAAAGGATTCTAGACTCCGTTCTAAAAATAAAATAAAAAAAGGACCTATGTATGGATCAAAGAAGACGCACATCGTTCTGGACGCCTGCGCATACATCACTGACGTGGTGGCGGCCCTTGGTGGGAGGCTCAACTCCCCCGCGGCCCGCGGAGCAGGAACAGCATAAAGTCTGGCAGTGATCGCTGGAGCTGTGCATGCGACACTTGCATTTACAGCAGCGATTGACCCATGCTAGCCATCATGTCCGAGGATGATACTGCTGTTGTCTCGTATTCCGTCCAAGGCAAATTCGCGATCGTCACCCTTAACAACCCGAAACGCCTAAATGCCTTGACCACGCCACAGTTTGCCCGGCTGGCGGGCATCATGACCGAAATCGATGGCCTAGACCAAGTCCTGGTCACGGTACTGACAGGAGTAGGCCGCTTCTTCTCTGCGTGAGTTCATCTTGGCTTAGCTTTCTGTCGATACTAACCGCGAATCTATTTGATCTAATCCGTCCCGCAAACAGTGGTGCCAATCTCGCAAGTCGAGAACCCCAGACCGACCCGGACACGGGGCGACACTGGCTACAGACATACGTGGCCAGGAACATCTTCCTCACCGACGCTTTCTCTACGCACTCGAAGATCATCGTGGCCGCCTTGAACGGGCCGGCCGTGGGAGGCGGCGCAGCTGTCGCAGCCTTTGCTGATTTCGCCTACGCGACGCCCCTCACGTACCTGCTCACACCGTTCGCCTCGTTGGGCCTGGTGGCCGAGGTCGGCACCTCGTACACGCTCGTCCAGAAACTCGGCATAAGCCTAGCCAACGAGGCACTGCTCGTTGGGCGGAAGATCTCGTCGGCCGAGCTGGTTCGGTGTGGCTTCGTCAACAAGATCATCCCGGCAGACGGCGAGATGTTTTTACCGGCCGTCATGAAGGAGCTGAACGACCAGTTTGGGCATCATCTCAACCTCGAGAGCGTGCTCTGCATCAAAGCGCTCATCAACAGACCCAGCCGCAAGGCCAGGGACATGCAAAATGTGTCCGAGGTATTTGCAGTGTGGCGGCGACTGACCTTGGGCGTGTTCGACCGAGAAGTTGACCGGATGCAGTCGGGGCAGAAGAGACACAAGATGTGATGGACCAGGCAACGTTGTGGTACCAGAGGAGCCCAGCTTCGTCTCCGTCACACAGTGAAACGAGGTGATATCTGGCTCGGCTGGCGGTTAACGGCAAGAGACGTGATTCGCCATTCCCGACGCGCTTCATCTTTAGCTTCTGCGGTGGCTCCGGGTCACAGGCTGGGGTGGATAACAGAATATGTAATGGTCCTTTTGGCTGCTGCGTTGCCATCCGTGGCCGCCGTCCGAGGACGATCGTGCCGAGTAAGCACAACAACATGAAGAGGTGCTGAAGTATCGAGCAGTGTGCAGACGTAGACGCCCAATTCCACATACCTTTCTGCAATTTCGCTGTAATCACGTAGCATCTAACAGACGTCGACTCGCCATCAACAATGCCACCCCAACAGAAGTCCCCCGTCTACGTGCTGGGCGTCGGCATGACCAAGTTCGTCAAGCCCCGCGGCAAAATCGATTACAATGAGCTCGGCTACGAGGCCGGCATCAAGGCCATGCTCGACGCACACATTACCTATGACGACGTCGACCAGGGTGTGGCCTGCTACTGCTATGGCGACAGCACCAGCGGCCAACGTGTCTTCTACCAGTTCGGCATGACGGCCATCCCGATCCACAATACCAATAATAATTGCGCGACGGCCTCGACCGGGCTGGTGCTAGCCCGAAACACCATTGCATATGGCGGTGCAGACTGTGTGCTCGTGGTGGGATTTGAGAAGATGATGCCGGGAAGTCTGTCTAGCCACTGGCAAGATCGCACGGATCCGATTGAGAAGACGATCGACATGAAGCACAAACTCCGAGCGGCGACCAAAGCACCCATGGCCGCCCAGCTATACGCGACGGCGGCCGAGGAGTATATGAACAAGTACGGACGTTTCAAGATCTTGATAGGTTTCGGGGCTGACGTTTTGCAGATATGGTGCTGAACCAGACGACTTTGCGGAAATCGCTCGCATCAACCACGAACATTCGCAGCGAAACCCCTACTCGCAGTTCCGTGACGTCTATACCCGCGACCAGATCCTGCAGTCGCCTCGTGTCGACGGAGTCCTGACAAAGCTGCAGTGCTGTCCCACGAGTGACGGTGGCGCCGCGGCGGTGTTGGTTTCCCAGGCCTTCCTCGACGCTCGGCCCGAGTTAAAGTCCCAAGCCATCCTGATCGCAGGGCAATCGATGCTGACCGACCCGGCGAACACCTTCGATGGCAGCGCACTGAACCTGATTGGACACCGCCTCTCTGCCCGGTGCGCCCAGACGGCTCTCCAGGAGGCCAACACCCGGATCGAGCAGATCAAACTAGTCGAGTTGCATGACTGCTTCTCGGTCGCCGAGATGATCTGGATTGACGCCCTCGGTCTCAGCGAGCCGGGCAAAGCTCACGAATTCGTTCGACAAGGCAAGAACACCTACGGGGGCCAGGTCGTCATCAACCCTTCGGGCGGTCTCATCTCCAAAGGCCACCCCCTCGGCGCCACCGGCTTAGCTCAGTGCGCCGAGCTCGTCTGGCAGCTGCGCGGCTGGGCTAATAACCGCCTAGTTGAGAGCATTTCCGTGGCACTGGCTCATAATCTTGGGATGGGAGGCGCCGGGGTCGTGACGGTCTACAAGAGAGCTGACGGAAAGTTAAACCGCCGGGTCGAGAATGCAGAGGTGGCGAAGATTACGGGCCTAGGCTATAATCCGGCTGTCGAAGCTCGGGGTTTCACCAAGGCACAGGCAGAGTTGGTTCGATCGAGGTCCAACAGCAGCCATTGGGCTCTGGGGGACACCCAATCGAAGGTGGAGGCGCGATTTTGAGAGGCTGGAAGGGGGCAGATCATCTGGCATTGGCATAGTGACAGCTGTCAGTCACAGAATAACAGTATGGCAGTACGTAGACATTATCATGGAACACGTGTCACAAGATTTAGGTTTCAATGTCGACTCCCGGTATTGGGTTGAAGAAGTTGAACTGGTGCTCCTCCGAGATCTCGCCCAGCAACCCGGCCGATTCTGCGTGAAAGTTCTGGAGATATTGCCAGCTTTGAGCCGCATCGGTCGGCTCCTCCATCAGGCCCCAGAAGCCTTCATGGAACGCCAAGGGCGAGACGCCCGGTGGCAGCTCGGTTGGATTGGGAAAAGGCGCGTTGGGAGCTGGCACAGCTGTTTCTGTGGCAGGCTCGGCTTTAGGGTCCTCCTCTTCACCTAGAAACTTCTGGAACGCCGTCGACTGGTCCTCCAAGTTGAAGGTTACAAATGTTCGGCTGCGCAGCGGCTCGCTACGTACGGGTGCGCGATGGCAGAGTCTCTTGGTCGAGGCGACCAGGTCCACAAAATCGCCTAGAAAGTCGGCCGAGTAGTAGTTTTCGCGCAGCTCGTTGATGATGTGCGAAGTCTGCTCAAAGTCACGCAGAGCCGGTTCCTGGAGCGACTCGTCCTTGGAGCACAGGTCAGAGATGTGGATGACGATCGACGCGATCATGCAGCTCAACACGGACTGGGGGAGGTGGCGGGCTAGATCGGCATTGTGAAGCTCGACGACGAGCTCCGTGATGGAGTGTGCTGAGGTCCGGATCGATGTTCGGATCATGTCTTGAAAGCCTTCCTCGGTCGATGCAGGGGAGCAGCCCCGGGTCAGATGGGGGTGGCGAAGCCACGGGCGATACATCGAGATGATGGACAGGTGGTACAGCAGATGAAGCATCGCCCGCATCACCGCAAAGGCCTCCAAGTTCTCATCCAAAGGTTTTACGGGTACTTGAGTGGATTCGAGATCCGGCGGGAGATTTTCTCGCCAAGTGCGCAGATTGCTTTCGGATTCTCGCATCGACACCCATGCCTCGTCGGTCGTGACGGGCATGAGCTGGACTCGGGTGCTCGTAGGATCCACGGACGTGCGGTGGCGGTGGGAGTGATGTTCTGCCATCACGTACTGGTCCGCCATGATCTTGCTCAAGTGGCGATGAAGCTTGCATTGACTGACGAAGACCGTGCGGAGCATGTCCCACTTCCGCCGACTCCAGTCGAGTGTAAAAGCTTTGAGGCCGGCCGTGTCCTGGACTTTCCAGTCATCGAGTGCAGGCTCGGGGACATTCCAGTCGTGTGGTCGAATGGAGATGGGCCGCTTCGCCCCGACCGCGAGGAGGGGGTCGCGATTGAGAAGGCACCACCACAGACATTTCCGGACGTGCTTTTCGGACTCGGACATGTCCAGGGGGGTCGGATCCTTGCTAAGGCCTTCCCTATGCGCCAGGCCGACAGCGATCTGAAGCCAGTGATAGCCGTCTTCCTGATCGTCAGGGATATCATACCAGGTGGAGAGAAGGAGCAGAGCTTGAATGACCTGGATCCTGTTCTGCTCGTATCCGAGATAGTACAGTGCCTGCAACCGTTAGGGCGGACTTTCCAACAAAGTACCCGCGGGATAGTCACCTTGGTTCTTTGATAAAGGGCCCGCCTCGCCGCCTTGCGAGTCAGAAAGCCCATCATGCGCAGCAGCTTGATGTCAACATGCGCGCAGCCAAGAAACATGACCGCTTGAAAGAGCAGCAGGCTGACACTGCCATTGAAGCCTCTTAGACCGGCCACATCCATCAGGAAGTCATCGATGCTCAGGACGGGCATGTAAATATGGACGAACTCGGCGTAGCTACAAAGCACGGCATCACGGAAGCCGTCGCTGGGGATGTCGAAGGAGCCCTTTTTCTGCAGGTACTCCAGATCTGCGTTCGCCAGGTGGTCGGGGACGGGCGCGAAATAGCCTGGCAGGGTTGGTTTGTTCACCAACCGTCGCTGGATCTGCTCAATGGTCGTGCTGGAGGAGTGAGCGGACCGTAGACTGGGGGACCTGGGAAAGGCCGGGTCCTTGGAGTTTCCTGGGAGCGCGTCAGAGCCAGCGTCACATTTCCGGGCCAGAGACACCCCTACCTTGATGAGAAGTTTCCGAGCTGATGCCCAGGACGGGGGAGCTTTCCAGGTCGGCTAAGGGTATCGGGCGCTCGATGGACTGGCGCTCGACCGAGCGAACCGACGCACTCTGAAATGGAACGATTTGTGGAAGCGGTGTCCGCATCTGAGCATTGGGTTCAATGACATTGGGGTTGGTGCTGGCCGACATGGCCCTCGCTGCAGGCGGCGGCGGCTGCTGCTGCTGCTGCTGCTGCTGTTGTTGTTGTCGGAGCTGGGCCGCTCTGTCCTGTCTTTAGAGCGTCAACACATGTCAGTCCTTCGTGATCCTGGCCCAGACAGGAATTCGAAAAAAGACCTACTTTGTCATCCGTCTCTTCGTGATGCGGCACACGACGTTCTCCAGCTTGCAATTGTTGCACGGGATTCCCGCTTCTACGTTGCAGCGGATCTTGCGCCACTGGCAGTATGAACATGCCGCGCTCGCTCGCCGCTTCCAGCCTTTTGGTGCCGAGGGAAGAATAACGGGCAAGACCGCAGCCGGCGGCTGTGTTGTGGCCGGCTCGGCCATGGTGTCGACTTCAGATGTTCGATGGGTGACGATGAAAGGCAGATACGTCGATAATGACGGGCACGGGGAGGCCACGAGGTTGAAAGATTTCGCAAACCCCGGGGGAGGGGGGAGGGGGGGGCCCTGGAGATTTTGGGGTATTCGGCTGGCGCTGCAGGGAGCCCAGGAGGGAGTGGCGAGACCCCCCGATGATGCCCGCAGACTTGTATATATTTTGTAGGATGACGGACTCATTGGGCTGGGAGGGAATGGCTTGGGGGGGTGGGGAGGGGGGTGGCTAGGGCAGCTATGCCCAGGCGTGACACCCCAAAGGAGGCCAAAGACGGTCACGATGATAGACTTACTCGGCTCCAGCTATCTCACGCTGCATCAGTCACATGCGGTAACGCGATGGCGGGCTCTTCTCCAGAGTTTGGGTCACGTCCTGGGGGCCCTCGCTGGAGGTCGGCCACAAATCGGTGTCGAGTGAGCGCCGCTGGCGGCCGCACGACCAGATTCTGCCCTCTCGACCCGTTAGCCAATTCCGGTGCCACGGCTGACCTGAATGAGCGAATGCTCCAGATCTCCAAGCCGAAAACAAATATAGTCCATCATGAGGTGCGCCAACGTGGCGGGCAGAGGCTTCCTCGAGCTCGATCGTTCTGAGCTGTATCTCCAGCCTCATTGTCCTTCATCGGTTCAAACCTTCTGAACAGTCGTCAACATGCCCCAGAAATCACAGTGGTCGGTCGACATTCCCATCGTGTCGTTCCCGTCTTTGGTGTTGGGATCTCCCGACGCACAGCTGTCCGACCAACCGTGCTATTTGGACGCCGAGCAGCCGGAGGCCTTGCGAGTCACTCGCGCCGAGTTTGCATTATGGGCGAGAAGAGTCGCGGCCGGCCTGATACAGGCGGGATTGCGACCGAAGGATCGCGTCCTGGTGTATTCGGGCAACAACGTCTTCTACCCCGTGGTGTTCATGGGCGTGATTATGGCCGGTGGCATCGTCACCACAGCCAACCCGGCATTTGTGGCGCGTGAATTGGCATACCAACTCCAGGACAGCGGCACCAAGTTCCTCCTGGTCGCCGAAGGCAGCCTTCCCACGGCTCTGGACGCTGCCAAGATGGTCAATTTCAAGACGACAGACATGTTCATCTTCGACGACATGCCTCTTGTGGATCCGGGTCGCGCCCAAGGCAAGAGCGCCGTCCGTCACTGGAAACACTTGATCGCAACCCCTGAGGCGGGCGCCGCATTTCGGTGGGACGATGGCAAGTCACCAGAGTTTGTTCAGAGGACGGTCGCCATCCTCTACTCGTCGGGCACCACGGGCGTTCCCAAGGGTGTCGAGCTCAGTCACTACAGCTTGACGGCCAACATCCGGCAGCTCGACTACATGTTCAACCTGGATCCCCGCTTCAAGGCGGACGAAAACAACTCTCGGAATCAACGCATGTTCTGTCCGCTGCCGATGTATCATTCTCTCGGTCTGCTCTTCTATTCGGGGCTGGCGCTGTACCGACATATACCCGTCTACATTCTAAAGAAGTACAGCCTGCCCGCAATGCTGAAAGCCATCCAAGATCACCGCATCACCGAGTTGACCCTGGTGCCGCCCATGGTCCTTGCCATGGCCAAGAGCCCCGAGTCACGGAAATATGATCTCTCTAGCGTCCTCAAAGTTCAGGCCGGCGCCGCGCCCATGTCGCGAGAGACTTGTGTAGAGTTCGAGAGGCTATGGTCGAATGGACAGGTGAATGTGAAACAGGCCTGGGGAATGACCGAGTACGTGTGGCTTTCGTGGACGGGTGTTCGCTTGCTGACATGTTTCCAGAACCCCGACGACGGTCCTACATTGGGATGAACGCGATATCTCGACCACCCAGGCGGTCGGTGAGCCCGTGCCCAACTGCGAAGTCAAACTCATGGCCGACGACGAAATCCACGAAGTCCCATTCGGGCAACGAGGCGAGCTCTGGGTGCGCGCCCCACAGGCCATGAAGGGATATTGGAACAAGCCGGAAGCCACACGGGAGATGATCACTGCTGATGGCTGGCTGAAGACGGGAGATATTGCCTCACAAGACAAGGAGGGCAAATACTGGATCGTGGACAGGAAGAAGGTAGATTAATTTGTGGCGCCAACGACGTCTCTAACCGCTGTCTAGGAATTGATCAAGGTCAAGGGCAACCAAGTCGCCCCGGCCGAGCTGGAGGCATTGCTCTTGGAGCACCCCGACATTCAAGATGGCGCTGTAATCGGCCTCAAAGTGTTGGTTCAGTCTTCGTCCGCAACCATCCACAGAACTGACCGCAGCAGGGGCGAGGATGAAAAGCCTTACGCATACGTCGTGCGGAAACCAGGCAACCGGCTCTCGACAGACGACATCCTGGCTTTCATGAAAGAAAGAACGGCGCGTGTCAAGTGGCTCTACGGCGCCGAATTCATAGACAGCATCCCCAAAAACCCGGTACACCCAGCCCTCCTTCTTACCAGGCTCCACTAACCCGGACGCAGTCTGGCAAGATCCTTCGTCGGCAATTGCGGGAGTTTGCAGCCTCTCAGAAGAGCGGAGATGCGAATGCCTCGGATGCGAGACCGAAGGCGAAGTTGTAGATAGAACATGGAAGGCCTGCTAGAACGGTGGTCTCGACTAGGTAAGCAGGGACGATATGCCGATAGATCAAGGGTTGTCTTACTTTCTAGAATCTAACATGGTGGGTGGTGGTGGTGGTGGTGGTTAGACATGGCTCCGCGAGCTCTGACTCCACATTTTCTCCATACAGCTCGTAGCTGTGTCCACCAATGGGGTTTTCCAAAATAGCCGTGTTCCACGGCTCACCATCCTAGAGAGTTCGGACTAGCATGGGATCGAGTAGTCGGCAAGAAACAGGGCCCGGTAAGGATCTCGTGCCGCAACACAATGGATCCAACCGCGGAGCCGATTAAACCAAAAAAGGCTGTGAAAAGGTCTCAAAACCAACATCGTTCTGTCTCGAGGACGAGTCGAGGTGTACAGTGTGCCGCCAAACATGTCGCTCCGCTTCGATGGCCAGACCGTTGTAATTACCGGGACCAGCCATGGCCTGGGCAAGCATTATGCTAGATACCTGGGAAGCCATGGTGCCAACGTCGTCATCCACGACAGCAAAGACGCGGTAAGCAGGGTTCAACTCATTCGAGATGATGCACAGGCTGATACGGTCACCTCGCCTAGGGTTTCGTCGACGAGCTGGCAGTAGCGATCACGTCGGCGGGTGGCAAAGCGGTCGCAGTCTCGAATCCCGTGCATGACGGGAAGGGTGTCGTTGCTGCTGCAATCCAGGCATTCGGCCGCATCGACGCCATCGTCTACAACAATGGCGACTACCTGGACGGCGACTGGGCGGCAACAGGGCGAGATGAATGGGATGCGATGCTCGATCCGACCTTTCGAGGCGCCTACAAGGTCTCTTGAACCCCGATATGACGCGTTCGGAGTTTGCCCTGACCTTCGCTTCAGATTGTGAACGCTGCTTGGAACTACTTGAAGATACAAAAGCATGGAAGGATTCTTTGCACGTCGACTGTTGTGGAAAAGGAATATACATGTTCACCTTCTTATGCGGGTCAGTATTTGTCCCTTGTATTGGCCAGGAGGGTTGACAAATGTGGCAGCGGCAAAGTATGGCCAGCTGGGCTTTATCCAGACCCTCGCCAAAGAAGGAGCAAAGTACGACATTCTCGCATCGGTGCTCGCTCCAGCAGGATACGCGGGCTCGGCTCCAGGCGTGCCAGCATCCGAGGTCGAAGTCGTGGCGCAGGTGGTCGCAGCCTTGGTTCACCGGTCCAACACTACAGAGACCGGCCATCTCTACGAAATAGAGGGTGGTCGTCTGAGAAAGGTTAGATGGCAACGAGCGTCCGGAGCCTTTCTCAATCCCGATGCTGGCCTGACGGCGGGTGCCATTCTCAGTAAATGGAACGACGTCAACGACTTCTCGCAAGGGACATATCCCAATAACACTTCGGATCATGCGTCCAACTATCGCAAGGCCATTGCCTTGGCCCCAAGTCCGACAGATAATAGCGTGAGGCTCGATGGTAAAACTGCGCTGGTCACTGGGGCTGGCAACGGGTGAGTCTGCCTTGCGCCAACTTGACGGGTTCATTCATCTGATCTCTGCAGTCTCGGCCGAGCGTATGCGAAACTGTTTGCTAGCCTGGGCGCCCAGGTCATCGTCAACGATCTCAAGGGCTCCGAGGAGGTGGCAGAGGCCATCCGACAAGTGGGAGGCGACGCCCATGCCGTGCCCGGCTCGGTCGAGGAAGGAGAGAGGATTGTGGAAGTAGCAATCGCCAAGTATGGTCGCCTGGATATTGTTGTCAACAACGCCGGCTTCGTGCGTGACAAGTCGATTGCCAACATGACTGATGATCTCTGGGACGCCATCATTGCCGTGCACCTTAAAGGCATGTTCCGAGTGACCAAAGCGGCATGGCCATACATGGTCAAGCAATGCTATGGGAGGATTCTCAACGTCTCCAGCACGAGTGGTATGTATGGTAACTTTGGGCAATCCAACTATTCCACCGCGGTATGTTGAACCTCACCATTTGTCGAAGTCCACCAACCTAACTCCCTTGAGAAATGCGCTGTCCTGGGCTTCTCAGAGGCGCTGGCTCGCGAGGGTGCCAAGCACAACATCGCGGTCAATGCCATGTGCCCCTTTGGAAGTACACCAGGTCTGGTGGGATCTGTCTCGGGTGATTGGGATAATTTCCACCCCGAGCAATGCGCTCCCTTTGTGGCACTGATATCCTCGGATGCCCTGAGATTCTCGTCAACGAGTGCGTTCTTCGAGCTCGGTGTCGGCTGGCATGGACGAACAAGGCAGCAGAAGAGTAGCGGGGCTCAGGTGCCACGCGAGGAAGAGCTGGCCTCGGGCAGCGCATCCAAGTTCTTGAAGCAGGTCGCCGATTTTACCAACCTGATCTATTCGGAGGAAATGCCGGGTGCGCTACAAGAGACAGTGGGATTGCTTTCCCAGAGTGCGGTACTGGCTCGAATCAAGGACGCAAAAAGACGCACGATTTCGGGGACAACGTACGAATACGGAGACAGAGAGGTAATTCTGTACAGTAAGTTGACCAACACGCGGTTCATGTGGCCTGATCTGACTCTTGCTTGCAGATCTGACTCTGGGAGCGACGTGGAGAGAGCTCCCGCTGATACACGAGCGAGAGCGAAATTTCCAGGTCCTGCCGACTTTTGGTGTAGTTCCGTTCTTCAACACCAAGCTTCCTTTCAATTATGACGAGCTCTTGCCGAAATGGAATCTTGCCAATCTGCTCCATGGCGAGCATTATCTGGAAGTCCGCAAGTTCCCCATCCCGACTGCGGCGAAATTGGTCACGTACCCTCGCCTGCTAGAGGTATTAGACAAGAACAAGGCGGCCATCATCGTGACAGGCTACACGACACGCGACGCAGAGACGGGAGAGGACATCTTCTACAACGAGGTGGCGGCATTCGTGAGAGAAGCTGGAGGGTTTGGAGGCCAGAAGAGTACCAAATCTCGCCATCGGGCATCGACAGCGCTCGCACCAAGCCGGAAGGTCGACGTCGTCCGCTCTGAACGCACCACCGAGGAGCACGCTGCCTTGTACCGGCTTAACGGGGATCGTAACGCAATGCATGTCGATCTCGCCAAAGCCCGGTCGGTCGGCTTCTCGAGACCCATCCTCCACGGGCTGTGCTTCTTCGGCATGTCGGGCAAACATATATACCAAGAATTTGGACCCATCAGGAATATCCGAGCGAGATTTGCCTCTACCGTGTATCCGGGCCAGACTCTTCGGACAGAGATGTGGAGAGAGGGCGATGCCATCTTGTTTCAGACATCGGTCGTAGAGACGGGCAAGATCTGTATCAATGGGGGAAGGGCAGAGTTGCTCAGAGAAAAATATCGAGGTAGGTTGTAGGGGAGCCTGGCTGAAAGGTCGCCCGAGTAAATAGGAAGAGAAGCATTGGGAGCTGAGAGGTGTTGGGAGCACTCCTCGAGGACACGTTCGCACCTGAGAGGAGAGAGATCCGCAGGAGGGACCAGCGGGTGGTGTAGTTTGGGCAGTAGTGTATACCTCTCGCTTTCTGGTGCTCTGATTCTTTCGTTGTTGTCTCTCTTGTCTATTGTAATGGTGGCAGAATCCGCTTGGATAAGATTCTTACTTACGCGGCGGAGGCTAAATCGACGATGGTGAATGGCAATATTGAGGCGAGTCCAGCTTAGTATCGTTGGACTTGTCAAGAGGCGGGCTATCTAACGGTTTATAAGTCATAGTGATATGTCAATAATGGTCTCCTAAATAAGATTGAACTCGGGGCCAAGTGGCCACGAGTGTTAACGAAACGACCTGCATGGGGCCAGGCCAGAGAGGGAACTCCGATCATGGCCGCAACAGGGCGAGCAAAGTTAACAAGCCCATGAAGCGATCGCGTTCCTGACGACGGAGAGAATTAGCAGGCTAGAGAACACTTTGTATTGTCCTATGTCCTTCACAGAGACAATTCATGACTGTCCAGGAGACGCAGGTTGTGCCTAATACATACATTGATGGCGTTGATATGTACCGACTCTCCGACTGAGCAATACGGTGGTGAACGTAGGCACAAGACTGCACAAGGATGCAAAGAACGGATCAACTAACGTGAGCTCAAGGGGCCCATTCCCTAGAAACGCAATATTGTGCTACCCTCCCGATACGAATGAGTCTCAGTCATTGTAACTCAGGGACACTCGGCAGCTTGGTAGCAGGTCAGTGCCAGGTTCTTGATTCTATCCATCTGTGTGGCGTCCATCTTCATTATTCTTCACCTGAATCCGTCACACCTTCGGAGGGCCAGCGAATTTAGTGGCGAATGTGGGCCGCGATGCGATTCGTCATGAACGCCTTGGTATTCCCCAAGAGGCAGCAGGCGAGGATGGCGCACACTCCAAAGGGAATGCTCGTCAGCCAAACCAGCCTCAGCCCATCCGCATACGCCCACTGAGTCCCCTTGGTCGCAGCGGCGAGAATCGCCGGTGTGACTCCCTCGACACTCGCCACAGCACTCGGGTCGGTGAGAAACGTCCCGACAAATTCGGTGACGGAAAAGACTGGCAACCCTGCTTCGACGGCATACGCCGCCACTTTGGCTGGGAGATCGGTCGTCAATTTGTTGCTGAAGATGGCGTAGTAGATGGCGTATCCGATGGAGCCGCCAATTACTCGAACACAAAGTGAGAGGGCGGTAGCGGTGGCAATGAATGCGTCCGGGCTAGAGGCAATCTTTGTTAGATAACTCTCTGGCCATAATCAGCATCCCATCACACTCACCTGCAACTAATGGCGATAGTCTGTGGGGGGACAAGGAGTCCTCCGGTACCAAAGCCGCAGATTGTACCCAGGGCCACGGCAAGGCGTGGCGTTTCGGGAGTGACCGCGGCCAACGCTCCTCCAAAGGCGGCTGTGGTATTGGTACACTGATTAGTCTTTTCATCCATCAGGACACGCTTGGGGGTTCTGGACAGAAACAACGAAACAGTAGACTTACTCATGACGACCGCGGCGATGATCATCACCTCTCTGTGATGGTTCTTGAAAACTGTGAGCAGGATGTTGAAAAACACGGCTCCGAGAGTCACGCTGAATCCGTAACCGAGTCCCTTCAAGCCGACTTGGACGGGCGCAGGGTCAAAGAGGGTCTCAAACGACAACGGGAAGAAGTTGAGGAGGGAGTAAAAGTTCATGCCACCGACAAAGGCCGCCAGGAAACTGATGGCAACCGCACGGTGACCCTGGAAGAGTTCTCGTGGTATCAACGGATGTTTGGCGACTTTACATTCCCAGACGAAGAAGATGCCGACCAACAAGACCCCGATGATGAGAGGGGCGAGTACTCGGGCACTGCTCCACGGGTAGGTATATCCTCCCGCTTGGATGGCCACAAGACTACCATTGTCTCCGTCAGCCTACGGTTAGGGTTAACGCGTATGACAAGACGACTCACAAGAGAACCGCTCCAACGATTGATAAGAATCCCCCCACATAGTCAATCTGGGTCAAGATGGCCAGACCGGGTCCGGCGTTTGTCGAATGGATCCTCTCGGGAAAGTAGAACAGTGTAATTCCCACCAAAGCAATCGCATTGTAGATCCTGTGCCAATCTTCAGCTTCTACAGCCCGACGGGCAAGCATCAACCGCAGACTCAGCACTCACATGGAGATCCACATGGTCCACCGCCAGGTAGCGTGGGTGCTCAGAAGCTGCGAGTACATGACATAGGGACAAAACGGGAGGAGGAACAGAATGATGATGCCAATGTAGAGGCCTCGTTTTCTCACAGGAACGAGTTCGGATGTCCTGTATTATTGTCCCACGTTAGCTTCCGGCACATCTCACCGTCGTTGGCTTTCGGACATTTGTGAGCATCTTACCCGGCAAGAGCAGTAAGCTCACCAACAGCTGCGCCGCCTCCAGCGATACACATTCCAGCAATACCTTGCCCAAACGAATGTGCACTGCCAACAACGGCGCTCCCGACCAGGATGACGACCGCCCCTCCTAAAGTCATGTAACGCCGCCCGAGAAGATCCTGAAGATATCCTACAAAGGGACAAATTCCGGCAAGAACCAGAGTGTAGCATACCGGCAGCCAGGCCTGTGCCTGTGCTCCACCGAGATCCTTTACCATGTATGCGAGGGAACCACCGACAAAGTAGAGAGGAACTTGAGAGCCTACATGTGTTGCGTGGGGTTAGCAACTGGATCCTCAGACAAACGTAGCAACAGGGGTTCATCCTTACCAACCCAGAGCATGCACAATGAAGCATATGCGGCCATCTGTTTCTTAGACCAGTCGGCGTTTCCGGCAGAGTTGTCGCCGTGGTCTTCTAGCTCCCACGACGTCTCCTCGATATGCATGGTGTGCTCGGATTGAGTGGGTTTCTGGTCCAGTCCCGAGGCCTCCTTCGCTGGGGGATCGTTGGCGTGATTGGTGTCCATAATATGTTCTGAAGAGACCAAAGCCCTCCGCGGCAATAAGTGGAAATTCAAGGTAGAGAAAGCGCTGACTTCATTCAATTGAATTGGGATTGAAAATGTGGCGCGGAGTCTTGCTCAGCCTCGCGAACGACACTACACAGGAGGGTCACTGCGATCGTTTTGGTGGCTCCAAGATGAGATTGCCCTGCACGACACTGTCAAGCGACAACTCTGGCACGAGAGCCCGTCACGGTCGTGATACTGAACCTCGAAGACAGAGCCCTCATCATGACCGATGGATCGATCGAGGCTCGCTGAAGTAGTTTCGAAGATGAATTGTCGGGAGTTCCTACGGCCATACTGATCCGTGGCTCGGACGATGGGCATGGATTTCTCATGAAGACCCTTCCGCTCTCCCAACAAATTGCAGGGGCTGATCCATGCGTGTCGTTTTATGTGGCCTTTACCGAGCCGTGGCCCGCGGCCGCCTCTACCAGATCAACTTTCTCCGCACTGGTAGATTCCATCGATGAGTCCCAGACACGGTCGAGATCCAGATCTCTACTTCTCAACACACAATCTGCATGGCGGCAAGAGGTCGAGATTCTCTTCGAGCTCCTTTTCTGACACTTGCAAAATGGCCAACGAGATCCAACCGGAGCCGCTGTCCCCATGGCAACTCCCTACTGGCAACGCCATCGTCAAGGTGCGCGCCATCAACACTACAACCGACATGCAGTTGGCATCTATCGGCTTTTTCGAACCTGTCATCCCCGGCCTTGAAACATTTAGCCTCACGACCTTGGCGTTCCTGTTGGAGCACCCGAACAGCGGTAAGAAGATCCTTTTTGACGCCGGTTCCCGCAAGGACTTTTGGAACTTCCCACCCGTCGTCTATGGGCTTCTTCTCGAGGCCGCCGTCGGCTTGAAGGTGGAGAAAAATGTCAGCGAGATTTTGGAGGAAAAGGGCATCGATTTGAGGCAGATCAATGCGGTCGTCTGGAGGTACGTGTGAGTTGAGGAGGTTTAGTTTACGATCGCTAACCTGCAGCGAGCCACTGGCACTGGGATCACTCGGGTGATATGTCTCAATTTCCCGCTTCCACCGAGGTTGTTGTTGGTCCCGGATTTAAAGAGTCCTTCATGCCGGGCTATCCTACAAATCCCAAGGCAATGATGCTAGACTCGGACTTCGAGTAGGCCTCAGCTACCCACCCACGAGAAGCTTTGGTAAAATGTGTTATTAGAGGTCGCGAGGTCCGAGAGATCTCCTTTAGCGATGATCACATCGGACCCTACGAGTCCTACGACTTTTGGGGGGATGGCAGCCTTTTCCTGCTTAATGTTCCGGGGGTGAGTCTTCCCCAGACCTGGGGCTTGCGAGGAACAATAAATAATTGTATCGCTCCAGCATGCCGTTGGCCATATTGGTGCCCTAGCGCGCACGACACCCGATACCTGGGTTTTCCTGGGCGGCGACGTATGCCACTTCAACGGCGTCTTCCGTCCAAGTATATACCAACCCATGCCAGCCGAAATCCCCGAGGAGGCCCTTGTGAACTCGCCCTTTATCCCGCCTTGCCCGTGTTCAGTCTTTACTTCTATACACCCGGACCCGGAGCATGCGCGAACTAAGCCCTTCCACTCGATTGCGACAGGCAAGATAGCACCAACCATCACCGCAGACCCCGCCACGGCGCAGCTCAGCGTGCAAAAGATGTTGGAATACGACGCACATCCGAATATCTTTGTGTGCATTTCGCACGACCGAGCACTTATCGACGAACTACCCCTGTTCAACGACTCCCCGGAAAGTGACATCAATGACTGGAAAGAAGCTGGATATAAGACCAACACTTTCTGGCGCTTCCTGGGATATCTGCCAAAGGACGGCAAACAGACTCGACCTCACTTGGTGACCGGGGTATGGCGAGAAGGGAAATTGGTTGATGTTCCATCCTAAAGTCGGAGATACATAGTAGCCATTTCATGATAGCCATTTCATGAACGTGCACTGGTGGTCACTGACGGATCACTTACCCTTTGGCATCATTGATCCTAGTCGAGCAGACAGTGGTCGTAAAAGAAGACAAAAGATCACTGTATTCAACAAAATGCAGTTTGAACTCCAATATGTCCTGTAGAACCACCAACGTCAGAGCATGCAAGAGAGAACACAGCGCCAAAATCATTCAGTTCAGGAAGGAGAGATCCTCGCCGCTTTGCAAAACCCTGTAGAAGCCAGCAACAACCCTGGGGTGCAGTTCTGCTGGCGCCACCCGGGAAATCTCTATGACGCGAAGTTATCAACACGAATCAAAACATCCCCAGCCCGTATGTACTTTGGAAAACAAGGCGTGGGTCCGTAGCGAGCGTTGCGTGGTCGAAGCTGGGAGAGCGGGCCTCTTGAGCCATTCAAGGTTTCGAGGTGTCACTGAATGGTCCAAGCTCTCTCTAGAAGATTGGTCAAACTCTTGGAATCGAGGCAGGCAGAAACATTTTGGTTCTTCTGGAACTTCGCGACCCCGAACAACCGCGGTGACTTGCGTGGATGGACCCAAGGACTCCGGTTTAGTTCCAGTTTCGAGCTTCTGCACCCTGGTCGGCGTCTCGCGCCCTCCGCTCAGCCTCGGAACCCGAGTTCAGCAGTTGATTCTGAGTCTGCTTTTTCTGCGCCGACAATTGGCTGGAGAGTTTCCCCCCAGGTTTGCTGGCTCTTGCGGCGCGCTCCTGGCCATCTCAGTTAGATCGCAGTGTCTTCGTCAGGGGCACGGCAGCGTCAAGGCGAGGCCGCAGGACCACCACGCTTCCGACCCTGAGTCCATCCGCTAGATGCAGCACAGCAAGACTCACCTCGGCTGCTCTGGCAGCAGCACTTTTGGCATCTTCAACGCCTGGGCCTCCATCGCCCCCACCCAAAGCTCGACCAGGGGTGCTGCTTGTGATCTTCTGCGGGACGGGCGCCGAGGTCTGTCTAGGCTGCGTACTCGACCCAACCGTACGACCAGGGGTGGCAAAATTGTCAGGTTGGTTGGCTGATTTGGAACACAGATTCCCCATGTCGAAGGCCGCGGGGCTACGGATAAGGGAATTAAGGTCCGCGATCGAAGTGCGGCGTTCTAGAAGACGAAGTAGGGTGTTTCGGGAACGGCCTGGGAGTTGGATGGGAGAAGTTAGAGCACCGACGCCAGAGGTTGCGGGATGCGAGATGGATTTAAGAAGCGATGGAAAAGAGGCGGTGCATGGCGGGGGGGGTTTGACTTTCCCTCGTTTGACCGTCGGCGCATGGGCAGAGGAATAAGCGGGCTCGGCGCGGGGCGGGACCACCTGCAACTACAAGTATGCACGCTTCACGTGCCAGCGTCAGATAGCTGTTGCGCGAGGCCGAGACTACGGCACCGCACACTGTCAATACGAAGCACCTAATTCCAACCTCACCAGTGCATTGCATCTCTTCCATCAAGCAACTGCTCACCCTAACAACCGACGACACGACTGCCAGATGCCTGCTCCTCTCACCCTCTCACCCACATCCTTTCGAAGCACCAAGGAAACTTGCTCCTGTACTGTATTTTTGTGGTTTGGAAAAGATAAAATAAAATACACGACTCCACCCAATACAGACGGGACGCGTGAAACGCGACGCGAATGAAGAAAGAAAATTACCACATACAGGCGCCATGAAGAGTACTTCTTGGTTGACGTGGAGACCCCTCACAAAACTCACCCTGCCTCATGATACACGGTCTCCAAGGTCCCGTCTGAACCAAACTTATCTGGTTCACCTTGACGACGGCGAGGTCGGTGGCACGGACGTCTACCACCGGCACAAGTCTGGAACTTGCGCATTCAGGGACCCTTGGAAACCACCAATACATCGTGGGCCCTTGGCCATGTTTGTCGCCAGCGTCATACACGACGGACTCTATTGCTGGACGGTCTTTGGGTCCCTTCGCTCGTTGCTGTGGTTGATGGTGTTTCGACATAACAAAGCAGATTTCGATCTGGACACCTTCTTTCCTACACGCACCGAGCCAGCCTCCAGCGGAGAGAATCCATTGACCTTCGTCGTTTGAAAGACCTGAGCGATGACTGAGCTGGGACTGTGAGAGTGATCTTTACAATGAGCCACGCATTCCTCGTACATTCGCGATTTTGGACGTGTTATGAATCCATATTCCTCAACCATGAAATGCAGCAAACCCTAACCCGCTGCAGGCGACCCTTCTCCGGCCACTTGAGCAGGGAAATGATTGTGAGTCGATATGATCGCGAGGCAACCAAGGCATTTCGATTCTCGTCTTGATGTTGAAAGTTTACCGCGTTACTATGACTTCCCGTTCTGGTGTATTTTTGCATCTACCGTTACACCCAACCATGTTCTCTTCCCCTGACTTACTCCCGGCCTGCTCTACCACACGTTGTCAAAGTCTATCAAAGCTCGCGCTGCCCTTTTGCCGTGTGATTGTTTCTTTCGGGTCCAAGCTTCCCACTCCCGTCGTTGCAGGACCGTAATATATATCAATACAATGGTAAGTTCTAAGCAGCTTTTAAGTTTCAAAACAGAGACACATCATGGTTCAACCGGAGGGAATTCCTTTTCACGCGTTTCGCCTTGAGTACAAATGTCGTCCTGTTTTCCTGTCCTCTCCTTCTCCCTCTCCTTAGAACCCATACAGCTCTTACGACACAGTCCGATCCTCACAGAAAATCAAACCAGAAAGCTGCATTCAGCCCGACACTGAACACCAATTCATCAACCTGCACTCGCCGTTGTCCTGAAGACAGCGACCTCCCACGCGTCAAAAGGTACCATTTGAATCTTATCCTCTAATGCCACTGGAGGCTGACTCTTGCCGAAGGAGCCTGCAACACCCCAGGCTCAAGCACCAACACCTTGGACTTGCCACCACACCGCTCTACACGTACAACCACCAGAGCATTCAAGATGGCCGGCCCATTCCATTGCAGAGAGTGTGACAAGGCCTTCACGGCCAAGAGCACTCTCAACGGCCATCTGGCGAGCGCTCACCGCGGAGAGCGCTCAGTCTGTGAAGCCTGCCAGAAGGTCTTCACAGATAAGTCCAACCTCCGCAGGCACAGAAGGTCCTGCTCCGGCAACGCCGGCCTTTATAGGTGCGCATGGCACGAGTTCGGTTGCGACCACACCAGCAACCGCGTCGACAACGTGAAGCGGCACATCAGATCGTGCCCTCACAAGCCCCTTGCTTGGGCAGACGAGCTCCCAGGACCCGTCAGGGTCAACCAAGAGGGACTCGTGCAGAACGACGGCGTTCTGGACAACAGGACACCTCAGGTCAATGGGCTGCAATCTGCAGCCCCAGAGAACGCTCAAGAAGAGCAGTTTGCTCCTGCACAGGAGCAGGACTTTGGTGGGTACGGAGTGCACCCACCTATGGAGCATTGGCAGCAGCAAATGCTCCAAGAAGAAGCACTCGCCCTGGTTCAAGGGCCTGCTGTCACGCTCGACATGGGCGTGGATGCCTCCCAGCAAGGCATCAACTTGGCTCCAGGCGTGCCCACCGATCCGGTGTGGTTCGCAGCCAATTATACACAGTTTAACGGTCATTGGGGACAAGAAATTCCCCGACTGCAGCCGCCTGCAAAGCCTATATCGCCTGCGACCAAGATGACCGCTGGCGGCTCCCAACAGGCCACTGTACCCAAGGAGAACGCCGTCCAGCCTTCCCCGTTTACAACTTACGGGTCTGGCGGAGGTGTTTTCCTGACAAAAGCTCCAGCACTAGACAGTGTTTTCGCGGAATTCTTCTAGTTGCTTCATGGCAACTGATGGCTTCTAAGGCGCCTAGGAGTCAAAGGTTGCAGTCAGGTACACACCAAAGGCACAGAACTTGGCCAGGGCGGCTTCAAACACAACAAACACATCAATCTTCTCGACATCAACCTTCTCGACATCAACCTTCTCGACATCAACCTTCTCGACATCAACCTTCTCGACATCAACCTTCTCGACATCAACCTTCTCGACATCAACAAACAATGCTGGGAACTGTGAAAGACAAATCAGGCTTGCCAGTCGCTGTTTGAGCTGCAGATCAAACAGTGGCTGGTTCAGTCAGTTCTTGTCTGGAGCAGTGTTCAGCGCACCATTCCACAGTCCAAATCATCAGGACTTACAACACATCGATGAAAACCCAATGAGGCTATTAAGCCTGGAAAGAGGGTGGCAGGGTGGTTTTCCAGGGTTTTCTTCATCATCCATCATCCGTCCCATTCGACAAAGTCTCGACCAGGTCTCCAAGGCCTTCCTGCTGATATTCGACCGGATTTCATCACTTCACCAAAGCAAAACCTCATCAAGAACTTGCACGGTCTACGTCAACATTCCCTGCTTCATGTTCTTACATCTCACTCAGTCATCGAGTTCATCCTGGAAAGTGGGCGATTGGGTGGCTTCCAGGAACCGTTTTGGTCTTCAAACTTCTGAGATTTTCTCAAAGATCGGCACTGTGTCTCAAGGCTGTATGGCTATTCAAATTTTCCCTCACATTTTGACATCAACACTACTTCAACATCAACACTACTTCAACATCAACACTACTTCAACATCAACACTACTTCAACATCAACACTACTTCAACATCAACACTACTTCAACATCAA